CCTACTCCCAAGATACCAAGCCAGGACACCTCCTCCCAGCAAAGCCTTCGGAGGTGGGCAGTGCTTATGCACGGGTACACATGGGCAGGGTTACCAGTTTAAGATACACACACACACACACACACACACACACACACACACACACACATGAAGGCACCCTGGAACCTAACAGCTAACACTAGCCAAGCCATCGGATTTCAGACTGCTTGCCTCAGCTTCAGTGACACTCTTTGTTCCTAGATTTCCTTCTATCTCTAGTCTTCAACCTCAGTCTTCTCCCTTGGACAACCTGGTAGATGGGGGATGTGAGAGGTCCCTAGATCTCCCTTGTACCCCTCTACCCGTGTGACCTTGAACACCTCCCACCTGGTGACTCTGGTTATCCTTAGCCCCGCACTTCTGTCAAGTTCCACAGCCAGGAGCATCATTCATTGCACAGCCATACTCACTGTCCCACAAGCACGCTAGCCAGGTGCAGGAAGCCTTCAGGAGACCTCACCCTCTCCTCCCTACACTTCTCCTTCTGGTTCTCCATCTCCAAGAGTGGAATCACTGTCTGCCCCAGTGCCAAAGCCTGGGAGATTCCTGGTCTCCCCACTCATGGCTGCTGAATGGCTGCCTGGGCTTGTCCTTCCCCTACCATACACCCACTACTGTGCTGTGTGTACTGCCTGCCTTTCCCAGGATAGTGCAGGAATCTTGCATCTGGGGATATATTGCATTAATCCTATCTCAGGAGCTCAGCACAGGGTCCAGGGCCAAATAGGTACCTATTAGGAACTGTGTGCTACCACATCAACACACGTCTGGCCCACAGATGTTCCTACTTGTGAATACACAAGTCGGTGTCCATCTCTACATAGGATGCACACGGTGCTATCACCAGCAGCCCCTCACTTTTCACAGCTGATAACATCAGCCTTCAGCAAAAGGACCCCGAGATCATGCTCTCCACTCTAACAATGCCTAGAGGTTGGGGACTTGCCTGATGGGACTTGGAGGACTTGGGCTGTGGCTTTAGTGGGCCTGTGAGTGGAGAGTTGCTGGCGAGACATGGAACAGCCACTGAAACTTCTGTGACACTCTGTGACATCTCACCTCCCTTTCTCCTCGGTTTCTTCCCTTCCCTCAGGAGAACTAGCTATAGCCTCGCCTGAACTTGAAGGGGACTTCTGTGAGCTGGAAAAGCAGAAGCCTGCATTTTCTGGAACTCTCTGTCCAGCGACGCCCCCGGCCCCCCAGCATACCCTAGCAGTATAGTACATGGCATTTCCTCTTGTGAATGGAGACTTTAGTGACGTCCCCTGAAGGAGCAGGCTCAGGCTCCAGGAACCCTACTCGGCACCTACTTACCTGCTGGCCCTGGACCTTTCAGACTTGAAGCCCAGACTACTCCACCTTCAAGAAACCTCAGACTCTGAAAGCATCCTCCAAGACTGTTTCTAGCGTCATGAGGCTCCTGCCTACTCCAGTCTGTACACTCCCTTTGCTAGACAGCAGACCTCCATACACGGGAAAACCGACCTGGTTTGCACAGTCCCCAGTGGACACCTGCTGAGAATACAGAAAAGCAGGGACACAGTGTGAATGGGCAAACTGAGGACACATGACATTTTGCAGGCTAAGCAGACCCACCTGACACACAGGTGTTTGCCCAACATTTTGCTCTGTTCACATGAATGGAGGTCCCTGCTTCCATCAGTAGACATAGGATGGCATCCTTCTCTCTCAGCTGACTGAATAGTCATTTCTTGTTTGAACAAATACCTTATGTATACCTCAGGATGGATATGTCAATCAAATCAATAATGCTGACAAAGCTCCAGACTATATGGTTAATACTGAGTGCCAACTTGGCAGGATTTAGAATTACCTGGTTAATTCATGTGGGAAGACCTTCTCTGTAAGTGACACCATTGCATGGCCTTGGGTCCCAGGCTGAAGGAAAGAGAGTAAGCAAAACACTTGCTTCCTAACTTTGGATGCCATGTGATTGGCTTCTTCAAGCTCCCGTTGCCATGACTACCCAACCCTGGGTCCCTGAGCCAGAATAAACCCTTCCTCTTTTTTTTTTTTTTTTTTTTTTTTTTCTGAGACAGGGCTTCTCTGTGCAGCCCTAGCTGTCCTGGAACTCACTCTGTGAACCAAGCTGGCCTTGAACACACAGATACCCACCTGCCTCTGCCTCCTGAGTGCTGGGATTAGAGGGGTGCACCACCCTGCTTGGCCAACCCTTCGTTCCTTAAGTGGCTTTTATCAGGGTACTTTAGCATAGTAACAAGAAAACTACTACAGGGCGGAAGCCCTCAATGCTAGTTCACTACCCTGAACACTGCCCTTCAGAACTCTAATCTCCTTGGCTTGGTCTCCATCTCTGACCACACTTCCCTCTTTGCTTCTGCTTCGGTGCTCCTTCCCCTGCCTTCCCAGGGCAGTGTGACCTCGCTTACCACGGCCACCCATATGCCTATGCCGCTGCAGACTCCACCCCAAACCCAGGGCTCTCTGCTGAGCTCCAGCGCCCCAGACCCAACCCCCCCAAGTGCTTTTCAGGCAGTCCCAACATCACGAATCCAAACAGAACTCACCTTCCTGCCATCGGAGAGATATTTGATAAAAACTAAATGCATCCATAATAGAAGCACGTAGAAGACCAAGAACAAACAGAAATTTCTTCCTGAAAGAAGATATCCTCTAGCAAATATCATTCTTTCTATGTATGAGACAGGACTTTGCCATATAGCTCAAGTTGACTTCAAATTCTCCAGTGTTGGCTTAGCCTACCAAATACTGAGATCCCAGATGTGTGCCCTGCTTGACAGATTGTGTGTGTGTGTGTGTGTGTGTGTGCATATACATTATTTGGTTTGTTTGTTTTCCAGGTAAGGACTGAGTATAAAGCCTTAGGTATAGCTAGATGAGCTATGGATATGGCCTCTGAACTATATCCTAGCCCAACATTCTTCACAGAAAACAAAACAATCCTTATATTCAGGAAAATACTAGGACCTACACCAATCTTAAGCAAAAAAAGAAGAAAGCATTATAAGGCCTGGCCTCAAAATACTACAAAGCAATTAGTCGTATCCCAACAGCATCACAGTAAGAGCCATTTCTGGCGAAAAGATCACAGAGAGACTTCTCAAGTATTTGCGTACGGAGATATTTACAAAAGTATCCAAAGCCATATGGTTCATAACTTCAGAAATAAAGCCAGGAAACAACCAAATGCCCCTGCTAGCAGTGCTGTAAATTGTGCCAAGTCACACAGTAAAAATAACATACACATAAGAGGATACATCTTAGCAATAATACGGAGCGGGCTGAGGGAACTTAGTGGGAACGTGCTTAAGCATGAGGACTCAGACCCTTAGCATCCAGGTAAAAGCCTGGGACAGCATGCATGGCCCTGCTCACCTGGGCCCCAGTGCTTGGGTGGGTTGGGGAGGAAGACAGTAAGACCCTAGGAGCTCAATGGCCTGCAAGCTCTGCCACAATGGTGAGCACCCCATTCCGTCTCAGGAAACAAAGGTGGAGGGGTTGGAACAATGGCTCAGTCAGAGTAAGCATGAGGCTCTGAGTTTGGTTCCCAGAACTCCCATTAAAAGTCATCAAGCCAGGCTGTGGTGGTGCATGCCTTTAATCCCAGCACTCGGGAGGCAGAGGCAGGCGGATCTCTGTGAGTTCGAGGCCAGGCTGGACCGACAGCCTCCAAAACAATACAGAGAAACCCTGCCTCGTAACCCCCCCCCAAAAAAAAACGAACAAAAGTCATCAAGCTCCTCCCTAAGCCAGCAAGAACTGGACTGGCTTCTGTTGTTCCAATGACTTAACAGCAGAGGCCAAGGAAGTGTCTGTGTGAGAGTTGTCATTCGTTGGAATCAGATTTGGTATACAGAAACAATTTACATTCTGCACTATATCCACCAGAGGAAGAAACACAAAGCCAACAGCTATGCATAAGCGAATACAGACCACTTCTCTAAAGCAGTGATACGACCACACCATCAGAACATTCCAGAGTCTCAATTGCCATTTGAGATTTCCCTGAACTTGTACCAAGTATTCTGCCCTGGGAAACGGTGATTATAAAGTACATCCCGAGGCATTCGCATTGATCTTACTCAGGGTCTCTTAGCCCCTCTCTTTAGGATTCCTAATAGCAGTGATTTCATCACACCCCAGACACTTCCTGTGCAGATGGAGTCGGCCTCAGACTCCCCTCAGCCACCACTCTCCAGCCACTGATTACAGACAAGAGCACTCCCGTCCATTATCCCAGCAGTTGTCTGATGCATCCCAACCACAAAATGGGCCTCTGCCGCTCTCCTAGCCTAGCTCCATCTTCATAAACTGCAACAGACAGACAGGAGTCCCCGAAGGCACAAGATATTTCCTCCCCGGGTAATTTTAAAGGAAAGAGGGGGGGAGCATATGTGTTAATGGAGCCTCGATGGTTGAAACAATGTATCTGCAGATGTGCAGCACTTCCAACCCTGATCAACCTGGCCGCCTGCAGAGACTGACACACACTGGGGATACTGCCTGAAGCAGCCCGTGTCCCGCTGAGGGGAATGAAGGCTCTTCCCGCCATACTGAGATGGTAGCTTATCAGTACACACCAACGGACATGCTTTCCAACTTTAGATTCTGTGAAATGTTCAACATTTTGAAACCCTTTCTGATTCTACACTGGTCTCTTAGGGAGTGAAAAGAGAATTACTGAAGTTGAAGTGACAAGCTGGGGTGGAGGCCCAGAGCTCAGTGGAAGGAGAGCCTTGTATTGTGAAGTTAGGCCTGAACCCTAACTTTAGAAACAAACAAATGAAAAGTTAATCAAGAAGGTGATTACTGGGAGGGAAAATGGGAAATGTCTGTGATCCTCAAACTGGAAAACAAATCAACTCATCTCAAGAAAAAACCATGAGTGGCAATGGCAAGAAAAATAGGGCGTGGGTCTCGCCAGGTGGGCAGCGGCACACATTCAGGCGGAGGCCAGAGAGGGTCAAATCTTGAAATTTTATTTAAAATTTGCCGAGAGCACTTTTTTGCAGTACCTGGATCTCAGTCAGGTAGAATTGTTTACAGAATCACAAGGACTGGTTTAAATCTGAGGAGAGAGGCCATCCTCTGAAATTCCTCCCCATTCAGGCAGTCCTGAGGGCAGAGCGGGCTCTCGGAATTCCTTCACACCAGTGTCCTGCTGCCCGGGCAATGGATGAAAAGGCACAGGCTCCCTGGCAGGAAAAAGGCCAACCACTCCCCCAAGGTAGCCTGTGATGGACTCAAAGGCAGTGTTAACACAGCTTCCGGCTGGAGAAAGCAAGGCCTTGGACACATCGCAAAGTACAATCCATATGGCAACACAGTATTGTTTTGTTCTTGGAATTCTCTCTTCACGTGGCACAGTCATGAATACATAAGCAACCCCTTGCCCTGCTGCCCAGCAGCACACACCCCACAGGGAAGCCGTTGGGGCATGCTCTCTGCAAAACAGCCATCAGGTCACGCTGTTGAAGGAGCCAGCTGTATCCACATTCTGGGAGGCCAGGTCTCCAAAGACTCCAGGTGGAGGAATGGGATTCCGATGGTGAGAAAGAGACTCCCTAGCCACCTCTGGCTTGGACAGGCTGCCATCTCTTACCACTACTGCCTGGGAGGCTGTGAAAGTTAATGGGATGAAACCTTGGCTGTCGGCAGAGAGGAGTATCCAGTGGGAATCTACAAAGTAAGTAAACAGCAACTTAGGCGATCATGCAATTCTAGAAGGATAAACACATAACTGCAAACATATCTTGCTACTACTGTGAAGTAGGGCTCTGCAGCTCTGGCACCATGCCCAAGGCTGGCCTCACACTAGTAATCCAGACTCAGCCTCCAGTGCTGTGACCACAGGTGCACACCACCACATTGGGGCTAACACTTTAAAAGTGAAATACAGTGATGGACATCAAACCTCATCCTACACATCATCATCTAACACTTTTCAGAAAATATGCAGGTCAAAGAATGGTCTCATGGCAACTCAGGAAGTAGGGATCAAAGACAGTAACCTCCAGTGGGTCACTCCAAGCTAAGAACACAGCTTTCCCAGGGCTGACGTTTATAATTTATAATTTTCATTTTATGTATATTGGTGTTTTGCCTGCATGTATGTCTTTATGTGGACCTTGGATCCTCTGCAACAGTTACAGGAGTTACAGAGAGCTGTGAACTGCCACGTGAGTGCTGGGAATTGAACCCAGGACCTCTGGAAAAGCAGCCAGTGCTCTTAACTACTGAGCCATCTCCCCAACCCGAGGACTGCCATTTATCCTATGGTGCTGAGCATACAAACATGTGAGTGTACATCGTCTATACATATTAGGATGTTCACTAGTTTCTCCAGAAACTTTATGAAGAAGGTCCACTCTACCAAAGAATGTTTTATTCTATACATTATTACCAACTGTAGCTATCCAAGAAGGGTGAGTGGAATAGACTAGTAACCCAGAAAATCCTGGGGTTGCTCTGGGACCACAGGTGTAACAGGTATTTGGACCATCTCTGGTTCTCTGGAGTCTCAGAGAACATATAATTTTACTTTTGAAAAATGTACACTCCCAAAATGTAGGGAGGCTTTTCTTGGTGCTATTGGGTTTTTCAAGACAGGGTTTCTCTGTGGCTTTGTAGGCTGTCTTGGAACTAGCTCTTGTAGATCAGGCTGGCCTCGAACTCACAGAGATCCACCTGCCTCTGCCTCCCGAGTGCTAGGATTAAAGGTGTGCACCACCACTGCCCAGCCCTTAGTGTTATTTATAATGGTGAAAAACTGAAAATGACCTAAATGAGTATTTAAAAAATATTTATTTTATTTTAGAGGTATGAGTGATTTGCCTGTATGTATATGTGTACGTGTATGGTGAACATTCGCTACCTGCCTGCCTCTTCTTGTCTTCTAGGCCACGGTGTGCCCATGGTGCACAAACATATATGCAAGCAAAACACTACCACATGTAAAATAAAAGTGGGACTGGAGGGATGGCTCAGCAATTAAGAGCACTAGCTGTTCTAGAGGACCAGGGTTAAATTCCTAGCAACTTCATGAGGGCTAACAAGAGTCACAGGGAATTTAATGCCCTCTTCTGGCCTACATGGGTACTGCATGCATCCAGTTCACAGGTAAACATGCAGGCAAACACATAAAAAATACTAATAAAAAATGTAAAAGTAAACTAAAAACTAATAAACAAGAAAATAAAAATGGCATGCCTCAGAAGAAATATTAACGTGTTAAAAATGACAATTACAAATAAATAAATAAATGTTATCTGTCAAAGCAGAAAAAATGTTACAGTGCTACAAGGAAAAGCAAAACATCTTGTGAGACTCAGTGTGGTGGCTGCTGTTAAAAAAACAGGGTATAATAAAATAACCATGTTCAACAAGTGATAACTAAGGCCTCACGCAGGGCTTGAGCACAGTGTTCTTCCCATTTTCCTGTTTCTTCCACACAGCACTGCAATGCTTCTCCACGGCTGCATTTGATGGCAGCAGGCACACTGTTACACAGTGCCAAGTAGCTCAGCTCTACCTTTTTTTCCCATTTTCATTCCTACTTTTTAAAAGATGTGCATTTTCCCTGTTGGGCATAATAAATTCCTTTAGGAAAGGACTCATTTCAATGGGCTGTAGTTTCTCTGGGTACTAGGCAATATATCTTTTTTTTTTAATGAGTTTGAACTCTTTTTTTAAAGATTTTATTTATTTAATGTATGAGTGCTCTATCATCATGTATGTCTTTATGCCAGAAGAGGGCATCAGATCCCACTATAGATGGTTGTGAGCCACCATGTGGTTGTTGGGAATTGAACTCAGGGCCTCTGGAAGAGCAGCAGTCAGTGCTCTTAACCTGTGAGCTATCTCTCCAGCCCCACAATGTATCATATTTATTAACTGTTTCGTGAATCACTGAATGTTTGGACAGGATCATTTGGACAGGAGAGGGAGAGGATGCTCTGGCTCTAACCTACCGTGAAGCATTTCAACGAGGTAGAGGCCGAACATCTGCTGAACTGTGCTGAGCCTTAGTTTGCCATCACAGAGAAGCACGGCTCTTTTTTCCACAGGACCTGCAGGAGGAGGTTTCTTCAAGCAGAAGTAAAAATGATTAATTGATGGTCAAAGCAATGCAATGGCATTTCTTACGAACAACGTAGAGGGAGCTCAGATCCAGCACTGGGGGTTTGCAGGGCAGAGGCAGGCAAAGCTCTGTGAGTTTCAGGTTAGTTGAGGACAGCCAGGGTTACATAGTGAGACACTGTCTCAAAACAAACTTTCTTTTTAAGTCATGAAAGAGTGAGGTCATTTTAGAAGTGTTTTAAAATATACCTAGAGAAAAATACCTTTGAATTGTCACAGTTCTATCTTAAAACACATTATGAGCTGAAAAGCATACTCATGAGTGTAAATATTACTTCTAGGGCCAGGCGTGCTGGTTAGTCCTATGTCAACTTGGCACAAGCTAGTGTCATCAGCAAGGAGAGAACCTCACTGAGAAAATGCCAAGCCTATAAGGTATTTTCTTAGTGAATGATTGACAGAGGAGGGTCAGTGTGAGTGACGTCATCCCTGGGCTGGTGGCCTGGGTTCTACAAGAAAGCAGGCTGAGCAAGCCAGTAAGCAGCACCCTCCATGGTCTCTGCATCAGCTCCTGCCTCGAGGCTCCCGCCCTGACTTCTCTGAATGATGAGCAGTGATGTGGAACTGTGGGTGAAATAAACCCTTTCCTTCCCAGTTTGCTTTGGATATGGTGTTTTATCACAGCAAAAGTTTCATTACTAAAATACCAGGCCAGTAACATGGCTCAGTGGGAAAAATCACTTATCACTTTGGTCATGATAACCCAAGTCCGATTCCTAGAACCAAAGGTGGAAAGAGAGAACTGACTTTTTTTTTTTTTTTTAAAGACAAAATCTCACTATATAGTTCTGGGTGGTCTGGAACTCACTCTGTAGACCAGATTAGACTTGAACTCAACAGAGTTCACCTGTCTCTGCCTCCTCAGTGCTAGAACCATGGGTGTGTGCTACCACACCGGCTTCTGATTCTTGAAAGTTGTCCTCTGATCTCTACATACATGCCATGGAACATGCATGCCTACCTCACACATGCACATTATATACAAACACACACTATAATAGATGAAAGTTACTATCGATGCATTACTCAGGATTATTATTTGAAATAGTGTCTTCATAAGTACTCGGAGAACAGTGTTTCAATAGAACTGGACAGTTGTTTTGTGGAATGAGTCACACTCGGACAAGTACTACACTTTCTCTCATATGGAATCTGGAGGAGACATGCAAGCAGAAGGGGATTGTCACGTCCTCCACCAGCACATGCACATAACTCACATGAACACATACATACACCACACACAACAAGTTCAAGGTCGCTGGGCGTTGGTGGCGCACACCTTTAATCCCAGCACACGGGAGGCAGAGGCAGGTGGATCTCTGTGAGTTTGAGGCCAGCCTGGTCTACCGAGTGAGTTCCAGGACAGCCTCCAAAACAATACAGAGAAACCCTGTCTCGAAAAACAATAAATAAATAAATGTTTTGAATGCATCCCTGCACATGCAAATACATCTCCATGTTTTGGGAGGAGGGGTTGTGATTGTTGTTTGTCTCGAAGGAGATGTTACCTGGTAAATGAGGTGAACACAGGGGGGATCCTGAGAGAGTGGGTACACTGGGGAGCACTGCTTCTCCTTGTGAAGAAAATCCCTGAGTTCAAGAAGACACTGCTGCATCCCAACCAGATGCCTGGATAAGATGTCCAGCTCCCTGGAGAGTGTGCAAGTTTCCTTATCTTGTTGTAAGTTCTCCCTTTGAGGTAAATCAGGCTCTGGGGTGTTGGTGTGGTCTGCTGTCCCGCTGAGTCTAGGCAATGCTGGCCAAAGCCAGGAGGGCCTGTGAGGGGTTTCCTGTACAATGGAGGCACTGGAAGGAGGGGGCAAGGGACTTTTAATCTCTTGAATAAGGGCTCTTCCGGACCTCCCACTCAGAATACTGGCATCATCTGTTAGCAAGAGTCCTTGGCTTAGGGGACTCCACCCCGGGGAAATGTTCTCAAGGAACTTTTCTCTGTCCGCTTTATTCAATAGGGTGTTGAAGACAGAGTAAGTATCCTGACTTTCAGCGGGCATTCCAGAAGCTTCTCTTGCCAATGGTATTTCTCTAACTACCAGGCGGACGGCGTACTGATCAGACTCCGAGGAAGGAAGGAACGCTGTCTCGGTGGGCTTTGGTTTCCCTACAGAAATTAATAATAATCTGTCTGTCAAGAAACATATGCCTTTTGGTCTTTCGTTACTCTCTAACTGGATCTGCTGGATGTTTGGCATGGAAGATGGAAGGACTGAATAGATCAGGATGATGTTACATGTATTGGAAGCCAAGGCCACTAGCTGTGCTTTCAGGTTAAATGCTATTAAATCAGGAACCAGAATGCCCGGTATGGCAACCTTTTTTGTCATGGTGATTGCTTTCTTAAAGGTTACCAGGACCAAATGTGAAGAATCCTGACCAGTTCCTGTCAAGTAGTCCTTTTTACTTACACGGATAAGAGAACCTTCCCCAGCTTGACATTGGTTAAAATGTATGTGAGTCAGATCCAGAGGATCTGAAGAGGGAGAAACTGTCACTCCAGAATTCAGCTCCCCAGAGGGCGTTTCACCCCCAGGAAGAGTTCCTACACCAGCATGGTTCCCATCAGGTGGATCATCAAAGGCTTCCGAGGCATTTAAGCTGCAAAGCTTATGGAGTGGGAGCTCGGTGGCTATAGCGACCTGTGAATCCACAGTGGCCGTGATGGAGCGGATGGAGCGGTTCACGTGGAACACTGGGCAGAAGGAGCAGCTGAGAAGAGACTTCTGAGAACTGTCCCACATATACGAATGAAGGCTGCTGTCTATGGCCACCACCAGCCTCTGGCCATCCAGGGTCCAACATGCGCAGTAAATGCGGCCCTTGGTACTGATGTCTACTTTTATTCTGGAACTGTCGCGGTGAATATTAGGAAAAATGGAAGCATCCTGTGCCGTCAACACAGTCAGAATGGCATCTGTTGGGTGCCACACGCAGCCCTGAGGCAGGATAGGAAGTGACTCTCTAATTTCTGAGGTCTGAGACAGCAGCCATTTGCTCGATCCCGAAGTGCTGGGACACAGCTGCCACACAGCAACATGCTTCTTGTGCTGGATGGCAAGCAGCGTGGGTATGTGAGCTGTGCTAAGTGGGGCCCAGGAAACCCCACAGACATATTCAAATCTCCCAATGACTTGGGAGTCCCCAAACGTGGCCTCTCCACTACGTAGCTGTAAATCAGTCAGGACTACCCGACTGCCATCAGTCCAGGCCAGGCCGTGGGCTGGATGCACTGCCTGATTCAGGGAGTTCAGTCCGGTCCTAAGGAGTTTCCCGTTTCCCAGCTCCATCCTTTCTGATGAAGGCTATCTGAAACCATTAAGAAGGAAAGTTACGAAAGGGCATGGTGATTTAAGCAGTTAATGCCAGCACTGAGGAGGCTGAGGCAGGAGGATCTCGGTGAGTTTGAGACCAACCTGGTCCACATAGTGAGCTCCAGGCCAGCTAGTTCTGCAGAGTAGAACCCCGTCTCAAAGCTGGGTGGGCTACACCCCGAAAGAAAAATCAAGCAAATGCAGAAGTTAGACTTCACAATAGGCTGGGACCTTTCACAGGATAATGCTGTTGGGACACACGAGAGCAATCTGCAAACTAAGAGACTATTACGCCAAAGTAAGCAGAGTGAGCAGCGCCAGGAAATAAAGCTTTCTATCATGAAAGAGTATTTGAGGGGCAGGGATAAAAGGAAAGGGTATTTTTAGAACTGGAGAAATATGAATATGGAATGGATATTAGAAGACATTGAGCTGGAGGCATAGCTGAGTGACAGAGCATAAGCTTACCATATGTGAGGTCATAGCTTAAAACCCTGGCATGACACAAAAATAATTAATATGTGGAACTGTTAATAATACAGCAAAATTGCCCGCTATGGTGGTGCACACCTTTAATCCCAGGTCTACACTGTGAGTTACAGACCAGCCTATAACAGTAAGACCCTGATTCAAAACACACACACACACACACACACACACACACACACACACACACACACACACACACCCATTGAATTTAGATTTAGAGTTTATCCTGGTATTTTTAGTTCTTTTTCTTTTCTTCCTTTCTCTTTATTTTTGATATATTTATTTTATGTGTCTGAGCATTTGCCAGCATGTATGCAGATGCACCGTGTGTGTGCCTAGTGCCTATGGAGGTCAAACGGTATCAGATCCATTGGAACTGAAGCTTAGGGTTAGGGTTAGGGTTAGGGTTAGGGTTAGGGTTAGGGTTAGGGTTAGCTACAGCTAACAGATGGTTGCAAACCATCACATGGATACTGGAACCAAACCCAGGTCCTCTGTAAGAGCAACAAGTGCTGTAAACCACCCAACATTCTCTCCAGGATCCCTTTTCATTCTTTTTTTGGTGGTGGGTGGCACTGAAACAGGTCTCTGCACAGCCCTGGCTGTCCTGGAACTCGCTCTATAGATCAGCTGGCCTCAGACTAGCAGAGAGCTGCCTGCCCTCTGCTTCCCCAGTGCTTGGGATTAAAAGTGTGCACGACCATGGCCCATCTCTTTTAATTCTTTAAAAAACTCCATTTATTGATCTCAGTTTATGTATGTGTGCACACACTCAAGTGTACAGAGGTCACTGGACTCCTTGCCGAGTTCATTTTTTCACGCTACTATATGGGCTCTGGGGACTAAACTCAGATATTCAGGCTCAGTAGCATGCTCCTTTACCCATCAAGCCACTGTGCCAGTCCCCATCTTTTTTTGTTTGTTTGTTTTATGAGTCAGGGTTTCTCTGTATTGTTTTGGAGGCTGTCCTGGAACTCGCTTTGTAGACCAGGCTGGCCTTGAACTCACAGAGATCCACCTGCCCCTGCCTCCCGAGTGCTGGGATTAAAGGCGTGTGTCACCACCGCCCGGCCCCAGTTCCTATCTTTTACTTGACTGCTTCTTTTTGTTTTGTTTTTGTTTTTTGACACAGGGTTTCTCTGTGTAGCTTTGTAGACCAGGCAGGCCTCGAACTCACAGATATCCTGTGTCTGCCTCCTGAGTGCTGGAATTAAAGGTGTGAGCCACCACTGCCCAGCATTACTTGGCTTCTTTTGAGACTGTCTCACTCTGTAGTCCATGCTCACTTGGTGCTCACTACATAGTCCAGGCTGACCTCAAACTCTTGGTGATTCTCCTACCTCAACCTTCTAAGTGCTGGGGTTAAAGGCGTGTGTGACATATCCGGCTATTTATGGTACCTTCAAGTTAGAATATTTTTAATTAAAAATTAAAAGTTAAGTCTGTTATCTAATTTCCATTTTCTCTTCTATTCACCAACTTGATGACACACATCTTCAGCATATAAAAACATCCTCTGGACCTGAGTATGTGGGTCATTGGTGGAGTTTCAGCCTTGAATGCTCAACTCTCGGTTCAATTCCTAGCACCCTCCCCCAAAATTAAGAATAATGAAGTTCTTTGAAAAGGTATTAACAAGACATTAAGGGCTTGTATTATTTGCTACAAATATATCTTTTGTAACTTGGTCTCTTTGTCTAAAGGATGCAATGGCAGTCAGATCTCTGGGAGTTTGAGGACAGCTTAGTTTTTGTGTGTGTGTGGTTTTTCGAGACAGGGTTTCTCTGCGGCTTTGGAGGCTGTCCTGGAACTAGCTCTTGTAGACCAGGCTGGTCTCAAACTCACAGAGATCCGCCTGCCTCTGCCTCCCAAGAGCTGGGATTAAAGGCGTGCGTCACCAACGCCCGGCGCCAGCTTAGTTTATGTGGTGATTTCCAGACTAGCTAGAGTTACATAGTGAGATCTTGACCCCCAAAGGCAGCAAGGCATGAAAGAGTCTGAGTAACACAATAATAAAGTGAACAAAGAGTCAGCAAGAGGGCTCAGCAGGTAAAAGTGTTTGCGTCAAAACTTGATGACCTGAGTTCAATCCCTGCCTTCCACAAAGTGGTAGGAAAAACCAACATATAAAGCTGCCCTACTGTCAGACGGTGGTGGTGCACTCCTTTAATCTCAGCATTTAGGAGGCAGAGGCAGGTGGATCTCTGTGAGTTCGAGACCAGCCTGGTCTACAAGAACTAGTTCCGGGACAGCCAGGGCTGTTAGACAGAGAAATCCTGTCTCAAAAAAACAAAACAAAACAAAAAAATGTCACCATTGTAAAAAAGCAAAACAAAAACTCAGAAGGCCAGTAGGTAATAGGGACTTGTGCACAAGCCTGATAGGTACCTGAGTTCAATCCCTGGATTCCACAGATCGGCAGGAGAGAACCAATTCACAAAAGTTATCCTATGACTTTCAACCACGTCCCAAAGCAGGTGCATGTGTGTGCACAAACGCTTGGGCAACAGACGCTACCTCGAGTCTGAGGTCAGTTTGGACAGTGAGTTTCAGGCTAGCACAGGCAGCAAAACGATACCCAGTCTCGACGAGACCGAACCAGACCAAAACAAATCAGTAACCGCAACAACACGAAACCCTCTGCCTCCCCAAAAGGATGACAGAAGTGAGACAGTGACTACAGCTTAACTGATTAACGGGTTACAGAGCCTTCTGCAATTAACAACAAAACCTCAGCTACTGTGATTTGTGACGGAACTTCTCAGTTCGGTTTGCTGAGACACCTCAAAGTTCGTAGGCACTACCCTATTGCAAATAGGACTATATGCTTTAGGCTATATTACCAGAAGTACCATTCATGAGTCCCAAGGGATACATTCACTTGTTTAAAACCCACAGCAGCCTGGTCCTCAACCTAGTGTCCCTCACACACCATCCGCCGCGTACTCCTCAATTCCTTCATCCCTGGGCCTTACCTGCCCCCCCACTTCCCCGCCCAGCCCCAGCCTCCCTACACCCACCAGGCGTGGCCGCAGAAGACACGAAAAATCCTTGGTCTCTATGCCTCCCCGCCCCACACATAAAAATCCCGGGGTTCGCTCACGTCACAGGACCGGGGATCAGAAGTCCGGAGCAACTAACGGAAGCCTCGGCCTCGGCCCTCGGCAATGCCTCTAGACTATTGGCTACTGGGTGCGTCACGTTAGCGGCGCGTCCTTCCGCTAGCCAGTAAGCGAGAGTTTTACCGCAAGGCTTTCTGGGAGTTGTAGTTCCCATGAAACCACCGCCCGTAAACCTCCACACTCAATCTCAAGCACTTCAACCTCTTCTCCCTCGCACGTCTCATCTTAGAAGAGGTTGGTAAGAAGGAATCGAAGTCCTAGGATCAACATGGGTCAATCGGTTTTAGTTTGGGAGCGGGGAGTCAGGGACTTCCCATTTAAAATCGCGTAAAATATTGCTCCCAAAATGTAAATAACACCCACTCACCTGAAGCCTAGGCCTGCATAAGTGACGGATCTGTTCTGCCCCTAATCAAAAAGCATCCGCCCGACCACAGCCAATAGAGTTGGAGGTCTCAAGTTTCTGCAGCCATGAAGACTCTAGGCCACGCCCGCGGGGTTTTTCAGGTCCTGACCTGCACTGTAAGGTAAACCATCTTTCCTGAGCGCCAACTTCAGTCCTCTTTCGTGGACACTAACAACCTCATCTGCGACCTAGACACGTGGACGAGTGGAGTGGAGAAACCGAGGGAAAAGCCTCAAATTCCAGCTCTGGGCCTTGGTCTTTCTCCCATACTCTCCTCTTGTCAGAAGCAACAAGCCGATTTTTGCAGAAAGGGTGAGGGGACGTTCTAAAAGTGTCCTCCAGCCTTCCAGCAAACGCTACCTCCTATGAGCTGTGGGTGCAGCCTCTATTAGCTTAGCGTGTGCGAAGAGGCCCTGGTTCTCCTGGGTTCAGTTCTTAGCACCACCGAGCCAGAGGAACCAGGGAGGACAAAAATATCTTTCTGGATTCCTGTCCGTTTTGGATAGAGGTAAAGGGATTCATTCATTCCTTCTGCCGCTCTCACCCCTCCAGGCTGTAGCTATATCCTCGGCTAGGACCCGCAGCACAGCGATCCTGCTTTAATCCAATTGGAATCCCCAGGGAGCAGTCCTTTGCCTTGAAAAGTGAGACCCCAATAATACCCGAGGCAGAACTTTGAGGGATAGCAAATACGGGCTTAAGGTGGTTGTGGGAAAATTATCAATTATTGGTTTCTGTCCCTCCCCCTGCTCTACTCCTGTAGATTCGGGAAGCCTAGCCAGGGTTAGGTATCAGTCTCGGGTGCCTCCGTTGTTAAACCCCAAGGCATTGAGCACATGTATTTAAAGTGTAGTTTAATTACCAGCTTTCTCCTCTTAGTCTGTAGGACTGAGTGGACTCCCTGGAGCTTTGCACCGAGTGGGTGCTAAATAAATAAGCATTGAACGGATGGATGGATGGATGCATGGATGGATGGATGTGTGGATGCGCTAGTACCGGCACGCCTCGTTCACCACCCTCCTCCCTCGGCCAGGGGGTTAATGGTGGTTAGTCTGGCCAGGCTCCGGAGCAGCCACGTCAGGGTCGCTTCCCCCGGGCCCCGCCCCGGCCGACCCCACCTTGTCGCGCGGCTCCACCCCGTCGCCCCCTTCTCGGCGGCCCCTCCCCGCGCAGGTCCTGACTCCAGCCGCACCTCCTCCGGCTCTGCAGTGGCGGCAAGAAAGAGAGCCGGAGCGCCTGCGGGGTCCGGCCTGAGCGGAGCCGGTGTCGGGGCAGCCGCGAGGACCCCCTGGAGGCGGGGCCTGTGGGACCGCGATGGGCGTGGAGATCGAGACCATCTCCCCGGGAGACGGTACCGGGCGGCGGGGCCGGGGAGGAGAAGGAGGGGTCCCGGGGCGGAGTCCGCGGGCAGAGGTCTGATTCCGAGGTGGCTCCGGGGACCTGAAACGGGGTAGGGGGTGGGGGAGAGATGCGCACTTCAGAAGGAGACCCCCACCCCGATTCTTGGGGGTTCTAGAGGACAATTCACTACCACCCTCTTCTGCGCCCGCTCACCTTGGGGAGTGAAGGCGGCCACCTTGGTACCAGGGGTCTGCGTCCGGCCACTGTCCAAGGCTGCAGTTTATGCTGCCTTAGCTTCAACCTCTGGATTATCGCTGCTGCTGACTTCTCAGGTTCGAATTTCAGCTCGGTTTTCGCTGTCCGACAGCAAGGATGAACCCGCGTAGGGGGTCCCTGCTGCACAGGAAATCCCTCCTAACGCGCCCCACCCTCCAGTCCTCTTGTCTGGAGGCCCCCAGGGCTGGGCAGCGGTAAGCTGTAGAGTGAGCCAGTTTGGGAGCCTGCCACTCCTTTGGCTGCATTTGCTTCATATTTCATCCTCCGGTCCCACTCAGGTTCCCTGGTCATCTGCCCATCACCATGTCCTCCAGAGTCAATCTCAAAACCCAGCCCTCGGACCTGCCGTTTTACCTGTTTGGACAGTCCAGGGTGCCTCAGTCAGCGAGCCCAGAACAGAACTCATGTTTCCTAACTTTAATCACCCCACAAGTCTTTCTCTGGGTTCCCTGTCTGCTGTCAAGAGAACCAGCAGCGAGTTTTTTCAACTACTTAGAACACTGGGTGTAGATAGATATTCAAGGAGTAGCCATTTCTTCCTTAAGCAAATTGTAATCCAGACCTCAAAGCCTCACCCCAGGTCTACAGTGTTTAACAAGCAAACTTGCTGGTAGATATTGGCATGCTTCTCCCCAAAATTGAAAGGCTTCTTGGTTACGAAATACCAGCTACTAGCCAGATCACTCCTTGGGTGCAGGTTTCTCTGTCCATGGGAAGAACTGCGGTGCTAGGGTCGAGGAACCGTTCCCAGGCTTTGTCGCCCGCACAGCCACCTCCCTGTCTTGGTTCTCATCTCCCTGTGTCTTCCGTTTGACTTCTACTCCTCACTCTCCTCGTTTTCTCACCTGTCTCCTTTTCAAATGTAGACCTTAACAGGCCCCTCCCTCAGGCAGGTAATTATTAAGAGATGCTTCACCCCACTTCTGCAAGCAGTCTGCCCCTTTAGTGATAAATAGGGAGACAGTGATCCGCACTGCAGATCCTCTTTCACTACAGTCCCTGCACCCACAACCAACTTCGCCCAGCCACCTGCAACTTGTTAAACACACGCCCCATTGTGAGGAGCATGTACTGTGTGCTGGACCCCAGGTAACAGGGTGAAACCAGTGGGCTCCCCTGTGACTGGACTCTAGAACCCTAAGGCCTTCTTTTCTCTGTTTTGGGTGGAACCCAGGGTCTTGTGGCATGCTAACCAACTGCTGTATGTTGCACTACATCTCAACAATGGATTCCAGGCTTTGAACATGTCTTACAAGTCATTCTGTTTCCCAGACCCCTTTACTTCTCCATACAGACCCCTACTCATCCTTTGACATCTAATTTAACTATTTCCCATGATGCTTTCTCTCGCCCTCTTTGCTCCCTTTGTAGGCTCCTACAGTCCACTATCATAATCCAGCCTCATGTCTTTCTCTTCCACCCAATTTGTTTATTCAGTGCCGGCTGCCCATCTACCTTCTTGCAGTAAAAACTTGCATGTCTAATAGGCAGCTCAAGATTGCCACCCGCACAAATCTGTTCCTTTCCAGTTTTCTCATCTCCAAAAACAGCTCCGCCACCTTCCAGTTACCCAAACCCCAAATTCAACCATCGTTCTTGTGTTCTCCTTTTCCCTAATCCAGGGATGAGGTGGGTGGTGGGCCCCATCCATCTGCATGCCCTTGTCAGCCCTGCTTCTCTTCTCCACTGCCACTACCTTAATTCACGCCATCATTGATTTCTTGTCTAGATTATTACAACAGATGTCTAAGCACCCATCCCACATGCAGCAGCCAGAGTGATCTTATAAAATCTTAATTTGGATTAGGTCGTTCTCCAGCTTTTAAGCCTTCAGTGGTTTCCTATTGCACTTGCATTAGACCCATCCTGCAAACCCCTTTCACATCCCTCCCCCCCCCCCACACTCTGCTCTCTTCTGTTCGGAATATACAGCAATCCCTTCCTGCTGCATGGTCCTCGAGTCGACTCCTTCCTAAAGTACCAGCGCAAACACCACCTTCTCCAAAATGCCTTCCTGGGACACCCTTTCTGAGATTGCTGGCTCACTGCGTCTCTCTGAAATTCATCAGTGTGTTGCTTTTCTTTAGAGGTCTTATAACCGTCTACAATTATTTATTTGAGCATTGTTTGTCTCCCTCCTTTAGAATGTAAACTGGGGAGATGGCCCAAGGGGTAAGAGCTCTAGCTATGCAAACATGAAGGCTTGAGTCTGAATCTCCATCACTCATCTAAAAAAGCTGGGTGTGACTGCAAATGCCTGCAAACTCCAGCACTGGGAGGAGAGACAGGCAAATCCTGGGAGCTCCGTGCATAGCTTCTGGTTCAGTGACTGACTCTGTCTCAAGGGAATAAGTTCTAGGGGGACTGAGGAAGGCACTCAACATTTTTCTCTGGCCTCTTGCATGCAAGTTCATGGGCATGCGCACCTATATACACAAAAGTATAACACACACACACACACACATAAACACACACACACAAAACACCCCACCTGACCATCCCACATACACAAAAGAAAGAATGTAAACCCAAGAAGACCAGGGAACCTGTCTTTATTGTTCTCTGGCATGAGGCACCAGTCTGGTCTTTATCGATCACTTGTGAATGGTTGCAATTTATTTATCCTTGATGGCACTCACAACTCTGTAGCAATTGGGGATTTATGTTTTTGCTTCTCTTCTTCATGGGTTCACATATTGCTGTCTGTCTCTGGAATCTACTTCAGGTCTGGCATGAAGTATGCTGTTCATGAAAGCCTGCAGACTAGAGCAAAGTAAACTGAGCAGTAAAAAGTGATGGGCTCTGTAGACCAGGCTGGTCCCGAACTTACAAGATCCACCTGCCTCTGCCTCCTGAGTGCTGGGATTAAAGGTGTGCGCCACCAACACCCGGCTTTTTTTTTTTTTTGAACTAGTAAATTGGACCAATAACATAAAGTTCAAATACAAACCAGAAAGGAGACATTATTACTCCTGGCTTATCCAAAGCACAGAGACAGGCAGCTCTGTGGTAATGAGAGAAAAGTGAGCTACTCAAGGTCGAAATCAAACTTGGATGTGTCAGGTGAGCTTTCTAATTCCCTAATCTTTATCTGCCTTCCTATCTCTCACCAGGAAGGACATTCCCCAAGAAGGGTCAGATATGCGTGGTACACTACACAGGTACGTCTTACTCCCTCAGGCCTGGCCCAGGCCTGCCTCTCCCAAGGCAGGGTTATCCTGTAAGCTTCTCTCCAGAGGGTTCTGTCCCTGGATTATCCTCAAAGTCCAAGGCAGTTTCCTGTGACCAGTTTTACTTTCCCCACCAAGACTGTCTACTACGCCAGGCTCCGGTAGATTCGAGCACCTCCAGTTCCGTTGTATGTTGGCCTTCCTGCTCCTGTCTGATGTTTCATACTTGTTCTGAAAGATCGGAGCACCCTTAAATATCCCCCGTTTTACCCTGTGCTTCTTCTTTTGTCCACACCTCCCATTCCACTGCAGTGGGAGGGATGGGGTGGGGGCAATGCTGTCTCCAGGTGCTGGGAGAATCCAGAGGAGGGTGCCATGTCTCTGTTGTCTCTTCTTGGATGCTGTGTGTTTGAAGGCCCATGGACCAAGGGGCGTTCTGTATTTATTTATTTAATGTGTATAGGTGTTTTGATTCTGTGTGTGTGCCACATGTGTTCTTGGTACCCCTGGAGGAAAGAAGGTGTCAGAGCTCCTAGTGCTAGAGTTATGGATATTTGTGACCCACCAAGTGGGTGCTGGGAACTGGACTTGAATGCTTTGGAAAAGCAACAAGTGCTTCCCCCACCCCTCCAGGAACATTTCTTTAGGACTGCTGGCAGGAGGGTAACTGGCAGGTGTTTGCTCTAAGAGGTGTGAGGACTCTGCCTTGTGACTCCATTCCTAATGTGGCAAACTGTATGGGTGACAGCCATTTAGCATACAGCAAGGCCAGCTTAATTCCTGGGACATATTCAGATGGGGCCATTTTTAGCAGTTCTCTCGGCCGGTGTGAAGCACCAAGCTGGCTCTAGCAGATGACGTCGCTGTTGTATCTCCAGTCACTGATGTCAGCACACCCAGACTGTTTTATCTCCTGGTAATGTGGCTTAATTACCCTGGGGCCTCTGGAGCCTCTGACCAGGGTAATTGATTTATTTGTTCTACATGTTGTGGGCAGATCATTGTTGATCAAGTTAATGAAACCAAACATCTTTTTTGCAAAGTATATACACAGAGTAGGCAGTGCGCTTTAAACACTTAACATCAGCTACAAATTGCTCTGCTTTGGGAGAACCTGTCTTATCAAAAACAGTAGGAGACTGTATATATGAAACTTCTGGCAAACTTTAAAAAAATGAAATATAAGCTGGTCCTGATGGCCCACACCTATAATAGCCACAATTGGGAGGTGGGGACAAAAGGACCAAAAGTTCAAGGCAAACCTTGGCTACGTGGTGAGTTTGTGTGTTTGGTCCCTGCAGAGGCTGGAAAAGGACACTGAATCCTCTACAAACTGAAATTGTTGTGAGCTGCTGTGTGAGCACTGGGAATTGAACCCAAGACCTCTGCAAGAGCAGCAAGTGCTCTTAATTACTGAGCCATCCTCCAGCCCTGATGTTAATCTTTCAATAGTTACTTTTTGAGTAGCAGCTCTTAATTTTCATGATGTCACACTTACCAGCCTTCTCTTTGATGGTTACATATTTTTCTGTGTTCACTTCAAGAAATCTTTCACTGCATTATGAAGATATTCATTTATTCATGTTTATTTATCACCTTGTAAAAATGCTGTTGGTAGCCAGGTGTTGGTGGCTCTCACCTTTAATCCCAGCACTTGGGAGGCAGAGGCAGGCGGATCTCTGTGAGTTTGAGGCCAGTCTGGTCTACAGAGTGAGTTCCAGGACAACCTCCAAAGCCATAGAGAAACCCTGTCTGGGGGGGGGGGGGATGCTGTTGCTGGTGGTGTTTTCTTTTATTTTTTATTATGTATTTATTTATTTATTTTTTTGGTTTTACGAGACAGGGTTTCTCTGTATTGTTTTGGAGGCTGTCGGTCCAGCCCGACCTCGAACTCACAGAGATCCACCTGCCTCTGCCTCCCCAGTGCTGGGATTAAAGGCGTGCGCCACCACCACCCGGTGCTTTTTATTTTTTTTTAACTTGAGACAGGATCCCCTGTTACTCTGATTGGCCTCAAGGCTGGCCTTGAACTCCTGATTCTCTTGACTCCACCTGAGTGTTGGGTTTACAGGTGTGCACCACTGTGCCCAACTGCTTTGTAGAAGCTGTGAGTAGTAGTGTTTCATGGCGCTAAGAATCAAACCTAATTTTTTTTGTACATAAAGTGAAGTACTCCACCACTATGCTGCATCCCAAGCCTGAGACTTTATTGTCTTTCATATTTAGGTTCATGGTTCATCTGGAATTGGGTTTTGTATGTGGAGGTGGTAGAAGCTGAAGTTCAAAAATTTCCCCCCACGTGGATATAGATTTGATCCAGCAATGTTAATCCAAAAAAGTCATGCTCTATTTGATGTATTACAGCGGCATCTTTGTAAAAGAAGTAAACGTATTTATGTGGGTCTGTGTCTGGGTTATGTGGCTTCGGCTGAGCTCACAGCAACAGATAGCTGTCACATGGTTCCAAGTGGATTCAGCCTTATGAAACTCAAAGGCACTGGGGAAATGGGAAAGCTAGTCTATAAATGGACTCCGCACGTGCATGTATTCAAGTGTGTATTTGTCCAAGTGCATGTCTGTGTGAATATATGTAGGTCTGTCTATCTAAATATTTTCTTAGCATCTGTTTGGCCATCAGGGCTTCTCTCCTGAGTGTGTGTGTAAGTGCATGTGAGTATGCATAAATATCTCTGTGAATTTGAATATCTTACCAACTGTGTATCTGCATGTATTTGTGTGTGAGCTCTGTGGCATCCATCTGTGTGCATCTCTGGGTAGCCAGAAGGGTTTCTCCTTCGCCATATTTAGAACTCGGGGCAGGAGCCCAACCTACCCAGAAGGTAGGTAAATAGGACTCTCTAGTACACATTCAGAAGTAAAACTGTAGCTGGCGAAGCCTCCTGTGTTAAGTATGGGAAATATAAGGCCCATTTCCCTGACAGCACACAGACTCAGTGCCAGACTGAAGTAAAAACCTGGTCTCAGCTAAGTGTGGTGACTTACACCTGAGACTCAGTACTTGGAAACTCCTAGAAGTTCCAAGGCCAACATACTGAGCTCCAGGCCAGCCTGGCTACAGAGTAGGAAAGACCCGGTTGGAACAAAACAAAATCAGGAAACAGTAAGAATTCAGTTTCTGGATTTACCAGGTCAGGTCTTCCTATGGTCCCAAATGATCTACAGAAATCTTGGAACAGCATGGTATTTAGAGGGGCTGGAAAGATGGCCCAGTGGTTAAGAGCCGGACTGCTCTTCCAGAGGACCTGGGTTCAATTCTCAGCACTTACATGGTGGCTCACATCCATCTGTAACTCTAGTTCCATTTTCTGGCCTCCAAGGGTACCAGGCACTTAAATGCTAGCTACGCATACATGCAGGCAAACATCTACACATGTAAAATAAGATGAAAATTTAAGAAGAAACTCTGGTCTTTGAGCAAGAGTACCAGTTAGCACTGGGAATAGTACAGCAGCTCCAGGTCCTGGGGCCACGGGGCAGTCACAACATATGGATGTCAGGGATGACGGGGCGGTTGCACAGACCGCCAGAGATCACACTGGGGTGTCCCAGGATAAAACTACTGTTTGTGCATGAGCTGTAAGCTACCAGCGTGTCCAAATCACCTTGTCCTTTCACTGGAGTGGGGGATGATGGGACATAGTCTGACCTTTGGCTTTGCATTTCTCAGGAAGTTCTGAGGAAAGGACTGAACCCGAGACGAGCGTGCCCGAGGACGCTGCATGGAAAGTTTAGAAGTGTAGACGAACTTGAGAGTGGTGTGCTCCGGATAGTGGAGGAGAGGAGAAGTGAGGGGGAGAGAGAGAACTTGAGGGCAGGCATCATTAGCTGGATTCTGCTCTGGGAGCTGTTGTGTTCTAAGCAGGGAAGTAAATATGACCAGAATTGTGTTTAAAGGGGAAAAATCTGTTGCTGTAACGAGTGGAAGATGGGTGAGGAGTAGGAACACCATTTGGGAGGCTGTTTCTGTCGACAGGTGAGACATGGTGGTGACTGGGGCAGACCAGAGTGGTGGTGGTGGCGCAGAAACTGAAAAGGTGGGTAGATTCCAAAGAGCCGTAGGACTTGGTGACAGGCTGCATGTGGACTTGAGGCAGTGATGGGCCCAGGTTTCCTGCTGACGAGGAGGGTTCCTTCCGAAGAGGAATTCCATTAGACACGCCGAGTCCAGTTGTTAGTTCACGCTTTTCTACCCTCTTCTCACTCTGTAGGAATGCTCCAAAATGGCAAGAAATTCGATTCATCCAGAGACAGAAACAAACCCTTCAAGTTCAGAATTGGCAAACAGGAAGTCATCAAAGGTTTTGAGGAAGGCGCTGCCCAGGTAGGTCAAGGGTGCCAGCTGAGGGTTTAAGGAGGCTGAGGATGCTCGCTAAAGGGGTTTAAGGACTAGTGGGTTTGAGCCCTCCGTTTCCCCACTCACTGTAGCACAGAGCACACGCTGCCATGACTGTACTGCCAGGGTGCGCAACGCCACCTAGTGCTCACTCCTGGTTCTGCCCTTCTCCTCTTCTGTGGCTAGTCCATCTGTGTCTCATCCCAAGCATCTTTCCTAGACTTGCTTGAGTGGGCTGAAAAGGTAAGACAGCAGAAGAGCTAGAGATGGACAAGCCAAGCAGTGCTTCGGTTTTTGCTTCTAAACGTTTTTTGAAGCTATTTCAGACATAAAAATATTACAGAAATAGCTGAGCTCCTATATAATTTTCACCCAGCTTCTTCAAATGTTAATCTATGTAACAGTAATTCAGCTGGAACATTAACACCAATACAATACTAGCCAGTCAACTCAATGTTTTGGAATTGTTTGGAACTTAAGCTTCACAGCTCCTGTGGGCTGACAGTGCTGATGAGCTTTGGTCCCAGCTCTCCCTCAGTTTGGTAGGGAAGTCATAGGAAGTCCCGGAGCTTTGCCGCCTTGCTGTGGCCGTTAGTTACTGAATCTGAACTGATCCTGTTACAAGTGTGTCCCGTGCTGCTTATACATTCCTCTTTGGCTACTTCAGAAGAGGACAAGAACAATTATGAGCAGACCAGTGTTCGGGCCATGCACTGGCTGGATAACCAGTAATGTCAGATGTTTGAATGGATCTGGGACTACTTAGTAGCTGCTAACTGCCCCATAGTCGAGTCTACTTTGAGGCGGAGTCTGCATGTTAAGCTTTTGGTCTAACTTTAGTGAGCCACATGTAAAACTAATCTCCGATCTGGAATTACCCTAATTTGGTTTGGGAAAAATGCCATAGTTATCTTACTTTTTTCTTTTAAATCAAGCTGGGTCCTCTTTCTCCTCTCCCCATCTGCCCCCATCCCTGCTAGATGAGCTTGGGGCAGAGGGCGAAGCTGACCTGCACCCCTGATGTGGCATATGGAGCTACTGGCCACCCTGGTGTCATCCCTCCCAATGCTACCCTCATCTTTGACGTGGAGCTGCTCAACTTAGAGTGAAGGAAGGAAGGTGGCCGGCGATGGCTCCTGCTCTGTCCTAGCCTGCTCTGCCACTGGGACGGCTCCTCCTATGCAGGGCTCTTGATCAGTGTGCTGACCTCACTGCCCCTTGACATTATCCATTCTTCCCGCCCGACTTGCTCTGTATGTGTCCGCCACTTTAATTGTCCCCATACGTCTTTGCTTGAGATTTCATTACAGATCCAGACATTTCAAGATGTGCATTTTGTGTGATGCATGTACTAGCCATTCCTGATCAGAGGACGCAGATCTTGTTTGCACAATCTATATTGCCTTACCTGCACTTAAGCCAGACATACAAGGTGCTCAGACATGCGCTGTCCATGGTTCCACGGAGGGACTTGAGCCAGTTACCTTTGCTGTCACATTCTTATCTTCTGTTGGCTGCCTACTTTCAGCAGTGCCCTCTTTGGAAATACTGTGTAAAATAAAGGCTCCATGCTTGGCATCTTCCTGTCCATCGTGCTGTGGGAAGTTCTTTAATGACACACAAGCCAACTGCCCTTGGTGACAAAGGAGGCTTTCTAGTAGTTGCTCCTGTAACTGTTCATGCTGGACCTTGTTCCACATTCTTTTGGTCTTATTTTGTTTTGAGACAGGGTCTCAGAGCCCAGGCTGAGGTCTAGTATTCCTTTTAAAATAAAATGATCACAAATCCTCTAAACAACTTTGCAAATTAGCTACTACTCTACTAAGCTCACCAGCTTGGAGTCCTCTGTATAACCCAGCATCCTAGCAATCCTGAGTAGGATCTGATCTCCTAAGGTGATCTGGCAACTTCATCTGTTTGCAGTGAGGGATGAGCTTCCCTCACCAGACAGAACTATGTGTATCTGAGCAGATGAATATGCTAAAGGCTTGAAACCTTAGACTCACCCTGGGAAATTACTTTAGAAGAGAATGTGTAGTTCTGAGGCTTATTTTCATAGGTACCACTTAGTTACATCTAGATTTTCGCCTTGAAGAGTTACTTCTGAGAACAATGTGGTAGAATGTATGTGTGCCTGCTTTGGAGGCTGTCCTAGAACTCACTCTGTAGACGAGGCTGCCCTCGAATGCACAGAGATCTGCCTGCCTCTGCCTCCTGGAGGCTTGGATAAAAGGCCCAGCTTGTTTGTTTACTTATCTATCGCTTTTATTTGAGACAGGATCTCCACTGTGTAGGCTGGCCTTAAACTCGAACTCACAGAGACCTGTCTGCCTCTGTCTCTCAAGTGTTGGGATTAAAGATCCACTGAAAATCATGTAGCATCCTATGCTACAGAGCCACCATTTGGGCTACTTTCTCTAACTTTTATCTCCATGGGTGAATTCTTCTGCTAAAGCTAAGGGGTTCCTGAAAAGGAGGTGCATTGAACACAACCATGAATGGAAAAGGGACTGCCTTGCTTTTACTCATCCAGTCTGTGGGACCACAGTGGCCAAAGGATGCTGTACCCATTCCACTCTGGGGTGTCACGTCTGGAATGTCCTCGATGACTCCAACACCTATAATTCCTTAGAACTCAGCCTGTACAGAAGACATACCCATGCTTTCTGCTGTTGACACCAGCAAGATGAGCAAAGATGACACCAAAGACGATGTCATGGGGCCACACAAAGGATCTGTTCATGGTAGTGTAGCCTGGGTGGCAAGAGGCTCTAAGGACAGCTACTAAGATACCCTAAAAATTCAAACAGCTATTGGCTAGCGCCTGAGGGATATACAGGCTTTACAGGTAAGCTGAGAAATGACTGCTTTTTCAAGTCTTCGGAAGATGATGTGGCAAATTATGACACATGCCAAAGAGTTCAGACAGTGTCTTGAAAGAGCCACTAGAGATTGGAAAGTGACAGACCAGCTATACAATCTATATCATGTCAGTTGTTTTCAAACTGCTACTCAGTGAGTCTCCTAAATTGTTTCAGAACCAGCCAGGCCATGTTGGCGCATGCCTTTAGTCCCAGCACTCGGGAGGTAGAGGCCAGCCTGGTCTACAGAGTGAGTTCCTGGACAGCTAAGGCTACACAGAGAAACCTTGCCTCAAAAAACCAAAACCAAATAAACACAAACAAAAAACCCAACAACAAAAAAACCTGAACTTTAGGTACCTGGTGCAGAAGATGATCAGAGCCTCAGATTTAACAACATACCTCCTGCTGAGCAGCTCAGTGTCTGGCCCACTCTTGTCTGAGTTCTTGTAACTAAATTACATAATTCCAGACAATCAGGAGGGAATTTGTTTTCTGTAATTCTGGGGTCAAACCCAGCACCTGGCTCAGAAAGTCCTCTCTCATTGAGTTATATCCCTAGCCCTAGTTTTAAAACTCTTAACTTTGGGTCATGAAATTCAGCTAACAGGTACATAATCCAAATGATTATGCTCATAACTGCTAATAGAAGTAATTGTCAGCCGGGCGTTGGTGGCGCACGCCTTTAATCCCAGCACTCGGGAGGCAGAGGCAGGCGGATCTCTGTGAGTTTGAGGCCAGCCTGGTCTACAGAGCGAGTTCCAGGACAGCCTCCAAAGCCACAGAGAAACCCTGTCTCGAAAAACCAAAAAAAAAAAAAAAAAAAAAAAAAAAGTAATTGTCCTGGTTACTAACACCATTAGAGTTGAGCTGGCCTGCCACTTGGAGACATCACTCTCTAGTCAGTCTCATTTCAGCTTTCCCCGACAAAGAGCTCTTTCAGAACACCATTTACATCTGCAGACATCTAAGCCACAGTACGCATTATGGAATTAAGGAAATCATAAAAGCACTCATAAGAAAAATTACAGCTGTGGCCTTTTTATCCACCCGCCCTTTTTAGAAAGGACTTTTTTCTGTTTTGGTTTTTCAAGACAGGGCTTCTCTGTGTAGCCTTGGTTATCCTAGAACTTGCTCTGTAGACCAGGCTGGCCTTGGACTCACAGAAATCTGCCTGCCTCTGCCTCCTGAGTGCTGGGATCAAAGGTGTGTGCCACCACCACCCGGCCAGAAAGGGCTTTTTGCTGAGCTGGAGAGATGGATCAGTGGGTAAGGGCACTGACTGCTCTTCCAAAGGACCCAGGTTCAATTTCATCACCCACATGGCAGCTTATAACTGTAACTCCAGTTTCAGAGGATCTGGCACCTTCACACAGATATATATGCAGGCAAAACCCGAATGCACATCAAATAAAAATAATAATTTTTTAAGGGACTTTTCCTGGCTGTGGTGGCACATACCTTTAATCCCAGCACTCAAGAGGTAGAAGCAAGCAGGTCTCTGAGTTTGAGGCCAGCATGGTCTTCATAGTGGGTTCCTGGACAGCCAGGGCTGTTAATCTTGAAAAAACAAAACAATAACAGCAAAAGGCCTTTCCTTCTTTCACAATGCTTTCAAAACTCACTCAGACATAATAAATCATTCCTGAGTGAGCTTTGAAAAGAGCACAAAAACCAGAAAGTAGTCTATTTTCTTAAAAGTAATGACAGAGTTTAAATGCAATTACAAGTAGGCTATCTTTGCCAATACTAGTCAATTTGTGTAGCCTTCAAAGTGACTCTAGGTTCTGGGTTTATAAAACAATCAGTCCACACTTCTCCATTTGGCCTGTGCCTGAACTATAAAAAGAAAATTTATAGCTGTCTTTCCCCAAGCTGCCAAACCACAATGAATGTGGCAATTATTACTCTTCCTATGTCATGGAAACTCCTAAGATTAAGTAAGCATTTGATTTATGGCAAAGCCACATTGTGAGCTAAGTCCCCAAAATATATGGTTAACAATGACAAGGAAATCTATGTAAGCTTGCTCTCAAATTTGTAACATGCTGCCCTCTAAATCATAACCTCCATGACAGACCTCTGCTCTAAGGATGACCTCTGCTGTCAGGACAAGGGCTGCCACACTGACAGGTGCCTGCTTCTTTACAGCTCTTACACCAACCCTCTCATGTCTCTGCCCAGGCTGAGACTGGCCCAGAATTTACTACATAGCTTAGGAAGGCCTCAAACTCATGGTGATCCTCCTGCCTCAGTTTCCCAAGTGCTGGGATTATAGCTGTGCACTATACTAGCTTTTCATGAGCTCTGGTGTCCTCATGTTACCTCATGGGTTGTTACTAGTTAAAAATGACAAGTCTGGGCAGGTGTGGTGGCGCACGCCTTTAATCCCAGCACTTGGGAGACAGAGGCAGCAGATCTCTGTGATTTGGAACCAGCCTGGTTTACATAGAGAGACCCTGTCTCAAAAAAACAAAATCGAAACAAAAAAAGACAAAAGTCTACAAGTTCCTTTGATGGCTTAGGATTTGGCAAAGGCATTTGCTAGCCAGCCTAAGTTTAATCTCCAAGACCAATTTGGTGGAAGGAGAGAAGCAACTCCTACCAGTCATTCTGACTGCTACACGTTCGTTCGCACTTGAGCATACTTATACACAACAAATAAATATGAACAAAGGACAACAAAACTCCCCAAAAGCACTGTTCTCAAGGCCCTCTATCCCTAGGCTCACCTACAATCCTGCATATGGTTCTCCTGTTTTGTTTGTTCCTGGTATTAAACAGGAGGGGAAGTTTAAGAGAAAGTGGCTGGGAAGTGGTGGCGCATGCTTTTAATCCCAGCAATCAGGAGGTAGAGGTAGGTGATCTCTGTGAGTTCAAGGACAGCCTGGTTTATAGTTCCAGGACAGCTAAGGCTGTTACACAGAAAACCCTCCCCCCAAAAAAGAGAAAACACTGACAGGTTTTACAAAAGCTACAAGTTTACTAACATAATATAAAGATTAGAAAAGTTTCAAACAAGTCATTCTAGGTCTCAAATGAGAAATCACAATATTCAGTATTAATGAAAAAGAAACAAGGTTAACCAGGACCACACAGGGACATATTAAGAGTGAAATCACCCAGCTCATTTGGGCGGGTCTGTATTGATGCCATACTTTTCCTTGAGAAGCTTCAGCTGCTCCTCCTTCTTCTTGGTGTCCATCTTCTGGAATGCCTGTGGGTATGACAAGCACCACAGTTAACGGGCACTGACAGCAGCTAAAGGAGTTCATCAGCAGCACTAGCCCAGAGAAAACCCACCACACACTTCCCAGAGCCAGTGCCACTCTGCGAGGGCCGTACTCACCCGGTTAGCATTGTAATACAAAACCACGAGGTATCTGTTACACACGTTGAATCCTGACAGATGGTCACATGCATTCTTAGCATCAAAGATGTCTTCATAGACCACATAGGCTGTTCCTCTGGTCTCGGGTGTATTTCCTCTGCAGGACAGTTAGAAGATACATTTACCCAAGCACCGACAATTTTCAGTCTTTCTGAATCTGTAACTGGGTTGTTTTGGCACTGAGTGCTGGTATTAAAGGCGTCTGCCACCATCACCTAGGTTGGCACAGTATTTTAAAAAATACTATATATTCAAGCCCTTTATGCCAAATATTCTACCACTGAGCTCTGCAATTGTTTAGAGAGAATATACAGAAATGTTTTATTTAAGTAATTTGAAACCAAACTAAAAAATACCAGAGGGAACAAACATCAGGAGTAGATATGCTAAATGAGCCTGCATTGTTTTTTCCTTTTTGTTTTTCAAGACAGAGTTTTTTTGTGTTGTCCTGGCTGCCCTGGAAGTCACTATGTAGACCAGGTTGGCCTCTAACTCAGCAAGCACCACCACCACCCAGCAAGCCTGTAATTCTTTAATGTGTTCTGACCTGAACTATCTCAAGGACCAGGTACGAAGCTACATAAGCATGAGCACAAAATTGTACCCGTGGGCACAGTAGGGCACACCTTTAATTCCAGAACTTTCGAGACAGAGACAAAGTCAGCCAGGTCTACACAGTGAGTTCCAGGTTAGCCAGGTGTACACAGAGAGACCCTGTCTCAAAATACCATAAAAAAAAAAAAGGCAGGGAGTCAGCATCGTCTGCTGTACATAGCTGTGAAACAGAGACCATGTCTCAAAACAAAACAAAACCCTAACCCTTACGCCACCCTCACCCCAGACTCCAATCTAGGCCTTGCTGGTAAAAGGGAATGAAAAATCATCTCACAATTTAGCCTTTCTAGCTTCAGCTACTTTACATCACACACTGATCTCAGTTATCATTTGTCCTGTATTACATGTACTATTTTTTAAAAAAAGATTTATGTGTATATGTGTATGTGCCTGTGTGCAGGTGTTTACATGTGAGAGTAGGTGCCTTTAGAGGCCAGAAGTGGATGTCAGATCCTTGTGGAGCCTGAGTTACAGGCAGGTGGAAGCCACATAATGTGGGTGTTGGGAACAGAACTTGGACCTTCTGGAAGAGCAGGAAACACTCTTAGCCAGAGTCATCTTTCTAGCCTCTTATTTGTGATTTTAGTAGAAAAGGTAACAACATTAAAAGGCTTTAAAGAATACAAAGTACCAAATGTCTACTACACATCAGCAGAGCCATCAGTTGTCCTGCTGTGTGAAGCTCAGCTAGGTTTTAAAGCCCCATTCTAGAAAATCAGTACTAGCTGGGTGTGGTAGCCTTTAACCCCAGCATTTGGGAAGCAGAAGCAGACAAGTCTGAGTTCAAGGCCAGCCAAGGCTATACAGAGAAACCCTGTCTTGAGATACCAATACAGAAAAGAAAATCAGTACTGGCTAAGCTGGTCAGCACGGTGCCTGGTGCCAAGTAAACAAGAGACCACAGCAAAGGAACAGAAGACCCCTTTCTCAGTGTGCAGCTAAGATCCAGGCTTGCCACACTGAATTCTCCCTAAGACGGGCAGGAGAACTAACAGTGAGAAGGTAAGCATCATCCCTTCCTTCAAGGAGCTAGGTTCATGGAAGAGAGAAACGTTACACAGAAATATGGATCACAGACCAGGGAGCAGAGCCACATAAGGAAAGGAGAGTCAAGATGGAGATGAGTGAGGAGAGCTACTTTAACTGGGATGCTTGGGAAAACTCTCTCTGAAAAGTCCTCCCTGAGGCTGAGAGTTAATTCCATCCTCAGAAAAAGCCACCTTGAGAAATTCTGCTGGCACAAGGTTGATTCAGCTCCAGCCAAGGAACCATAAACAGTTCCAAGGAGCACCCCAGTCAAATGACCCCATCTAGGTGGCCAGGCAATGACTAATCTTGGTAAATAATACCTTCTCATCACAACTGTCCTTGTGGGCAACCATTAGTAACAATTTTGTAATTCCCTTAGCCTCCATGTCAATGAATCCAAAGGTCACCTACTCTTACCCAATCCTGAACAGCCAAGGTACATACCACTCTGCTTGTGGTTTTTTTCCTTTAAAAAACCCTTATAGTTGAAGCCAGGCACCCCATTTTCTGCAGCTGCTGTGCCAATCTGCTGGACAGGGTCCCTGCCAAGGCTTGTAACTTAACATTAAACCTTGGTGGCCTTTTTTTGGGTCTCACAAACTTGGCATAGCAGCCCCAACAGCCGCTTTTAGTTTACCACACTCAACTGCCCAGACTGGCCTCAAACTTGCAATCTTTCTGCCTCAGACTCCAAAGTGGCTCCCATTACAGGTGTCTTCCGCCACAACTGGCTCTTCTGTGGCATCTTCGCAACATTGTCTAACTTTGATTTAACCATCTCTCAATTAAGTATTATCAGTAAGCTTTATAAAGCCATCATACATGGCCATACTACTACTTTATTCACTTATTTTCTTCTTATGCTATTGGTGAATGAACTCAAGGTGTTGCATGTATCCCCAGCCCTATTCATGTGCACATATATGTGCATATACTTCAGAAAACTTACAAAAATATAAGTGGGGCTGGAGTTATAGCTCAGAGGTGTAGCACCCACCTTGGATGTACAAGGCTTTGGGCTCAAACCAACAGGCCCACCCAAAGGTGCTTCCTGAAATAAAAGCTTTAGAAATCCTTTGAGAGGAGCCCTTAAATGGCACATGTTCACATACTGTGTAGATAGTTTACAGTTCAGTTCAGGATTAGAAGATTTTATTACTAAACATTACATGGTACTAGAAAGGTACTTTTACTCAAGAACTTGGTAGTCTCACTGTAAAACAGACACATCACTACACATCACACAGCCCACCCCTGCTGCCAGCTACAACTCTGAGATTATAGATGAGGCAAGCATTTCCTGAAAGAGACATTTCAAGTCCCAGTAAGACTTACACTCTGATTTGACGAATAGGTCCATATTTCCCAAATATATCATACATTTCTTCTGCTGTGATTTTGTATGGCAAATTCCTTATATACAAAATCCGATTTACTTCAGGCGGGAGGCGAATCTAAGATGAGAAATATGTATGATTATGCTGTCGGAGAGCAGGGCTGCCATTGAAAAGAACTCAATGATGCCAAATAAGAATAACAACTACAATCCAATACTACTCAAAGTGGCATGCTCTTGGGAAAAACAACAGAGCACCACACAGGGGAGACTACAAGCAGGACCTGAAACTTTTGGCTACTCCCATTTAACAAGTATTTCCCACTTCATTCACAGATCCTTAAGTCTCCTGGGGAAAGAAAAGGCGGTAAAATCCCACTCATAAGCTTTCCATCTTAAGAACTAGTGTCAATGACTTCTCTTTTATTCTTTTTTTTTTTTTTTTTTTTTTTTTTCGAGACAGGGTTTCTCTGTATTGGTTTGGAGGCTGTCCTGGAACTTGCTTTGTAGACCAGGCTGGACTCAGAACTCACAGAGATCTGCCTGCCTCTGCGGAAAGTAATTCTACTAGTATCTCTTCATTCCAGAGTTCAATTCTCAAATGTCTAGGGTGCCTGCCTGTTGTTCCTCCTCCATACTCCATTTCTTCCTGACACCTGTATTTCCTCACAATCTTTGACATTAAAATATTGTTACATAGTTTGTTACTTTCTTGACCCATTATATATTCCTCACTCTACACTCTTCCTACTCCGAAAAATCATAGCTCACTCCTTGCTAATACGGTTAATTATACGCAGACAAAAGATTTCTCAAAAACTACTTATTGACACAATTGTGGCACATGTACATGTAATACAATAATAAAATTTTAAAAGGTTATTCCTACATCAAGTGAGTAGTGGTAATAAAGGTTTGTTTTTGTTGTTGTTGCTGGTTTTCTTTTTCCCCTGAGACAGGGTTTCTCTGTATTGCTTTGGAGCCTGTCCAGGAATTTGCTGTGGAGACCAGGCTGGCTTTGAACTCACAGAGATCCACCTGCCTCTGCCTCCCGAGTGCTGGAACTAAGGCATTTGCCACCATTGCCTGGCTCTTTTTTTTTTTTTTTTTAAGTTTTATAATCAACAACTACCAGGCAAAAATATATTTCTCTAATAAATCTACTTTCTCACTCTGTAAAACATTGTGTAACCCCTCTTTCTTCTGTCCTAAAACCTCACAATCATCATTACCTGTAAAACTGAAAGGGCTGTATACTCTTCTCTGCCAACCCAGATTTCTTTCTTTCTTTCTTTCTTTCTTTCTTCCTTCCTTCCTTTCTTTCTTTCTTTCTTTCTTTTTTTTTGGTTTTTAGAGACAGGGTTTCTCTGTATTGTCTTGGTGCCTGTCCTGGAACTCCATTGGTAGAACAGGATGGCCTCAAACTCACAGAGATCCGACTGCCTCGGCCTCCCAAGTGCTGGGATTAAAGGCGTGCGCCACTAACGCCTAGCTTCAACCCAGACTTCTTGATGAAAACAGGTATGACCAAATGGTAAGCACTATATATTCCTATTACTAAACTTTAATCATCCATGTCCATTCCATTTTTCTTCTACTGCTATACTAACCGCTCATCTACTCAAAATCACTTCTTTAATTATTTTCCTTTTTTCTGTTGTGGTATGAGGTGCTTGGGACCAAATCCAGGGACTCAAGCATTCTAGGAAACACTCTACACTGAGCCACATTTCCAGCTTCAATCCTGGACTTAATACATTTTCCTTCTTTTGTCAGGTTTCTAACATTCTACTGCTCTTGTTGGCATATACAATGCACTTTATGTATCTTTAGAACAATTCAATTTCTCTATTAGTAAGAGAACTCAGAGGACCAACTCTTTGCAGTTCTCTTTTTCTTAATTCCCGCCATCTTTTCATCCTATGGGTACCAAGTTTTCATTCATTGAAATGATTCAAATAAGCCGGGCGTTGGTGGTGCACGCCTTTAATCCCAGCACTCGGGAGGCAGAGGCAGGCGGATCTCTGTGAGTTCGAGGCCAGCTTGGTCTACTAAGTGAGTTCCAGGACAGCGGTAGGACAAAATCTGCACTAGTATACCCACTGGCCTGTCTTTGTTTTGAAGTAATTCTAAGTTTTAACCGTTGCCTACTTTCTTGAAAGGTTTTTGTTTTCCCTCTATGTAACAGTCATGGCTGTTCTGGAGCTCACTCTGTAAACCAGGTTGTCATCGAACTCACTGAGATCCACCTGCCTCTGCTCCCAAGTGCTGGGATTAAAGGCGTGCGCCACCACCCAGCAATAAGAATGACATTAATTCACCATTATATGTCTAACACTTAACACTGGCATGTGGCACATAGTAGGTGTTAAATAAATACAACTCATGAATTGCTTTCCATTTGTAAAACCAGATACATGGCAGGTGCTTAAACATATTAACAGATAACTCCCAAAGTTCTACATGCAATTAAAACCCCAGCCTCCAGCTGGCAGTAAAAACAGTTACTGAGTGCGTCTGTGCTTCGACTTTTTAAGACTCAGAAGATGCTAGGGGAGGTCAAGCAGCAGAGCCTGCAGACCTTACACTCTCGAGGATGCCAGCGGGCTCTCAGGAGGGGTGGGGGCGGAAAGTCGCTCAAGGCACACACCCCTGAGCATAAGGCCAGGATGGACTCTCCTCTGACCGAGTAGGAAACGGCCTTCCCCGCCTGTGGCCGGAGGACAGGAACCCTCCCGCCCACGCCGCGACAGTCAAGCCACGAGATCGTTCCCCTTCCGCGCAGAAAGCGGGTACTCACGTTCGCCCTCTTGGCCGCTTGCATCGCCATCTTGGCGGGCTGTGGGAGGCTACCGCGGGATTCCTCCGAGTACCTCTAAAGGTCGGTCGCCGGCGAGGGCGACACGGTGTCAGACACAGACTATCAACAGCCAGGTAGAGCCGGAAGCTGTTACAGCACCTCCGGAAAGACCGCGTCCGTAACTAAGACGTGTTGACGTCTTCGAAAAGATGCTCAAGACCAAACTACCGGGGAACGTCCTCAGACCGGAAGGCGAAAAGGCGAGCTCCACGATGCTTCCGGATACCGAACAGGAAGGGGCGGAGCGAAGACTACAGGAAGGGAGGTGTTCCTGCTGGGAGGGGCGGGACTTGAGGACAGAGAGGGCGGAGTCAACGTGAGGACCTAGCTCCACAGGGTAGCGGCTTAGGTGGGCGTGGCGCTGCAAAGGTGGGCGTGGCGAGCTTTCTGCACGCTTAGCGCATCCTACAGGGTTCTGAATCTGAACTGTATCCACAACACTAGTCGGGGGCTCTGCATCTCAGGTCGCCCATCACCTGATGGTCCTGATTCCCACCTCATCCTTGTCCACGTACTGGGTCTCCGACAGAGAGCACACACCTCCCTTCACAAACACTCTTTTTATTTTGTTAGATCCCCTTTACAGGGGCGGACCTGGGAGCAGAACCCACTCCAAGTTTGCTTTGGAGTCCTCCTTCACTGGGGCAGCTCCAAGACGATTTTGCCCACGTTCTTGTTAGCCTCCATGTACTCGTGGGCCGCTTGAATATCAGTCGCCTGGTAGACTCTGTCCAGAACTGGCAGCAGACGTTGGGGGCTGTCCTTAGAGAAGTAGGGCAGAATCTGCTCCGTGAAAGTTTTCACCAGCGTTTGTTTGTACTAAGGAAAAGAACATCAACCTGAGAGAGGCTTTGCCCTGTCATTCCCCATCCTACTTGGTCTTAATGATGTCTGAGCACCTGAAACAGCACACCCCTTTACTTCCCCGTACTAAAGAGCATGCTTTCAAATGTGCAGCCTCAATCTGTACCAGGTGAGGTTGAAGGCTGCAGTAAAATACTAGTGTAACTGACAGACTTACAGGGTGTCAAGACCAAAGGAATGCTTAAGCCTTATCTTCCCCGTTAGGCGCGAAACCTTCTCAAAGCTGGTGCCTGCTAGAATGTTACAGAAGACTTTGGGAACATAAATTTGTTAAAGGTACCAGCTTATTTGCCTAATAGGCTTTCCTTTTTCCTCCTTTTTTTTTTTAAGACAGGGTTTCTCAGCCGGGCGTTGGTGGCACACGCCTTTAATCCCAGCACTCGGGAGGCAGAGGCAGGCGGATCTCTGTGAGTTCGAGGCCAGCCTGGACTACCAAGCGAGTTCCAGGACAGCCTCCAAAGCCACAGAGAAACCCTGTCTCGAAAAACAAACAAACAAAAAAAGATATATATATATATATATATATATCCAGAATATGCCAGAGGCTTAATCTGGATTAGTTCTTGAACACATCTGTCCACAAGATGGTCGTTTCTTTATAGGCTCCTGAGAGCTATGAATGGGTATGTTCAAAAGCAGATTTCTGGGTGACAGTCACACTTTGTTTTTCACTCATTACTCACCTTATTATCCCTAGATCGCAACAAACTAGTGATCAGACTCCCTCGTTTGAAAAGTAGCTTTGAAAACAGGGGCCCACTAACATCAGCTCCTCCTATTAAACCGTAGAGAACCCAGCGACCGTCAAGAGCAAGGCAGTTGACATTCTTCTCCCAATAGGATCCACCTATGCAGTCTAGAATAAGATCAACTCCAACACCTTCCAAAGGGGGAAAGATTGATAATAATGTTAGACACACAAAAATTGGTACAAATAAGATTTCATGGTATATTTGTAGATATGTGAGTAAAAATAAATGTAGGTGTGGCGGTGCATGCAGTAACCCCAGCACTTGGAGGTTGAGACAGGAGGATCTCAGGTTCTAGGCTAGAGGCTAGCCTGGGGTACATAGTGAAGCCTTGCCTCAAAGTAACAAATCAATGGCAAGTGCATTTGCAACTAAAAATATTGGCCATAGAAATATTGTTGTAAATGGAATTACATAAAAGCATTCTATAACAGCATGTATAACATAGTGCATCTTTTATGAGTCCCCGGTCCCCACCTCAGCATAGCAGGAGGGAAACAACTACTCCAGGACCTGGGATCTCACCTCACCCCAAACAGTACAGTCCCACTGGCATCCAGGCATGAGTAGGAGGAGGAAAGAGGAAGTCTACTCCCGGCTGCAGAGCAGAGGATCGTCCACATCTAAGACAGGGGGTCTGCACTGGGTTATCAGAGTCACAGCTTGCTAACCTCGTTCTCACCTCTCCTTTTCTACCCACAAGAAAAACAGAAAATGATGAATGGAAAAAAAGCCAGAATTGAGCTACGTTGTAGCTCAATCGGTAGTCTACCCAACATGCATAAAGCCCTTGTTTGGTCTCCAGAATCATATAAACCAAGCAAGGTGGTGTACACCTGCAATTCCAGCACTCAGAAGATAGAGATGGTTGAATCAGAAGTTCAAGGTCACTCTCAGCTGCAGCAAGTTTGAGCCCAGCCTGAATACAAGAAACTCTGTCTTCAAAAAAATCCAGATTTGTTATTGAACACACGCAGGCGCACACACATACACACCCCTACTTACCTGCTTAAGGAGTTCTCAACCAGCCCTACTCTGACCATCTCTAGATTAGTCTGTGCTGAAGGCTTCCTGTTAACTCATTATAGAGTGAGTGACTATTTGGGAAGAATGGACCCTGAATAATCTCATGTCAACTCTGTGTGACTATGCAGTTTCTAGACATATATGAACCACATTACTTGCAAGAGTGTATATTGTGGGTTAGAGATGGAGTTCTTGCCCTGCGTGAACATGGACAACATTGAAATAATCTATCTTGAGCTGGAGAGAGGCACAGTGGTTAAAAACACTAGATGGTCTTCCAGAGGTCCTGAGTTCAATTCCCAGCAATCACATGATGGTTCACAACCATCTGTAATGAATGAGATCTGGTGCCCCCTTCTGGCCCGCAGAAATACATGCAGATAGAACACTGTATACATAATAAATAAATCTTTTTTATTTTCTTTCGAGGCAGGGTTTCTCTGTGGCTTTGGAGGCTGTCCTGGTACTAGCTCTTGTAGACCAAGCTGGTCTCGACCTAATAGAGATCCACCTGCCTCTGCCTCTGGGTGGCACACACCTTTAATCCCAGCACTCAGGAGGCAGAGGCCAGCCTGGTCTACAGAGTGAGTTCCAGGACAGCCTCCAAAACAATACAGAGAAACCCTGTCTCGAAAAACCAAAACCAAACAAACAAAAAAAACAAGCCAAACAAACAAACAAAAACAAAAACAAAAACGATCTTAGGCCCTAGTGCTTGTTGCCAGTCTCTAGCAATCAAACACCATAATACACCAGTTTGGCCAGGGCAGTTATCGCCCCTTCAGCAAAGTCTAGGCTGACCCACAACACTGGCAACCGTGGAGACCAAGATTTCAAGATTTCATTTAATCTTTTTTTTTTCTTCCACATTTACTGAGTTGCAGAAGGAGTGACTTACCATTAGTAAATCTCAGGGTTGCTTCAGAAAAATCTTCTCTATAATTGAATCCAGCAGCAGCCCCAAGCTTTTCTGCCATTTGAAGCTTATGCTGGGAGCCAGCTGTAACCAGCGGAATAGCACCAGCCTTCCGAGTCAGTTGGATGGCAGCTGTCCCCACGCCACTTGACCCTGCGTGGATCAGCACATAGTCTCCAACCTGAACATTGCCTGTGATGAAAAGGGTAGAAATTGTCGTTCCTCTGTCCAACTATAGCAATAGCCATAATACCACCTGGCTCTTGAACCAAATGCCAAATATCTTGCTTTCTGAAGGGACACACTGACAGTTCTCTCTGTCTCTCTGACTCTGTCTCTCTTTTCTCTTTTTCTTTTTTCACTTACTGCCTCTGATCAAGTGGGAAATGGGCTATTGTTACAAAACTCTTGGTAGCCAGCCACATCCATTATCTCTATTTGAAATATGAAATAACACCCAAATGCATATACCTACATGCATACTTTTAAAAGCAAGAATAACCCCCGCTTCCCACTGTCATCACTTGAAGTCAGTCCCTTTTCAGCTGATCTCACTGGTCTAAGCCTCACACATAGACACCACACTCCACCCCAAATGTGTGGGAACACCAGACCTTGAGCAGAGACCCACTTCCCCTTCTGCCTGGGAGTAGGCAGCTGTAAGACAATGTTTAGTAAAAACATGTTTACTAAAAACGATACAATAAGTTCCTGGCCACTTCCCCTTCTGCCTGGGAGTAGGCAGCTGTAAGACAATGTTTAGTAAAAACCTGTTTACTAAAAATGATACAATAAGTTCCTGGGAAAGGCCTTCCCACAGAAACCGCCCTGACCTCGACCTTGTCCAAAGACTAACCGCACCTTCAAAAACCCACACACATCCACCTCTGGTGTCAGAGCAGAACCAGCCAAGGGAGAGGAGAGAGCAGAAGTTTCTCTGGTGGGAACTTTTCTTAGGAAGTTTTTCGTGAACCTTTTTGGAGCCTGTTTAAAGTTTTCTTTATATCATTGAACGAGTCTCTGTGTTGTCAATACCCGACACCCTCCGCACGTTCTCGGACATAGGCCGAGCAGCAGACGTGACACAAATGGAGCTTTCTTTTTTTTTTTTTTCCGAGACAGGGTTTCTCTGTATTGTTTTGGAGGCTGTCCTGGAACTCACTCTGTAGACCAGGCTTGCCTCGAACTTACAGAGATCTGCCTGCCTCTGCCTCCCAAGTGCTTGGATTAAAGGTGTGAGCCACCACGCCCGGCTGGAGCGTTCTTTATCATCTTCCTCCCACCCCACAAAACGGGGAGCAACTTTTTGGCTTTGCACTAAATCCAAACAGTTTGGCATTCAAGGCCTTCAATCTGCTCAGTCTCATCTTTTACAAATGACAACAACTATCCCTCCTCTCTGAGTGGAACAGCTGTCCTCACCTTGATGCACCTTTTGTCTACCACAAATCAAGTCATTTTGTTCCTAAAAGCTATCTATGGCCACCCACGCTGACATCAAGTCTGCCTCTTCTATTACACTGGACCCCAAAGAGAAGTCTGCATTATCTGAGGTGGGGATTACTGCTAAATCTTTTGTTAAAATGTCCATAGTCCAGCTTGGTGTTGGTGTCACACGCCTTTAATCCCAGCACTCGGGAGGCAGAGGCAGGCGGATCTCTGTGAGTTCGAGGCCAGGCTGGACCGACAGCCTCCAAAACAATACAGAGAAACCCTGTCTCGTAAAACCAAAAAAAAAAAAAAAAAAAAAAAAGATGTTCATAGTCCTCCTGTCTGCTAACCATGGTTCTCACCCCCCCCCATATCAAACCATTTTAACGTGGTTTGATGGTCTGACATTGTTAGCGGACCAACAAGGTATGCTGGGTGTCTCAGAGGACTGCTGGGGTTTGGAGAAGGTATCCTGGAGGATTGCTAGGGTTGGGGACATTGTCTCACTGGAGAGTGAGCCATACTGTGTGAAGTGAGCATCAGGCATCCTCACCTACAAGGTGTAAGAGCTGAAAGGCAGTAATCCAGGCCTCTGGGATGGCTGCAGCTTGAGACAGGCTCAGTCCTTCTGGGATAGGCATAAGGAGATCTTCAGGGACAGTGACATACTGAGCTTGGCCTCCACCAGGCAGCAAAGCCATGGCCAAATCCCCGATCTTCCAGTGTCCTTGGCAGCCAGGGCCCAGCTCAGCCACATGTCCTGATGCTTCAAGTCCCAAAATGCTACTGGCTCCTGGGGGTGGGGCATACTGGCCCAGTCTCTGCAGGAGGAGAGGCACATTAAATAGGAGCGTGGTCAGAGACCTGTGTGTCACCATCCGTGGCCCCTCTCCATAGCTCTTCCCTTTCTCAGAGAAGAAAATCAGAATGGTTTGGTTTTTTGTTTTGTCTTGTTATTTGTTTATTTATTTATTTATTGGTTTTTCAAGACAAGGTTTCTCTGTGTAGCCTTGGCTGTTCTATTATTTACTATGTAGACCAGGCTGGCCTCACACTCACAGAAATCTGCCATCTCTGCCTCCCAAGTGCTGGGATTAAGCCGGGCAGTGGTGGCGCACGCCTTTAATCCCAGCACTCGGGAGGCAGAGACAGGCGGATCTCTGTGCGTTCGAGGCCAGGCTGGACCGATAGCCTCCGAAACAATACAGAGAAACCCTGTCTCGTAAAAAACAAAAAAACAAAAAACAAAACCAAGTGCTGGGATTAAAGGCATGCGCCACCAATGCCCGGCTCCAGTTTTGGAGGTAAGGAAAACAGAGAGGGAGATGGCTGGGTTTATGCAAATAAAAGGCTACGGTCACAAAGGCTTTAGACCTCCAGACATAACTGGAGCTTTGCATCAGAACCATTTCAAACTACAATTGCCTGCCTCTGACATGTTAATTTTAAAAAGTTCACTGATTCTGATGCACATTTCTTTCTGTGTGTGTGCATGCAGGCACGTATGTGTGTGGCATGTATAAGGAATCCGGAGGTCAATACTGAGTGTGTTCCTAATTGCTCTCCACCTTATATTTTGACACAGGGTCACTCACTGAACCTAGAGTTGTTCAACTAGACTGGCTGGCCAGCAAGCCCCAGAGATTCTTCTATCTCTGGGGGATTCTCCTGTCTCTGGGATGACAGGCACATACCTGTTTTGTTGTTGTTGTTTGTTTTAAGATTTATTTTTATTTTATGTGAATTAGTGTTTTGCCTACATGTATGTCTGTGTGAGGATGCCAGATTCCTGGAACTGGAGTTACAGACAGTTGTGAGCTGCCATGCGGGTGCTGGGAATCAAACCCCAGTCCTCTGGAAGAGCAGCCGGTGCTCTTAACCTCTGAGCCGTCTCTCCAGCCCACGCACCTGGTTTTTAATTATTGTGTTGGCAGTCCAAACTCAGGTCTTCATGTTTGTTTCACAAGCAGCTCACCAGCAGAGTCATCGTCCCAGCCCCTGATGTACATTTCTAATTGATCTGCCCAGCTCAGCTGTGACAAGTATTGTGCTGGAGTTCGCAGTATCTGCAGTACTGGAGACAAACCCAGAGCTATGCCGGCTAGGCAGGCATGCTGCCAACTGTACTATGCCCTCCCTTCCTTCCTGGCGTACATCTGCTTCATTTCGTTTGTTTGTTTGTGTGGTACTGAGGACCTTGAGCATGTCGGACAAATATTCTACGAGTTATGCTCCTGGCCTTACTTCACTTCATTTTTATAGTTGGTTTAACACCACCAGCCTCCCCCATCCCCTTCCCCCCCGCCCCTGAGGTCTTTCTTTGTAGCCCAGGCTGCCTCAAACTTGAGGTAATTTTCCTGCCTCAGCCCCTACAGTGATGGGATCATTCTTAAAACTGTAGGCTGCCTTGGTGGTGCACGTTTTATAAATGTCAGCATTCAGAGACTGACTTGGGAAGGTCTCAAGTTTGAGACCATCCTGGGCTATGTAGGGTTAAAACAACTTATTATTATTATTATATTTATTTTTAATTTATTTTACTATTAATTTTGTTAATATCATTAAAATTATTAAAACAAATTCAAGTTAAAAAAAATAAAAAGCGCTGGGCGTTGGTGGTGCATGCCTTTAATCCCAGCACTTGGGAAGCAGAGGCAGTTGGATCTCTGTGAGTTCGAGGCCAGCCTGGTCTACAGAGTGAGTTCCAGGACAGCCTCCAAAACACTACAGAAAAACCCTGTCTCGAAAAACCAAAAGAAAAAAAAATTCTAAAGTGAAAAAACAATAAATAAAAGATGCCTGTCAGCACTCCCTCTTGTGGTTGGACTTTAATTTTTTTTTTTTGAGCCAGTTAGTTTCTTTGGGTTACTTACAGGGGTATTGGTGAGAAGTTATTTATTTATAACTTATTAATCAGTCCACATCAGTGCACACAGTTTGCTTCCTTAGCTCTTCCTGTGCTACTTGGAAGCCAGCCTATTTCCAAGAGTCCGTTTAAAAAACGGGAGTGGGGGGTGTGGAGTGGGTGTGGCAGGTTAAATTCAAGGCCTGAGAGAGAAAATCCTAAGCAAAGTTTAACTAACAAGTAGTTAGTTCCAATTTGGGTTCCATGGGCACAACGGTTTAGATAAGTCATTTATGAAATCCAGGGTATGAATCTGAAGGGACCATGTATGACCTTGTTCTAGGTCTTTCTTAGTGACTTTATCTGTAAAATATAGACTTGTCTGAGGAATTTATTAGGGGCAGGTGTACCCTCCCACACCCTCTCCGTTTCAACAAATGGTACTTCCCTGTCCATTTCCGGGATGCCAGGAGAGAGAATGAGCCAACACATAGTGGATTCTTGCTTTGCAAACACCCTTGTTTTTGTTTCCTTGTGGAGGATCACCCAGGGCCTGGAGCATGATAGGCAAAGGCTCTACCAATGAGCTACAACCCCAGCACAGCCCCTCCCTTAGGGAAACAAAGTGGCTACTTGGCTTTGGGTCTCAGAACCCCCAGCACAGCTGTTCTAATGGATGCTGCAGGCAACACCCCAATCCCCAGCCTTCTTTGTCCGGTCAGGCCACTGAAGACAGAGGATGAGCCCTGGAGTCCACCCTGTACGTACTGTTGGAAACCCTGGGTACCTGGAGTAAGTCGGCCCTGTTCAAGGCGCTGGCTGCCACCTTCAGGAGGACTTCACCCTCTCCTGGTCTCGGCTTGGCCACCTCCTTCAGGTAGAGGTTTTCTGGTCCACCTGGCTGGTCAAAGTGCACTGCCAGCATGCTGTCTGAGAACACTGGGCAGACAGGCAGGCAGGCAGGCAGGAAACCCAGGCTCAGAAGGGTTTGAATAGGACACCCTTGTGCAGCACCCACCGCTAGTGGCTGCTGGCACAGATCCTGGATCCTGTCTCCCAGGACCTTGCAATCCCTACACCAGCTCTTGGACCCGGAAGACAAGGTTTTAAAAACCCCGTCCAGGCCTGGAAATAGGGAAGCGCTGCAACAGATTACACTGTTTCTGGGTTGAAATCCCAGGTCCTGTCGACAGGCCCCTTCAGGCCATGGAGATAACTAAGCTGGTTCAGCAGGTACTGCTCGGCTTGGCTCCTTCGGGTGCTGGTGGCCGCACCCCAGAGCCAAGGGACCGCCCTCAGCTGCCACTGGAAGGACTGCCTGAACTCTGAGCAGTCCAAGGGGTGGGACTGAAGGCAGCCAAGCCAACCTCTTGTCCTTTTCACCCTTTAAAATGCAAAGCTACAGGGTGGCAGTCTGGATATTCTTTACCTCGGCTTCTGGGACATGGAAGCTCTCATTTAGGAGACAGAACTTCCCTCTTTACTGAACGACTTAGACTCAGCTGCAATCTCAGACCTAGATATTCCTGTTTTCCAATCAAGTCAGGCTCTCCTTGGACTGTTTACGCTACAGCTCTAGTGCTAGAAAGTTAGACCAAGCTACCTTGCCTATTGTGGCATAGAATATAGGAGACAAAAATAATTAAAGAGCTCCACTGCTTCCCCAGAAGTTTCAGGTTACCTCTCTGGGTGTCAGGGCCTCTGTATCCCATCACAATGACTCACTTTCAACTAGTTTGTTTGCATCTAGACATTTTGTTTAGAAGGGTCATATGTAAGATTAAGGGTTTCTTACACTATTTAGAGACCCTCTTGGTCTTTGTAAAGTACACTGTAGAGGAACCTGGAAAACAGTATATTCACATAAGTAATCATTATCCTTAAGGGTAATGGCAATCCAGTCTGGCCAAAGCAGAGTTAAGTTTGTAGTTCTCAGGCTTTCTCTTGGCCAAAGATCCAAGCCATTTCCTCCTTAGAAGCAATGCCTGAAGTTTGTAATGAAGGGAGCACTGGAGGGTGCACTGGATGGAGCACTGGAGGGTGCACTGGAGGGTGTACTGGAGAGAGCACTGGATGGAGCACTGGAGGGTGCACTGGATGGAGCACTGGATGGAGCATTGAAGGGTGCACTGGATGGAGCACTGAAGGGTACACTGGAGGGAGCACTGAAGGGTATACTGGAGGGAGCAAGGAAGGGTGCATTGGAGGGAGCACGGAAGGGTCCACAGAAAGAAGGGTGTATCGAAGGGCTCATTGACCAGCCTGGCCTTGGGCTGCTGTTGGGGAAAGGAAGATGCTTCCTTTCCAGGAGTGACTATGGCAGAACCCTAATTTATCAAAATAGGTTCTCTCTCTTATTGTCCTGATCATCATGGAGCAGGTGGCCAACAGAAGAACACTTTCTCAGAAAGGTAATTCAAGTAGCCATTCTGCCTTATTAAGACATAGACTCAGAGGCAGTGAGAGAGGTGGTCAGAAATCTCCTGAGTTTTGAGAAGGCCTTTATAATGCTGAACAGTATTGGATGTCTGAAGATAGACAGTGAGTGTCTGTCCAATACTCAGACTAGTGGTCCATTACTGGGTGACCTTTACATTGGCTACCTTCCCCACAGGTCACAGGTCACATGTGAGTAGTAAGAATAAGGCAACTGTCACACATGCAATGCCATCTGTATTTTAATAAAGGGGCACTGAACTCAGGAACTCTACTTCTTTGATGGAAACCACTTAGTGAGGTTTTTTTTTAATTTTCCCCAGAGAGAAGAATTACTTTAATTTTTAAAGGTGGCATGACACTGACGTGGCCTAGGTATAGAGTCGTTAGCAGAACTGGTGAGATGGCTCAGTGGGCTTACTTGCCACCAACCCGTAGACCTGGGTTCCATTCCCACTACCCACAGAGTGGGGTAGGAGGTCTCCCACAGCTGTCCTCTAACTTCCATGTGCTTAGAGCCTATATTCTTGGAATATCTGGCAAGATGTGTGGGGACTTGAAGCTGAGACTCCCAACAGACTTGTGCTGTGAAAAACCATTAATGCACTCAGGTTTCAAGTCAGTGATCAATGCTTAAAGAAAAGGAAAGAGCTGGTCAGGTCCTTCCAGTTATAGATGATGACCTCTTGAAATAAGAAAAAATGTTCCCTTAGCTCAGTCTTTGTTTTAATCTTCCACTCTGTTTTTCAATCACAAAATACTTTTTCTTAATGATCTGTACTTTTCTTTCAAAATAATAAAGTTGTCTTCACTAGTTGGTTGATGACTTAACTTCCTTTTTTTCTTAGATACTCCCCTGAAAGAAACACAACACGTTAATAATTTAGGAGTAGTGAACTGCCATTACCATGTAGTTCATTCATTTTTCAATAAGCAGTGTTGGGTGACTACCATGTGCTGGCACCATACCATGTTACAAGGATGATGGGATTGTTAAAACACAGGCCTTGTCCTTGTGGAGGTGTGTCTACTAGGAAAGAGACATGTATGCAGTCCTCAATTCTGTTTCACAGGGATGTCTGAGCTTCTCTGAAGAGTGATTAGTTCTCCATGCAGAGACAATGAAGGTACACATAACTGTCAAGGGAAAATGAGTAGGGGAGGGCTCAGGGAACAGTAGAACCTGATGCCCAGTCCTTCATTAAAAATCTGTCAATAAGACAGATTTGAAAGCTGTATTTCACTAATGAAAAATTCTACTTGTTTTCTTAAACTGACTGTTGGTTATCACTCAATTTGCCTTCCTCTACTGAAGTGGTTCTCACCTTCCTAATGCTGTGACCCCTTTAATACAGTTCTTCATGTTGTGGTGACCCCCAACCATAAAATTATTTTCATTGCTACTTCATAACTGTAATTTTGCTGCTGTTAGGAATCATACTGTAAATATCTCTGTCTTCTTATGGCCCTTAGGTGACCCCTGTGAAAGGTTGTTTTACCTCCAAAGGGGTCTTGACCCACAGTTGAGAACCACTGCTTTACTGCACCCATGACAGGTGGAAATGATGGGAGACCAGGACTGTACTAAGTGTCAATAGACTTTCAGATAGGTATGGTGGCACACTCATGTAATCCCATTCCTTGGGTGTTAGAAGCAGAAACATTGCATCAAGTTCATGGCCAGTTTAATCTGCATGTTGAGTTCTAGGCCAGTCAGTACTACACAGCAAGACACTGTCTCAAAAAACAAACAAAAAGTAAGACCTTTAAAAACAACTTATTCTAAGAATTACTGCCAGGCAAATCTAGAAAAATGATTATCCTTTTCTATTTATCTATGTTACAAAACTGTGAACAAGGTCTTAGGTGATATTCTCCTGAGAATAAACAAATTACCCAAACCATGAAACATCTGTTTCTTTCCATGTAGATGTCAAAACACAGAGCCTAGATTCTTACATGTGGGGTTAGTTAAGAGTGAGGCAACTCTCCTGTGAAGAAACTAGGACATTTGGTTGTCTATGTAGGAGTTAAGTCACAGGAAGTTTAAGGAATAATTATAGTTCTTTAATAATTTCATACTAACTTTTTTAAACGATACCTAGAATTTTACATATGATCTGCCAATATAGTTGTTTTAAAAATAAACCTGATTGACTTGTCTGAAGTAGTATAGGATTTTTTTTGCCTTTTTACTTCTTAAAGTCGTTATTAAGTCATGCTGATAGAATCTTCAGTAATAAAAAAATTGCTTTGATGATCCCCCATGGGAGGCCTCACTCTCCCTGAGGAATGGATGGGGAGTGGGATGGAGGGTTGGTGGGGGGAATGGGAGTACAGGAGGGAGAGGGAACTGGGAATGGAATGTAAAATAAGATAGTTTTTAATTTAAATAAAAATCAATTAAAAACTAAGTACACAGATTGACAGTTAAATGATGGGACTTGATGCACCATGTACATGTTAAATAAAAGAAATCTGGTACAGTCAAAAAATTTTGAAACAGGGTCTCACCATGTAACTCTGGCTGGCTTGAAACTAGTCATATGGATTAGTCTGACCTTGAACTCACAGAGATCTGCCCACTCCTCTTAAGTGCTGGGATTAAATAAATTAATTAAATACCCAGAGGATTAAAAAAGTTTAATCACCATGATTCTTATTTCTCAAAATTTCTACAATAATCATATAATTTTTTGATAGAGAAAAACACAATTTTGGGGCCTAGTATCACATGCCTGTAACCCCGGAATTTAGTGGGTTAAAGCAGGAAGATTTCGAGTTTGAGCCCAGTCTGGGGTACACAGTGATACCCTGTATCAGAGAGAGAGAGAGAGAGAGAGAGAGAGAGAGAGAGAGAGAGAGAGAGAGAGAGAGAGAGAGAGAGACACACGAAGGGGGGGAGAGCCCCAGAGTGATGAAGGCAGCAGACTGTCAGTGACAACAGGCAGCTGATGAGCAGCAGGCCAGCCCTTCCCTTAGCCTACCTAGACACTTCTTACAACAGTGTGTGTCAGCTGTATTATTCTTTGGAGTCTTTCGAATAAATGGATGAATGAATAAATAAATAATGGTCAGAGAATCTCTATTAAAATGAAGTCAGGTATTCTTTATGGTATTAGCCTTGGTTCTGAGCCAACAGGATAGAACCTGTTTTATTGAAAACCTAGTGGCCTGTCTTCCTACTTTTATTATGGATACTTTAATAAGATATATTAGCTGGAGCTGGGCGGTGATGGCACATGCCTTTAATCCCAGCACTCAGGAGGCAGAGGCAGGCGGATCTCTGTGAGTTCGAGGCTGGGCTGGACCGACAGCCTCCAAAACAATACAGAGAAACCCTGTCTCGTAAAACCAAAAAAAAAAAAAGATATATTAGCTGAAATTATAGGTCTCTGTCTGGTTCCAGCTGCTACTCTGCTGAAACTGTCCCTCCCTTCCTGGGACTTAATTTCTCATACATTCATCTGAGCTGTCCTGGAATCTGACAGGTGGAAGTTATTCACATCTCTGTTTATCAAACATACAGTAATTTCCTACTCAAAATCAAGTACTGTGCTAGATATCAGATAGGATATGGCATTGTCGCCTTCTGGGTTCGTAATCCAGCTTAACAAAAAGCTCTCACGGGAATAACAGTGGTGGTGTGCACAAAATGCACAGCACAGTGGAAGACCTCAGGTCTGACTTGCCCTCAGTGATGATGAGGAATGTACTAACCAGATGTGATGGACAGAACAGGAATGCAGTTCTGCCAGGTAGGATGGCGTCTACAGAGTCATGAGAGGCAGAGGGCGTGTCTCACCCAGTTCTGACCTGAGATAGTGCAGGGCACATGCGTGACTGGGCACCACAGTTACTTGCTGCAACACTGAATGAAAGGATGAATGACTGCTTTTCTTGCTAGAAGCCCCTACTATTTCAAAGTACTGTTTTAAACAATTCTGAGATCATTAGAGACTCAAAATAGATGTAAAATAAAACACAAAACGAGGTACCATTTGCTATGCTCAACCCTCACCTTAGTTCTCTATTAAACCTATTTCTACTCTTCCACTGTTGTAAACCAGGGAAGGGGCTGCAGTACACACCAAGATGGCTGCTTCTCTACTTGGAGCATCTCCTCTCTGCAGGGCAGGCCCCCAACACTTGTCTGCTTTTTAGCCTGCTTCCTCTCTGTTCCCCTGCCCATCTCTCTGGCATAGCTTACGGAGGTGGGGGTGGGAGTAGGGGTAAACCATTTGACACAAATCCGGTCCTCAGAGAAAATGAGGGGTAGGGTGGAGGCCTCACCATGCTACTGGGCCAGGGACGGAAGGAAGCAGTTGCATCGCAATGAAGCAGAACAAAGCAGACACAAGACAGACACCCCGTAGTGCTTCCCTTCAAAGTGCACACATTTCCCATGGCTCACCTGTGTTCAGCACTTCTGTGTTTATATGAGCCACCCCTGATTCTCCTTTCTCCCTCGGCTAGTCCGAGCAGGGTCTCCACCCTCAGTGGGAGGCAGACTTACCCAGCTTCTCTGTGGCTTCCACACAGACACTAGGATACATGCCCGCAGAGTAAGTGGCCACCAGAAGATACATATGTGTCTTCACAACAACCACACCAGTATTCTCCTAGAGGAAGAAGAAAATAGAACGCTCTGGCTTGGGTCTGAACCACAAGGCCAGCAGTTACCCTACACACATTTAAAAAAAAACTATTTCCTGACTTCTTTGTATTTGTGTGTTTGTATTTTAATCTCCCACTCTTTTGAGAAATTTAGTAGAGTTTTCTGAAAGACTTCAGTTTTTTATACTAATATTGCGTGTATTGTGAAGAGAAGTTCCTGGGAAGAAATATACCCGCATGCTGACTGTGGGGAGGTTAGAATACTGGAGGTCTAGAGCCTAATAACTATGTATTCTGGGCTATCTTCGCCCCCTAATAACTATTCCTTGCCTACCTCTGTGTCTGATTTAACATTCTTATACCTAACTTTGGAATGTATTTAAACACCCCTTCCTGGCCCAGTTTTACTGTATGTATCCATCTGTCTGTCCTTTCTTCATTTCCTCCCTGCCCCAGTCAGGATTTCAGGACCCAAGACAGGCAGGTCATGGCACTATGGAGGTTGGACTGTATCAGGAAGTGGTAGCTCAGATGACAGACTCCAGAGGGAATATCTACCATAGTCAGGGTATCTGGATGAGAGTACTTTTGGACAAGAAGTGCTTTTTATTCTTTACTGTATTTCAGTGCTGGAGACCAAACTCAGGGCTTTGCACATTCTAGGTAAGTTCTCTACCCCTAAGGTCCATCCCCAGCCCTTCTGAGTACTTTCAGATATGCCTTCCTGGCGCTAGATTGCTCTCTGAACGATAGAAAGCAGTGATGATCTTATTCTGCATTGCAGAGAGCATCAGGAGGGGTAAAGAAAATTGAATACTTACATTCTTAGCATAAAGAGAATAGTCATCCGCCCGGACACATTTGTAATCCTTTTCCTTGAAATACAACCCTTCCCTTCGGGTTATCAGTGGGTTTTTGGCAAATCCATTCACAAGTGTTCGAACATCACTTGGCATTACCTACAGAGGTTTAATAGGCCAGATCAGAAAAGCAAGGCCACTGGCCAGTCATATTTGGTTGGCTACCTTTTTAAATGGCCTGAAGGCTGGGAGTGGTTTTCACTTTTTAAAAATGATTGGAAAAAAAGAACAGCTCTTTGTGACATTGTCAAAGTTCCATTGTTCCTAAAGTTGCAGTAGAGGATAGCCACACCTGCTCTTTTAGGCGTTATCTATGGCTGCTCTTCCACCTGCAGCATTACTGATTCTGAAAGACTATTTGGTCTAGAATCTTTGTTTTTAAGCTTTAAAAAGTTTTAATTGGGCTGGAGAGATGGCTCAGCGGTTAAGAGCACTGACTGATCTTCCAAAGGTCCTGAGTTCAATTCCCGGCAACCGCATGGTGGCTCACAACCACCTTGAATGAGATCTGATGCCCTATTCTGGCATGCTGGCAGAAGATTGTATACATAATAAATAAAATATTAAAAAATTTAAATTAGAACAAGCATGCTTTACATGCCAGTCCCAGCTTCCTCCCCCCTCCCCTTCTCCCCTGCTCCCCTCCAATCCCCCCCAACCTTCCATCCAATCCCCACTTCGCTCCCCAGGGAGGATGAGGCCCTCCATGGGGGATCTCCAGAGTCTGTCATTTCATCAGGGCAGGGCCTAGGTCCTCCCTCATGTGTCCAGGCTGAGAGAGCATCCTTCCATATGGAATGGGCTCCTAAAGTTCATTCGTATGCCAGAGATAAATACTGATCTACTACCCGAGGCCCGATAGATTGCTGAGGTCTCCTCACTGACACCCAAATTTAGGGGTCTGGATCATTCCCACGCTGGCCTCTCAGCCATCAGTCTCGGGTCCATGAGCTCCCCCTTGTTCAGGTCAGCTGTTTCTGTGGGTTTCTCCAGCCTAGTCTTGACTTCTTTGCTCATCAGTGGTCTAGAATCTTAAAGCTCTTCCTATGGCTTTTTAGTAAAAAAGGGTCTTTTTGTTTAAAAGTCATATCCCCAGGAAAGAATTTTCTTAAAGGGATTCCAATAGCACAAGAAAGAACCTCAGGAATTGGCAAATGGGATCACCTGAAATTAAAAGTTTATGTACAGAGAAGGAAACAATGCCTAGAACAAAGTGAAAGAACGTAAAAAAAAAAAAAAACACACACACACAAAACAATCACCAAGCTACACAACACAGACTGAAAAATGACATATTCCTGGGAGTAGAAAGAGTGCTCCCCTATAAACTTATGTGGGTAAACTGTGACAGGAGAGGCATATGGACATATTAAAATCCTATCAAGAAAACAAGGCTGATGGGGGAAGTCCTTCTGTGTATATAATTGCCTTATTGGTTGATAAATAAAGCACTGCTGGCCAATAGGGAAGCAAGATAGGTAGGACTAGAAGTCAAGAAGGATTCTGGGAAATGTAGTCAAGAGTAGAGTCGCCATGTGATCCCGGGAAGAGAGGACGCATGGGGCTGTATCCTTGGTAAGACCTTATAAGAATATACATTAGTCCCCAGGGCGTTGGTGGCGCATGCCTTTAATCCCAGCACTTGGGAGACAGAGGCAGGCGGATCTCTGTGAGTTCGAGGCCAGCCTGGTCTACAGAACGAGTTCCAGGACAGCCTCCAAAACAACACAAGGAAATCCTGTCTCGAAAAACAAAAACAAACAAACAAACAAAAAGAATATATATTAGTAATTATGGGTTAGTAATTAAGTCAGAGCTAGCCATTAAGAAACCATAGCAAAAAAGAAAAGAAACCATAGCAAACAGTCAACAGCTTCATAATTAACATAGTGTCTCGTGTGTTATTTGGGGGCAGAGACAGTGGCAGGACCCAGGCAGCTGGTGGGAAAGAGTACACGTTACATATGGCACCTGCAACGTGTGGCATGAATTTCCATGTAGAATGACAAAAGCTTAAAAGGGATTTTAGAAACAGAAGAACAGAGAAGCTCGGCTTCTTAGTAGCAGTCATTATTCTGTTTCTTTTTCTCTTCCAAGCCTAAGTATATTTTTTAAATATACTATAAACCTCTTAGAGGTTTTACTTCATCTGAATCTGACTTTATTGTAAATCTTTATGTTTTTTTTTGACCATGTGTCTTTTATTTGCTAAACAACATTGCTAAAATTAAAGTAGTGGCTGTTTCAGCTGCTGACTTTCCAACATGGTGGGCATAAGTTTACCGCACAAGTCTCCACTTGTCTCTAGTGAAACAGAGCCCACCCAAGAAAATGCTGCTCAGCCCATAGACCACAGTGTGTCTGGCAGACTTCTCAGCAAAGCAGGAAACTTTAAACTGTCCATCTGCATTGGCAGTTTGTCAGTCATTTTTCTGTGTTCTGCAGAATGTCTGATTCTTCCATGAAGCATGAACCTGTAGGACTGTCCATCTTTTTTTTTTTTTTTTTTTTACGAGACAGGGTTTCTCTGTATTGCTTTGGAGGCTGTTCTGGAACTTGCTCTGTAGACCAGGCTGGCTTCGAACTCACAGAGATCTGCCTGCCTCTGCCTCCCGAGTGCTAGGATTAAAGGCGTGCGCCACCACCGCCCGGCTAGGACTGTCCATCTTGTTTCGTAAGTTTAGCAGTCACTTTCCTGTGGGTCCTGCTTGTCCAGTTTATACAGCAACATTAAACAGTCCAGGCAAGAGCAGTTTCTTGCCCAAATGGCTAATCTTGCCATATTGAAAGCAAACTCCATAATGAGTCTTCGATGCCCATCTTCCTCTCAGACATAATTGGTGTGTCAGGAATAGTTGTGTGTCACTATGATGAAAAACCCTAAACCATTTAAATGTCATTTTTTTTTTTTTGGTTTTTCAAGACAGTGTTTTGGAACCTGCCCTGGAACTCGCTCGGTAGACCAGGCTGGTCTTGAACTTATAGAGATCCGCCAGTCTCTGCCTCCCAAGCAGTGGAACTGATGTGACTCAGGGACCAGCCTGGTGGGAAGAATGCACAGTACACAAGGCCCAAGGAATACCATATACAACAGACCAAGGAGTGTGTGTGACTCTCTCACCTGGACTCTATGAAGAATAAAGAATACACACCTAGCACAGACATGGTATTGGTTCCTACTGACCTTGACCTGCCCCATCCATGTGTCTACCAATCTGGACCCAATCCTCCCCTTTTGCTCCTGGAGCTGGTCTCAACTCTGCAGCTTTACTCTCAAACTTGTGATATGAAGGAACCTAAAGAGTACCCAAAGATTCTCCAGTTTCTTTCTTGAAGCTCTGGTTTTGTTAATTTATCAATATCTATTATCAAATATCTGCTGACAGTTCTACCAACTTTCCTGCTCTTCAGGACTCTGCTGTGGTCTGTTAATTTGTTGCCATTCTGGAAACATACACACATACATAGGTTACATGTATATGTATACACACATATTACAGTGTGATCCAAGAGCTGATACTAGCAATAGAGGTGGGACTAAAACAGCCTGTGTTCATCTCCATCATGGTTACCAAGGAAAGCAGGCATATCAAGTTGATGCCATAGAAACTATTATACCTTGTGAATTTATTATTACTCAATAAGTTCTGACATTGTTGAAACATGTTCATTTTTTACATAGTTCACTCAACACATTATATAAAGAGAATGATAAAAACCAATACTTTGTATATTAATCTAAAAAGTTATTTTTTCCTCTTACACTAAATCCTGGTGATGTCACACATAGGCTCCTTTCATGGAGTTTGATGAGGGCTGCACTGTCCACATGCTTCGTCCCCAGAAGGGTATCTAAGAGTAAGTTCTGCAAGTGACTCATGTTGATTCCTCAGCTCTGAACCAGGAGTTGTAGTTGGTCTCCACTCGAGAGCATACAAATGCCTCTGATACTTCAGTTTTAGTATCAACGTGTGTCCTTTAAAACATTGGAACAGTGAAAGTGGTGGTCTACCATCCAGTGTTCATCAATACCAAGAAAGAAAGAAAGAAAGAAACAAACAAAAAACTGTAGGAATATAGGAGTTCACAGTCTGGCTTATTAAGCAGAGTTTGAAAAAAAAATCAGAGCCTCAACAATTTTAGCTATGTAATTATTTACAAGAGAATTACCTGGGACTTAAAAATACAAGTCCATGCTTATCACCTCAAGTACTCTAGGGGCAGGAAGGTCACAAGTTCAAGGTCAGAGAGAGACCCTGTCTTTACAAAAAACAAAAATTATAAAGCTATGCGGATGAATCTCAGCGGTACAGTGGGAAACATAAAGTCCTCCGTTCAATCCGGAGACCCGCAAAAATGAACAAGTAAATAAATAAAAGTTAAATAAAGTAAAAACAAAAACAGGCAACCAGCTATCCAAAGAATCTCAAGACCACGGACCACGGAGAACAACCGAGTTAAATAAGATAATACTTTCATTCCTCCTCCTCGACCAGCATCAACGCTGGAGACACACTGGTCAAGAGGCCCGAGCTCTATCTACCACCACTTTAGAGGCCCTGAAGAGCTACATTGCTTGCCCAAGGCAGCCATCTTGGACGGCCCCCACAGTCAACCGCCACAAACGCTCCTTCACCACAGGAACCTAGCAGGGGGAACGTCTCTCTCGTGCTGCCCCCTTCTAAGAAGTGACTGAGGGCGGGCGGGCAGCCTAACTTAATCTGAAGTCTGGGGTGATGGGAGCTAACTATCGTGTACCAGGGTTACTGGGACGTCAAAGCTCCGCCAGGGGCCGGCATAGGCGGAGCCTGGGGACACCGGCGAACGATGATTGGCTGTGGCAGCTGCCTGTTAGAGCGAGACCGGCACCCACCCAGGGTCCCGCTCGCCTCCGAGCCTCTCGACAAGGTGCGCGCGCGCTTTTGTCGCTCCTTTCCCCTCGCCTCGTGGTGGCTGAGGCGCGCGTGGGGGCGCGTCCAGGAGACACAGTCCCGAACGTTCGCGCGTTCTGGAGCCACGGTCTCGGGCTGAGGTCGCGGGCGCACTGCGGTGCGGTGCGGGAGAGCCGAGAGCCCTGCGCACCGCCAGAGGGGGCTGAAGGACCTGGTCGAGGCCTGCACGGCCTGGTGGCCCCGCGCACGCGGGCTGCGTCAGAGGCGGGCGAAGCAGGGGGAAGGGGAAGCGGGCCTCGCGGGTCCTACTCCCTGGTGAGCGGGCCTGATGCCACGGAGCCACCGAGGGCGCAGACTCAGAAGTCCTCTCCCCCTCAATCACTTGCGGAGCCGGGGGAGGGCTTTGGGCCGCTTGGAGCTTGAACGCCTGAATTTTGTGCAAGATTTGCTTCCTTCTCCAAGAGCTCATTTGTGCGTCAGTAGCTTGAAAGTCACGACTCTAACATTCATGGCTTATCAAATTTAGGACACTTGCTGGGAATTAGATTCCTAGCGGCCACTCGGATGACTACACGGCTTGAATAGCACCTTGTAGCCGTGAGGGTTCCAAAAGAGCCCTACTTCCTGGCAACTGGAAGGGAAACATGGAGGGTCAGTTTCCGAAGACTCTTTCCATAGGTGCCCAAGGTCATGAGTGTTGATTATGAAACCGAAGAGACTATTACTGTGGGTTTTAACTATAAAACAAATGCTATTTTAGCTTTTCTAGGGGCTCTGTTAGTTGGTGACCACAATGAAAAATGGAACCCAAGATGATCTGGTAACTGGCACGATTCGTAAGCGCAAGAGCTCCAAAGAATGGCTGGAACCACAGTCGCTTTCGTTTATGGAGGTATAATTGTATGGTTTTTGAGGTTCTTGCAGAGGTGGTGCCTTGTACTAAGTTTGGGCTTTTTTTTCTTTTCTACTTGATCCCCTTTGCTCTTCATTGGAGAGCTTTTTGTTGTTTTTGTTTTGTTTTGTTTTGTTTTGTTTTGAGTCAGGGTTTCCCTGTGTAGCCCTGACTGTCCTGGAACTCTCTGTGTAGACCAGGCTGGCCTCCAACTCACAGAGATCCGCCTGCCTCTCCCTCCCGAGTGCTGGGTGGAGAACTTCTTAAAATAGAATCACATGCTATTGATTATAAATCTTTTCTAATATAACAAAGCTGTTAAAAAAAAACCTACTTAAGCTTGGATATGTTGTAATTTTTTCCAAACAGTTTTATTAGGGTATAACTGGTATGCAATAAACACATACACTGATATAAGTTGACATGCATATGCTCCTGAAGCCATTATTACAAACAGTTTTATTAAGGTATAATTGGTATACAATAAACACATGCACTAATATGATAAGTTGACATGCATATGCTCCTGAAGCCATTATTGCACGTCAGGATGACACACATACTCAGTGTTTCCAGTTGTCTGATCACGCCCTTTTGCAGCACCCCCTCACATTTCCTTCATCTGGAACCACTCTCCTCATTATGGCTTTGCTGATTCTTAGAAGTTTTCAGGCAGTGAAAGCTTGTGTGTTCTGTTTCTCGTTTTTTTTTTTTTTTTTTGGAAGCCAGCAGAGATTCCACAGCAACTGTACTATTTTATATTCTCAGCAATGCATGAAGGCTCCAGTTTCTCCACGTCTTGGGGTTCATTGAACGGTCTTGTGTCTGTGGGCTTATAGTCTCTGACAACACCCTTCCAATCTGCACACCACTTCCTCTCTCTGACAAGTCTCTGTGGTGTCCATGCCGTCCTCAAACTTTACTCCTCCTGCCTCAGCCTTCTGGGGCCTGGGTCTGAAATGAATTATTTCTCATGCTGTACCTTCACATTCACTGATTCTTGCCTGTATCATCTTCAGTCTTCTGTTAAACTCACTGAAATTTGTTTCTTTTTAAAACATGTGAGCTGGATTTTTCCCATTGGTTCTTTTCTTGCTCCTGCTTGTTTGCTAGGTCTGTCCACTCATTGTCGGCATGTTTTTAGCCATTCCACCCCTGCCTCTTTTTTTCTTTTAGATAGGACCTCACTGTTTTGTGTAGCCTGGCCCTCAACTCTTTGTTTTCCTGCTACAGCCTCCCAAGTACCTGAAATAACTGGCGTTAGGCATGTGGGCCATGCCACACCTGCAAATGCTTTATATTTCAGTTACAACATATGGACCATCCCAGTTTTCCTGATACTGTTTCTTAAGTATGGGTCACATTTTCCTTTCCTCATATCTATTTTAGGCATTATGAATGACCTTATAGAGGACCTTAATTCTATGTCACCATGAAGAATATTGAATTTACCAGACAGCTTTGCTGAGTTCAGTCTCCAAATGTTGTCCACCAGTTGGCAACAGGAGAAGCCACTCTGCTTCTCTTAAGCTTCGGTTGGGCTGCATAGAGCGCTGTCCACAAGTTCAGGTGTTTACCAGAGCTTTGTCCAGCTCATTTGTAGAATCTGTGGCACCCTTTTCATGGCTCCTTTAGAGATGTTTCCTGTCATCTGATGCCTAAATGATTGGGCCTGAGGACGTGTTCAGTGGTAGAGCACTTGCCTAGCACAAGGCTTAATCTCCAGCACTATTATGAAAAAAGTCTTCCATAATTGCCATGAACTTTACCTTCTAATTCCTCAGCCAGTGATGTACATGAGTTTTAGCTACCTCCATCAGCCCTGATTTACACTACTTGGGCATAAGGGGATAGGGCTCTGTGGGCACTTTGGGCTACTCTCCAGTGTCTTCAGATTGCTGTTTTTATATTTTAGCCTGGAGCTAGAACATTAATTCACCACCCATCTCAATTGAATACAGTGGTCTTGTCAGAATCAGCAACTCTCTGTGCAAAAGGAGGAAAGAAAATGAATTCTGAAGCCAAGGGTATTGGTTCACACTTGTAATTCTTGCATTTGGAGGTTGAGGTAGGAGGATCACAAGTCCAAGACTCCTGAGCAAGTTTTAGACGAGGCTGGAACACATAGCCAGACCCTGTTCCCTAAAAAAATAGTAGACACACATTTGAGTTTGAATTGTGGTTCATTTGGACTTGGTGGCACACAACTTTAAACCCAGTTCTTAAAAGGCATAGGCAGGCAGATCTCTGTGAATCTGAGGACAGCCTAGTCTACATAGTGAGTTTTAGAACAGCCAGGGCTATACAGTGAGACCCTGCCTCTGCCTTAGGAGTGCTAGAATTAAAGGTGTGCATCACCATGCCAGGTTCTACATTTTAGTTTTTAAAAAAATTTCAAAATCAAATCAATAGGTAAATTTATTATAAAAGAGTAAGAATAGGAACAGGAAATGGAATGCAGCCCTTTTTCAGACCTTATATTGTTTTACTTTGGTGGCTTTTTTCTAGGTATAGGTTTTCCTAAGGTGGTGCTACACTCAGTCTTAAATTAGGTGCACAGAGATATTAGTCTGTCAAATAGAGGCCTGTGCATGTCTATCTTAACCAAAAAGGTAAAACTATCTTACCAGATGTAGGAATAGGTGGTTCTGTCTATGACATGACTCTGGGCAAGTCATTTGACTGTCCTGGGACTCAAAATGCCTGTGAGATGAATTATTTCTTTCCCTACAATGAGCTGTAACCAAGAGCAGAAAGATCAAAATAGTCTTTGAAAAAGCACTTAGTGATACAGAAAAATTGGATTTACAGAGAATGCCTCAGGGGTATGCCTTTCACATAAAAATATAATAAGCATAGATAATGCTAGTGAATTTTCAAGATTTGACTTTTGGACTAATTCTGTTCTTTCAGGCTTTAGCTAAAGAAGATACTGATGCAGCTGTTCAATCAATATTATATAGAGAAAATTATGTAATGAAGGTAAGAATTAGCTACAAAATGCATCTTAGATTTTTTTTTCATTTTCAATGTAGTTTCTACTTGACAACTTTGAGTAAAACTCAGAGTTTTAGATAGTATACAAAATTGACTTAAAAACACTCATTAGCAATGGGGATTAAATGGAACACATCTCTGAGAGTGTTTTAATGACTGTCAGTCTCCTGTGCTCTGGGGGACTTCCTTCAACACTGTACAGGTAAGTGCACCTGCCCACACACATATATACCCACCACAGACACACACCCGTAAAATAATATTTCTAGTATAACTTCACTTATAATGTATACAATGTTGCTATATTCTCTCTCCTCCCACTGTGTGGTATATTTGATTTATTTTACTTAAATAAAACTTTTCATTTGTTTGTTTTTTGAGACAGGGTTTCTCTGTGTAGCTCTGCCTGTCCTGAAACTCACTGTGTAGTCCAGGCTGGCCTTGAACTCAGAGATCTGAAAGGTGTGCACCACCACTGCTGGGCTTAAATAAAACTTTTATTTATTACTATTGTATATATGTGTGTATATATGATGTGTGTGTGAACACACATGCCACGGTACACACATGGAAATCGGAGGACAACTTTATGGAACTAGATCTCCTCTTTACCTTTATATGGGTTCTGAGGGTCACACTCGGGTTGCTAGGCTTGAGGGACAAACTCCTCCACCTGCTGAGGCATCTCACTGGCTGAGTGTATTTGATTATCAGGAAAGGTGAGTATGTTGCCTCCATTGTCCATGAATCTTTGTTTTCAGCAGTGTGTGCCAAATAAAGGACTAAATGATTGAACGATGGGTTATTCTTTCCCCCCTTGGTATGAGAGCTGTGTGTGTTGTGTGGTTGTTGGGAATTGAACTCATTACACTGAGCCATCACTCCAGCCCCCAATGGTGGGTTATTAAGAATAATTTAAGCTTATAAAATATTTAGTTTTACCAAATTTTAGGACATAAAAGCCTCAGAATAATATTTTTGTCTTTCTGTCATTGTTTACTAGGAACTAGATAAGTATTTATATCATCATGACTTCTTAAATGCAAGAAGAAAAGAGATATTGTATAAAAAATGGGTTGAGTGTGTGGCAGATCCTCTACAGAAGAAAATTTTAGAAAAAGTTTGTTCACATAAGAAGATTAAAAAGAGGAGAAGACAAGAGTTAGACAACTTTTTGAGGCATTTGAATAAGAAGGTACTAAGAGGTCATTTTATATTTTTATAGTGTTCAAAATTCATGGTTGTCTTTGCTTGCTGTTTAATCATCTAGTTTTGCCTCTTCCTCTTCTACTTACATACAATCTATACATTCTTTTAAAAACATTCAGTTGTATGTATTCATGTGTGTGTGTGTGTGCATGCGTGCGTGCATGTGTGTGTGTGTGTGTGTGTGTGTGTGTGTGTGTGTGTGTGTGTGTGTGCTATGAGTTTTCAGAGAAGTCAGAGCTCTCTTCCCACCATGCTCGTTCTGGGCACTGCGCTGAGGTCGTCAGTATGGTGGTAAGGCCTTTACCCACTGAGCCGTCCTGTGTATGAAGGGTGGCATTGATGCACTGGTGTTGTTCTGAAGCATAAGGCTGGAGCTGAGTAGGGCTGGAACTGTAACTCAGTGCCTCAGGTTTGTTCCTTGTGACTGAGGGCAGGGGATACAAACTGTTGAACTTTTGAGTTCTGATATCCTCAAAATTAATTATGTACTTCTTTCTTATGTGTGGTTTTATTTCCTTTTTATAGGAACATGCATTTATAGAGCACTATGATCCAAAAGAGTATGATCCTTTTTATATGAGCAAGGAGGACCCCAATTTTCTGAAGGTAGGCAGGTTTCTTAACTGTGGTGGTATGTGTCTGGTTGTTCTGAGCAGCCTTAACATATGTGCTGCTTGCCCTTGAGTGAGCCCTTAAAGTTCAGTGGCATTGCTAGAGTGGTTTCCTATCTAGTGTTTTAGAAAGGAATAAATAACCAAAGGCCAAATTAAGTTAATCTCAGAAAATATGAAAATGTATAATAATTGAGTAATAGGAAATATTTAAACATTTTCAAAGACTTTAAATTTTGTTACAGAAGTAATACATTCTTTTGTTTTGTTTGCTTTTTGAGACAGGGTCTCTCTAAGTAGCACTAGCTATCCTGAAACTCACTATGTAGACCTAGCTGGTCTCACAGAGATCCACCTACCTTTGCCTCTCTAGTGCTGGGATTAAAGATGGGGGCTACCATACCCAGTCTGATTCATTTTTATAGTAAATGAGAGAACTGATTTTAAATTCAGAGTATAAAAAATTAAAAAACTCTACTACCCCAAACTGACTCATTAACATTTTATATATCTTTCTGGATCCCCTTCTTCATCTATTTAAAACTAGTTGGTGTTAACCAAATGTTTGCTTTTCTTTCTGTACATTAAGCATTTATTCTGCCACTGAGCTATAATGCTAGCCCTGCTGTCTCTTAAAGAGGGAGCACAGCACAGATAGGTTATTTGTCAAAGTTATCAATCTTTGAGCAGCAGAGCATAATGAGTCTCTAGTCATTTACCATACCTTGCTATGCTGTCATTTTCCCACAGACTGAGTGTTGCTCTTTAAATGATTTTGTGATGCTTATCTCTGCAGATGATTTGTGATCAGAAAGTTATTTTATCTATTCCTGTACATGGGTATGCAACCTAAAGGCATTAAGGACAGTAGATACTGGTGAGGGTGGAAAGACACAGGAATCAGTTCTGTAGCCTAAGAGTGACAGCATGTGCATAAACAGCCAGAGCAAGAACCAGGTGTGTCAGACGGCAGAGCAGCAGGACTTCAGAAGACAGACATTCCCCACGGACAGAAGGCGTCAGCAAAAGGGAAATGGAAGCATTTTCTCAACCTTAGTTCCCCCTTCCCAAACGACCCTGCTTGTGTCAAGTTGACAAGACAACAAACTAGCACAGATAGAGATGAGTGAACGAGGCTTCTAAGGGAGGCATTTAGAGCAGAGCAGGCAAGGAGATTGCAGGCAGACCCTCAAAGCATGGTTCTGGTCTCTAGTGTGTAACATGGATGAGCTGGACCATACAAGAAGCAGAGGCCTACAGTCACACAGTGAGGACGCAAGGGACCATCATGTCCTGGCAGTTGGAGGAAAGTGAATTTTTTATTTCCAAGACAGGGTTTCTCTGTTTAGCCCTGGCTGTCCTGGAGCTTCCTATGTAGACCAGTCTGGCCTTAAACTCACATAGATCCATCGGCCTCTGTCTTCAGCATCACATCCAGCACTGTCTAAGAAAAATATGGTTACATTCAAGTAATTTTAGTAATGCTAATTTATTAATGAAGTTTTTTTATATATGTGTGGATGTGCTTGACTGTAATTATAGTTCTTCTGGCTGAGTAGGAAGAGTTCTTTGGAGCTATCAACAAGTCATTATGGTTTGTTTCTTTTTTTTCCTTTATTTTTCAGTTTAAATTTAGATTAGAAACAAGGTATGGTTTGTTTCTTAACAATATGGAATGCAGAGCTTGGCATGGTGACACATACTTGCATTCCAGGTCAGCCTGGGCTATATGAGTCCCAGTTTCAATCAGACCTAAGAGACATGTAAATTGCTATATGAGTTTGTCTGCCTTATACAGGGTCATGCTAACATTTTCTGTATTGTTTCACTTTTAGTATATGTGCTGCCAAAGTGTGCATGATAGCAAGTTTTAAAGTGATTTTTTTTAAAAGAATTACTAGATTACGTTATTTTCATTTAGGTTCTGTGGTCTGCAAGTTAAAAACTTGAGTCACTACTATATATCCCAAAGTGTAAAAATCCAGTAGATTGGTGTAACACAAATAATAAAAACCTAGATACAGATATTGGGGTTCAAGCTTCAATCTGAAGATCAGAAAAGCAAAGCCGCTGGTCACCAGGTCTTACCTCTACCTCAAACTGAAAGGGCTGTCCTGTCCCCTGTGGCTGGAGAATAAATTTCCCCACCAAACCTCAGACTGCAATCCTGTCTCTACCAAGCCTCTGAATGCAATCCCAGACTGCTGCCTCTTCCTTTTATACCTCTCAGATCCTGGGATTAGAGGCCTGTGATCCAAACTGCTGAGATCACCTTTGTGTGAGCTGTTTCTCTTTAGGACTGGATCAATTTCATGTAGCTCAGTGTGGCCTTGAACTAACAGAGATCATCTGCTTGTCTCTTAAATCCCGGGATTAAAGGTGTGTGTCACTACTGCTTGACTCGATAGCTAGCTAGTGTGGGGCTACTGGGATTAAAGGTGTGTATCACCATCGCCCGGTTCTATGGATTGTTGCTAGCTTTGCTTTCTGTACCCTCAGGCAAGCTTTAATAAATCATAAATAATATATCACCACAGATAGGGAAATGTGGTGAAGTTAATTGAACTTTAGATTGTTGTTACTCTCTTTAGAGTTTAAAACTTTGTTCTAATTTGTCAAAAAGTCACATACAAAAAATAAGATAACACTATTTTTGTCTTTTCACAGCAAGTTAATGCTTGCTGTCCTGTAAGTAACACTCCTTAACTTGTGTAAAAGTGAGACTGTAGAGGTCAGTCTGCTCACGGTTAGATCTGGATAGGCATACTTGTGTTAGAATTACCCAAGAAAGCAAGTCTAACCATTGCCAGGAAGACACATAGGTAGCCTCTTCAGGCGTGGTAGAGTTTCATAGGAGCAGACTAGGCCATGACTGTGACTGTTTCTGAATGTGGTGATCTTGTGTTGAATTTTAATTTTAGTAATGTTGGCCAGCAAAACATTTTGTGCTTTAAAGTTTCACAGATAATCTGCATTTTGAATGCATGTAGTTAGTTTTATGTAATTATTATGTTGTTGATTTGTGGGTGTTAGATGAAGATGAACATATGGATATGTATTTCCATTAATTAAAGGAAAGGAAAGTGAAAATTTAAATTTAGAAATGTGTGTGTCTGTGTGTGTGTGTGTGTGTGTGTGTGTGTGTGTAGAGTTTTGAAGACTGAAGCCAAACTTTGAAATACAAGCTAACCTTGTCTTGGATTGGGTAGATAGTAGATAGTTTAGTTAGTATAATGCCTGCTCCCGCAAGTACAGGACCCCAGTTTTGGTCCCTAACACCCTGTGAAAGGCAGATGTCATAGCATAGATCTGTTTCCCCAGTGCTGGTGACATAGACAGAATGCAGATGGTAACAGATGGATCCCTGGAGCTTCTGGTTCAGTGAGAGACCCTGTCACAAAAAAATAAGGTGGAAAATGACTGACAGAGGGAGTCAGCTGATGTCAGCCTCTGCACTCCACAGACACATACATCCATATGCATACACATATATCCATGCACCCACATACATATATACATACACATACATACATACACTCACATTAACATGTACTCATGCATGACCCCCTCCACACACAGAGCAAACCTTTCCTCTCCTATATGATCTCATAAGAAAAGAGTCAGAATGCCCCCATCTCTTTGTAATGTGTTATAGAATGGGTGTACGTTCGTAAATCCCATATTCTTAACTCTCTGGCATTAGAACAACACATGTGTGCCTAGGATGGACTGAATATTAATACTTAGATCTGCAGCCCATTCCTCAAAAAAGTGCTTCTCTTGTAGGTTATCATGCCACCATTTCGTGATCCTTTGAAAAAAGCACAATATAACAAGGATGATGAAAAGAGAACCCTTCTTCAGTGTGAGACTGGTACTTAATTCTTAAATGATTTCCTTCTGTTGGAGCGGTCAGTTGCATTTGAGCATGCTGATTTTAGCTTACTGATTTTCTTGCAGGCAAAATCTATACAATGAAAGAATTTAAAGAGATCGAGAAGGCCCAATTGCATTCCAGGTTCCCGAGTATTTCTAATTCAAGGCAATGTATAACTCCAAATGAATGGCTTAAAGTACCCATGAGTTACATAGAAAGTGAATTTTGTAAAAAGAGCAGGTAATAATTGATCTAATAGAAGTTTCAAGCTTCTTGAACTTTGAAAACTCTTTCTTGAGACAGTGACATCTTTCATTGATTAGTTTTAAATTTTCCTCTGTGTATGTTATTTTTCTTGAATACTATCAAGATTCCCCAATTTTGGTTTTCATCAGATAGACTATGAGGTATCGAGTTTTATTTTCCTCTTAGAGTCCTCTGACATTTTCATTTTTATTGTTATATGCATTTTATTAATTTTGGGGAAACTTAGACCATTATTACTTCAGATATTTTCCATGTACCATTTGTCTTCTAATTTTTGAGATTCTGTGCATGTGTGACCATAGATAACGTCCACAGTTCTGTAAACCGTGATAGTGGTTGGCTTTACTTTATGTGTTTTGGTTCAGTGATTCTGGTTGAGCTGTCTGTAGGTTCACAAGCCCTTGTTGTATGCTATCTACTGATGAGCCCATCAGACACACCAACTGTGATAGCATGATTTTTGGCATTCTTATTTGACTTTTCATGTTTTCATCTTTTCTTAAATTCTTCATCTTTTAGTACACATTGTTCACTTTTTCAACCAGATTTTTTCAAAAGCCACAGTCACTTTAAATTTCCAATTGATAGATCCAACTTTAGGATCATTTTTGAGTTTAGTTCAGTCTGGTTCTGTTGATTGCTTTATGTCTTGACTAGGCATTTTACTTTGCCTATTTTTTTTTGCATGCTTTATAATTTAAAAAGGTGTTTTGCCTGCAGGTCTATTTATACATGATGTGTGTACTTGGTGCCTGTAGGGGTCAGAAGAGGGTATTGGATACCCTGAGACTGGAGTTAAATGTGAGCCACCCTGTGGGTACTAGGCATTGAACCTTGGTCCTCTTGAAGAACAGTCACTGTTCTTTTTTTTTTTTTTTTGAGACAGGTTCCCACTGTACCCCAGGCTGGCCTAGAACTTCCCATGTACATCAGGTTAGCCTCAAACGCATCTCTGGAGCTCCTCCTGCCTCTGCTGCCTAAGTGCTAGATTTAAAGGCATGCACCACCACGATTGACCTTAATTTTATATTTTTTGATTGTGTATCAGATACTTGAGATGGAAAACTAGTGCAGATGCTGTATTTTCCTGTAGAAACTGACATGCCTCTTCTGCCATGCATTAGTATTTGGATAATTGGTTTATTAGAAGTTGATCTAAGTTTGGGTATTATAGTTGTTGCCTTTAGCATTCTACAGACCTTAAAAAAAAACAAAGTATGCCATGTGTGTGCAGCTCACAGAAGCCAGAAGAAGGTGTCAGATCCCTTGGAACTGGAGTTCAGGCAGCTATGAGGTGCCTGTGAGGGTGCTGGGAATAGAACCTGGGTCCTCTGGAAGAACAGCCAGTGCTTTTAACAGCTGAGCCAACTCTCCAGATCCTTAAGGAGTTTCTTTCATTGTTTTTCTTAAAGGAGGTTTCATTTTGAATTTATGTGTATATGTGTGAGCCTGTGTGGGTATGTATATGAACATGAGTGCAGAGTCCAGAAGAGAGTGCTGGGCATCTTGGTGCAGTAGTTACAGGTGATTGTGAGCTAGCTGTCAGAGTGTGTGCTGGGAACCAAACACAGGTCATTTTGAAAAGAGATTTTACAGTTTAACCAGGTTGCCAGCCCTGAGTTTTTTGTTTTTCTTTTTGTTTATTTTTAAATAGGAATCCATGCTGGGTGAGGGTCTCAGGGTGATGGCAAAAGGATAAAATAAGAGATTGATATGATAAAAGAAAAGATTTATATAGTTTTATGACTTGGAGGGCCAGACACAAAGTCAGAGAAAATTCTAAGTTGGAGCAAATATGTTGAATGTAGGGTTCCATGCTTGTTGAGCAAGCTCTCTAACAGTGAGCCTGGCCTCCAGCCTGGTGTTTAAGAGCTGTCATCAAATGTGTTCTATGGCTGCCATACTTGTGGCTGTCTTTTTGCCTCTGCCTCCCAATGGCTGAGAATACAGGCCTGTTGTACCATGTCAGGCTTTATGACTTCTTTTTATATTAGAGTATAAGCTCCCAAGGAATAGAAAGACTTCAACTTTACCTGCCTAATCTTGGTTCTCAGTGAATAGCATGTCAGTCTCCATCATGGTTTCAGAAACTCTTAAACAACTAGTGTCATCGAGAAGGCACAGCAGTGCCAAGTAATGTTATTTTGGGCCATATTTGTAGTAGTCAGTTCCTAAATGTAGTTTGTGCTTAAATGCAAATGAGCACTGATTTGCAGTATCCTGACAGATGTTCTCCTGTTAAAGGATCAAAGTGAGGGCGAATTTTAATGCCAGCGATTATAATTTGAACCCACTGATATGGGTGCCTAATTTTCTGGAATCCCAGAAGGAAGAAAAGACAGTCAGTCACAAGTAAGCCTGTTATTTTATGATTTTGTTCTCCTTTCGTTTAAGATGCTTAGCTGTGTTGCCTTCCCATCCACCCTTTCAGATTGTTTGAGTTAGTGCCAAGGTCTGAACATCATGTCAGGATAAGGGGATTTTTCTTTAGTGTTTATTGTTTAAAGAAACAAATAGTACAGAAACAGCAAGTACAAAAATGGTACTCAGGGAGAAGGTTTACAACTGTACTAAAGTTATGAGAGTTTTAAATTGAGACTAGTTTTGGTAGATATAGTTAGAAAAATATTGCACTGAAGTGAAAAGATACAATGGGGAAGTAGTTCATAGACTTATGTGTGCAATATGGGAAATGGTTTCACACATACAAAAAACTGCATTCCTAGTACTTGGGACGCTGAAGCAGGAAGATCTTAATTTTGGATACGCCTGGGCTACATAGCAAGATCCTGGGTGAGAAAACAGTGTGGAGATAGAGATTTCTCCACACAGTTATAGAAAAAGGCAACTTCTCATAATCTGATTAAAAATATTATGATCCTTCCTCATTGCTAGAGGGAGTTCAAAAATAGTTTGGAAGCTTTGGGAAACAGTTTGTTAGTTTTCCAAAGTGATAAACATTGCTACCATGTGACCTATAAGTTCTACTGCTAATTTTATTTGCATGGGTGTGTGTGTGTGTGTGTGTGTGTGTGTGTGTGTGTGTGTGTGTGTGTGTGATGGTTCTCACTGTGTAGTCCTGGCAGACTAGGAACTCTGTATATCTGCTTGACTCTGCCTATACAGTTCTGGGATTAAAGGCTTACACTACTATGCTCAGCCTACTGCCAGGTTTATATTCAGAAGAAATGAAAACATAGATCCATCTGGTCAGTGATGGTCTCGCCTTTAATTCCAGTAGCCAAGGCAGAGACAGGTAGATCTCTGTGAGTTCAAGGCTAGCCTGGCCTACAACTTGAGTTCCAGGACAGCCAGAATGGTAACATAGAAAAACTCTGTTTCGAAAAAACCAAAATTAAAAAAGAAAAAAAACATATATCCACTTATAGGCTGATAGGTATATTCATGATAAACAGTAACTGGAAACTCAAATGTTTATTAGCTAATAAGTAGAGAAACTCAGTGTTGTGTACCCACATGATACAGTGTTGGCAATTATAAAGAAGTACTGGTGTACACCATGGCATATGAAATGATGAGAGAAGGGACATATTCTTTTTTTTTCTTTTCTTTCTTTTTTTTTTTTTTACAAGACAGGGTTTCTCTGTATTGTTTTGGAGACTATTGGTCCAGCCCGGCCTTGAACTCACAGAGATCCGCCTGCCTCTGCCTCCCGAGTGCTGGGATTAAAGGCGTGCACCACCACTGCCCGGCGAGAAGGGAAATATTCTTATGGAGACAAAGGTTACCTAGGGCTGGGAGTGAGACTGGGAATGTCTGATTGAGCACAAGGTTTGGGAGTGGAAATGTTCTACAGTTAGACTGCAGATGACTGCACAGCTCTAAGTATCCTAAAAGACATTGATTTAGCTGCTAACAAGAATTAAAAGTAAAACAAAAACCTAGCAAGGTAGAAGAGAAGTGAGCCTGCCTTTCTTTTTATAGGAGGTTAACCTGTAATTCTCTGTTCCTAAATGTTCTGAAGTCAGCTACCAAAGTTTCCCTTTACTTTTTCTTCATAAAGTCAGAATTTGGTCGGTTAGATTCTGTGTGGCAGAAGCTGGCGGGCTATTGGAGACGCTGGGCTATTGGAGATGCTGGACATTGACTTGAGTAGTTGTCTCACAGGCATTAGAGTGGTTTAAAGTAAATCCAGATTGAATTGGGTGCAGAGGTATGCACCTGTGATCCAAGCACACTGGAGGCTGAGATAAGGAGGACCATTTGAGTCCTGAAGCTCAAGACCAGCCTCCTTGTTTTAAAAAAACACCAGGTAGAAGCAGACAATGTTAATGACATAGCTGCCCATCGTGGATGTCTTGGTATTCTGGCAGTGCAGCTTAACGATGCAGTGTTTTGTTCTTTGGATAGGGTCTGAAAGTGAGGACTAAAGGGAAAACGTTGAAATTGGGCCCTATTTACTTGTATGTTAGAGTCCAGAGGAGACAATTCTTCCATACTCCCTAGTAGCCGTGCTTTCCAACAGAATAAACAAATTTGAGTAAGAGTTTAGATAGCTAGCATCTTAAAATGTTCTGTCTAAATTATATTTATTATGTATTTAACTATTGTGTGTGATGGCAATAAGTGTGGAGAAGGCAGGTATTGTGTAATTTTGGGGGGAATTATAAAATTACTATCTGCTCCCAGACTTGGACTGGTGTGAACAACTCCAAAATGACTCATTCAAATTTATCCTTTTTCTTGTTTGTTTGTTTTATTTTGTTTTTCGAGATAGGGTTTCTTCATAAAGCCCTATCTTGGGCCCTGCCCTGGAACTCACTGTGTAAACCAGGCTGGCCTAGAACTCAGAGATCCACCTGCTCTTGTCTCTCAAGTGCTGGGATTGAGGTATCCCCCAACTTCATCTTAATGAGTAAAATGAATTTATTAGAGGTTACTTATGGAGCAGTGAGTAAGTATGGCCGGTTCCATTCTTCCTCTTCTTCTTAGTTGCTAGCTCCAGGTCCTGTCCTATGTATGACTTTATGTCTAAAGCAGAATTCATGTAAACTTAGAGTGCTACCTAGTATTAAAGCAGCATAGGTAACTACAGGCTTGGACAACGTGAGTCGCAGAAAACAGTCTCTGGGAAAGATAGATACATTTATGTGTATTCCATCCTTGTTCTTAGAGGCTCAGCTAGTTTTGGCAAACACTGTGCAGACATGCGCAGGATGGCTTGTTTAGCTGGAGTCTGGCATAAGAACAGCTAAACAGCAGCCTGCTGCAAGATGGGTTTACTGTGACCAGGATTTGGAGGACCAGTTTCACTAGATATGGCTTGTTTTGGGTCAGTTTAGACCTCTTCAGGGATAGCAAATGCACAGCGCTGAGGGGCTGAGGACGAAGAACCATCGCTCAGCTGTTTCATGACAGCACAGGAGTTCCAACAAAAATAATGCTAGAGCAAGGTGGTTCCTCTTTTAGCTTTCTTTTCATAAAATGCATATATATGTATGTATGTATCTCATAAACATAGATTTTAAGTGAAAATATTTTCTTCTGAGTTAAATGTTAAAAGGATTGTCCCGGGTTCTTCTTACAGAAACAAAGGGCTCTCCTCTCTGGACAGTGAAGCTCTGTGTCTCCAGGAGGGAAAGAGCTCGAGTTCCAAAGGGATCAGTTCTGAAGGTCACCATTCTTCTGCAGACCTCTGCCAGGAGGTAGAAAGGGATGGGGACTAGGATGCCGTGAGTACTAACCAGGATTCGGTGAGAGCTGGGACAGTCAGTCCCATTTTGTGATACATGGGGCAGCACTTGCTGATACCAGTTCAAGCTTGACTTGATATAGTAGTCTTTTTAGAAACTAGATGCAGTTGAGAACATCTCTAGTGAGTGATAGAGTAAAAGAAACTAAGACAGGTGTCGCCCAGAGGCAGTGCAGAGTGTGTCCTTGCAGCCTGGTGGAGCCACATAGTGTGGACATGCCCAGTGGGCCAAACTTTCTAGTAGTTCCTTGGCTCCTGAGTTGACTCCTGATAGGTCAATCTTTCTACCACCTTTACCTTCTCTCTCCCATTTACCTGTAGTCAACCTAGGCCCCCTGAAGTGTTTCTTTTAATTCAATTAAGAATTAGTTTTCAAAAGGGCCAGTACTAAAAGCAGTAAGCTCTAAGAAGGAAATGTAAAATGTCTAGAGACACAGGTGTTCATAGAGACCTCCCATCTCAAGGTAACTACAGAATTGTGATGTCATTTGACAGACCTAGTCTGGCGCCCACTTGGACACATCTAGTCTAGAGGGTATACTTCAGTTTTCCTTCCCACTGCTGTGTCCCATATAAAAGATTTTAAAATCTACTCATGAAAGTTTACTAAACCTGTCAGCACTATGTTTTACCTTCTTTACCTGCTGTTGTTTAGTATTTTTCCATGTTCCCATACATTTTAACAAAGTCCTGTTCTGAGTCAGGCAGGGTTTAAGGGACTGGAGCCATGTGGTGAGCAATAGGTAAATCTGCTCTTGTGGAGCTTCCATTTGATGGTAAAGATGGCAAACAAAATAAACGTCTTACGGCTGAGGTAATGAAGTGAGGAGAAGACAGTAGATACGGGCAGCAAGGAAGAGATGGGCAAGGACGTTATTTTAAATGGGAAATCAGGAAGTGCTTCCTGGAAGAGATGACATTGTACAGGGGCCTTAGAAACTGAGGGTGGACCAGGCATGGTGGCGCACGCCTTCAGTCCCAGTACTTGGGAGGCAGAGGCAGAGGCAGAGGCAGACACATCTCTGAGAGGCCAGCCTGTTCTGCAAAGAGCTCCAGGACAGCCAGAGCTACTCAGAGAATCTCTGTCTTGGGAAAAGAAAAAGGAAAAAAGAAAAAGAAAGAAAAGAATCTGAAGCTGGGCCATGGAGAGTTTCAGGGGAAGTGTGTCCAGGAAAGATTGACACAGCAGCTTGAGGAGGGAGTGAGGCTGACAAGAGGGGACTGGAGAAGAGGTAGACACCACTCATATGGAAGCCATTCGGAAGTTTTGAGTAGACACACACACCTAAGTAACTTTTGGGGGAAGTTTTTTTTTGTAGTTTGTTTTCCTTTCATTTTTTAAATTAGTTGTTGTCTAGTTTCTTAGAGACAGGGTTTCATGATTTCATGTAGCCTAGACTGGCCTTGAACTCTTTATATAGCTAACAGTGGTCTTAAATTCCTTATCCCTTTGCCTCCATTTTCCATGTGCTAGGATTACAGGTGTGCACCACTACACCTGACAAAATAACATTATAAAATGAAGAACATGACTGCTTTGTAGCCAGTTATACACAAGCCGGAACAGTCTAGCTGGTGGGTCAGGGCACTGGGTCCAGAGCATAATGACCTGAGGTCTAGTGATAGCTGTGGTCATGGGACCTGAGGAGTGAGCAAGCTGACAGAGCGTATTAGCATTTGATTTGAGAAATGAGTAAAGCAAGAAACCAAAGACAACTGTGTTGTTGAGGTTTTTGTGTTGAGGGGCCTGGATGGATGCTGGTCCTACTCATGACTACAGAAGTGTGAGTGGAACTTGGAGAGATGAAGGAAGAAGTGCAGAAATAGAGTGTTTTCTGGGGCTAAATGAAAGATGCCTTTTACCGTTATAATACATTATAGGGTACGCTTGAAGTAAGTTAGCCTTTTCTCTAGCTGTTCATTTAAACATGTTGGGGCTAGGGATATAGCCTGGTGCTCTAAGGCTAAGGATGTAGCCCAATGGAGAGCACTTACTAGCATGTGGATGATTCAGTCTCCAGCAGTCTCTCTTTCAAAAGACAAGCAGAGCTGGGCAGGGGTGGCGCACACCCTTAATCCCAGCACTCGGAGGCAGAAGCAGACGGATCTCTGTCAGTTTGATGCCGGGCTGGACCGACAGCCTCCAAAACAATACAGAGAAACCCTGTCTCGTAAAAACCAAAAAAAAAAAAAAAAAAAAAAAAGGGAAACAAACAGATGAACAAGTAAGGAAGTAGTGATCACACTCTGATCAAGGTAGTTTTCTATACTACTTAAAGGAAGATCTCTCTCATACACACACACACACACACACACACACACACACACACACAGGTTCTTGATTCTTTTGTAAATCCTGTAAGACTTACCTTCACACATTTAGAATGTAACATTTACTCCCTAAAAGATACCAAGACTAAAATCAAGTGTATTTTAGTAATATTCAGCTATATTTAGCAATAATTGTCTTTTAACTCAACCCCCAGAGGAGCTGTGAAGTAGGCAGGTGGATGTTGCCTGGAGGTCAGAGAAGATAGAGATACTAGGCTGGACATGCATATTTGTATCATCTGATATGTGATCTGAAGTCATGAGATGATCTGAGAGGGAGTGTCTAAAGAATTGAGGCTAGATTCTGTGAGAGGCACCAACTTGCTGCTAGAGAGGCTTAGGGGGATCAGCTCCCATAGCCAAGGAACTTCCTGGTCCTCTAGGCCCTTTATCCTTAGGGCACACTCAACTTTTTTCTTTTGTCACTTTCAAAAGGGTATGACAACCACACATCTTGATTGCTGCTTTGTGCAAGAACCCACAAAAGAAGACAGCTTTAGATGAGTTCCCTGCGGGCAGGAATTCTTCTGAGAGGTCCCAAGGAAGACACTGAGGAATCACTATCACTGCTCTTGCAATAAACTTCCTTTAATTTAGACTTTAGTGTCTGTGATGATTAAGAAATGACAATGCAAAAATTCCAAACAAACAAACGGGCATGGTGACACACGCCTTTAGTCCCAGCACTCGGGACGTAGAGGCAGGTGGATCTCTGTGAGTTCTAGGACATCCTGGTCTCCAGAGTGAGTTTAGGACAGCCAGGACTGTACAGAGAAACAGAGAAACCATGTCTTTAAAAAACAACAACAACAAAGAAATGACAATACATTTCCCTCAAAGTGTGTTTTCTTCTCAAGTTAAAGTATTCATGAAGGGGCCAATAAAGAGAGCCATCTTACTGAATGCCTGTCCCACTCCGTTTGGTTTGTGACTAAGTTGTTCTTTCTGTCCAGGCGCCATTGAAATTGGGTTTTAAGGTAGCAGCTGTGTTGCCTCATCCCATATTTATCTGCCTTATTCTGGAGCATAGTTATCTAGGCTTTTCGAATTTTGCCTCCAATCTACATATGGTTCCAGGGGAAACTTAATTAAAAAAACTTAGAACATTATGTTGTGGGAAATTTCAGAATAGTATATACAAATAGAGATAATTGTAGAAGAGACCCTCATCCAATTTCAATAATGAAAACCTCACGGTCAGTCTTCACCTATGCCACACCTACTTTTCAGCCACATCTGAATTTGGAAGCAATTCCTAGATATGTTTCCAAACATTGTCTTTCTAGGTGGTAGAGAGTACACTCCTCTTCTTTCCCTGTCCTTGCATGGGAATGGCAATTCCAAACACTTCACAGCTCCTCAGCGAGAGCCTCAATCATGCTGTGGTGCGTTCCTGTAATCCTTCCCTCTAGAAGCTAACGCAGGAAGACCCCAAGTTCCAAGTCAGACTGGCAACACAGCGAGGCTTAAGATCAAATATGAGAGGTTTCAGATACTGTCATATTGCATATTTTCACAGTATCAATATCTGTCAGGTGTTTATGATTTTGCTATCACAACACAGTAAACGTTACATTTGTATTTATAATTTATTTTTCATAAAAAAACTACTAACATTATACGCTTCAACCAGACACTCTGACATCCCCACTCACCCGCAAGCTGAGGAGAAACGCCTCCAAAAGGCAAGGGGAGAGGCTAGGTTGAAAGACGGTGTTCTAATGTTCTGTGAGCACGCCATTTTCTTTCCCTTCCAGGGACGTTGGTGTCGCAGGCTTGCCAGACCGCGTGGCCTGGCTTCGCGCCCCGAGGACTGGAGCGGAGACGCCACTCCCAGGAACTGACTGAGGCGGGCTGCCGTGTGCCCAGGGTAGCAGCCAGTCGGAGGCAGCCTGGGAAGCCAGTGGGTCTGAGGTGAGCAGCCCCCAGACCAGTGCCGGAGCGTTCATCTGAGGGGAGGGGAGGCCTGTGGGCCTGAGACCAGTCACCTGCGCAGGAGCTTCCATCTGAGGCCTGAGGCGGCCGCCATTCCCACTCGAGGTGCCACCAGCCCAGGAGCATCCATCTGAGAGGAAGCCTGCAGCCTGAGGCAGCCACCCCTGCCTGCTGAGGACCGTCAGCCTCAGCCTGTGGCTAAGCCGCCAGTGTGGAGACCGGCTTTCCCAGGGCAGCATGGAAAGCGAAACTGACATCTGCACACCCGGGTCTCTAGGACGCAACAAAGAGGACGTCTAAACCAAGTTCCAAGTCCCTAAGGCCCTGCTTTTTCGACATTGGTATACTTAAGTCCCTCAGTTTTTCTTGCTCAGGGATTCTGCTATTTATGGCTGCCACAAAAACTACGAACTGTAATGAGCATTTCAGTGTGGAGAAACTAAAGGAATGGCCAGAGCCGGAGTCAGTTTCTTTAATGGAGGTAACATAGCACGGCTTCCACCCTATATCTTCCCCTTCCTTCCTTCCTTCCTTCCTTCCTTCCTTCCTTCCTTCCTTCCTTCCTTCCTTCCTTCCTTCCTTCCTTCCTTCCTTCTTCCTTCCTTCCTTCCTTCCCTCCTCCCTCCCTCGTTTTTCATAAGAAGCAAGACAATTTTATTTGGAGCCAAGTGGGTTCACTATCAAGACTGACAGGGCTCACTTGAGTGAGAGGACTTAAGGTTTTATTTTTGAGATGTTGTCTTTCCATGAGACACAAAATCCCTTGAGTTTAGGACCAGTTTGGCCTTAATCAGGCATATATTTCTAGTATGAGAGCATTGCTCTTGGCTTAGATTAGATATGCAGAAGGGTTCTGTGAGTGGGAGTGCCTGGGCTCAAATCCCTATCCGAAGGAAGGATGGCACCAGCTGGCTGCCGGGTAGGTAGCCGGGGAGGTAAATGCGACAGGTCAGAGCTTGTCCTTCCTCCAGGTTTATAGGATTCTATGGTCATTATAAAGAAAGCTCGCCGGGCAATGGTGGCGCACGCCTTTAATCCCAGCACTCGGGAGGCAGAGGCAGGTGGATCTCTGTGAGTTCGAGGCCGGGCTGGACCGATAGCCTCCGAAACAATACAGAGAAACCCTGTCTCGTAAAAACCAAAACAAAAATAAATAAATAAATAAAAAAAATAAAGAGAGCTCTTGATAATTTATCTTGCCCCCTTTGCCATGGTGGCAATAAAAGTTGCAAAATGTGAGTTTACTACTCTTGTGTTTGTGAACAGTGAATTTCAGAGGAGCTGCTACGAATCATTAACATTTTATGTTTTCTGAAAGAAAATGCAGAGAATGACATATCAGTGGTAAAGATTATCTAGCGATCCCTTTTCAAAAAATCAAGTTACATTGGTTTATATGTGTGTGCACGAAGAAGGCAAACACACGGGTGACATGCCTTTGGAAGACAAACGACAATTTCAGGAGCGGGTCCTCTCTTCTTACCGTGTGGGTGCCCTGGGCTGAACACAGGTGGTCAGGCATGCTGGCGAGCACCTTTACCAGCTGAGCTACCTTGACAGCCTCTCTTTATTGTCATTATCATTATCATTATTACTATTAGAATTGGTTATGTAGACCAGGTTGGCCTGGAACGTCCAGAGATCCTGGCTCATCCCCAGAGTGGCAGGACTAAAGGCATGTTGCCCCCCACCTGTCTGAATTTTTTTTTAAATAAAGAAGCTTATTGACCAAGAGTGTAAAGAGTGTATATAACATAACATTTGATAATTTGCTTAAAGCCTTACCAAGAATGTTAAAAAAAAGTTTTTTTGCAACGATATTTATCAGCATATATGTTTCTATTTCTCTAAATAAATAGTGATTATTCTACATTTAGAGTGTAGTGTCAGGGGAACTTTTTTTTTTGACATTTTCCATTGGCGTCTTGAAATAAACTGAGCGGGCTTTAAAGTAAGATTGTACATATTCTATAACTTATATTGGAGAAGATCCAGCCAGCTGTTCAGATACAACTTTGGATTTCATGGGAGCCTATCATGTGAGCCTCTTATTTACAGGTGTGGCGTTTGAGTTTAGAATTTAGTTGGTCTCAATGTGTCCTGTGCAGTAGAAAAGAAGGAAGAACCACGAGTGAATAACAAAATTCTAGGAGCTTTCATTAGAGGCCATTATCTTAGGTAATAATGTATCTCTTCCAGTCACTGGACTTACAGTGCCTTTTCATTTGTTCCTCTGTAGTCATTTAAGAATAAGAGCTGGCAATCTGTTCACAGTGATGCAGCTGAAAAGGCACCAGAGTGAGGGTTTAGTGCATCAACTTTCTCTAAACTCAAGCTTCCGCACCAGCTCTGGGACTTTGGGCCAATTCCAATAAGTTTAGTTTTCTGCTTCTTGAGTCCAGTTTGCATTACATTGAACTTTCTGAGTTTTGCTGTTTGTTTTTTGAGATGGGGTCTCACGTGACCCAGGCTGGCCTTTAGGCACCACCTCACCTACTTCCTGCCAGGCTGGGCTTGAATGAGGACTCAGAGGGCTTCATGTCCGTTTCACTCTACCAACTGAGCCAAACTCCGATCCTTGAGGTTTGGATGCGTGAAGAGAACTAGCAGAAGGCAAAAAACTTCAAGGGGCTCCTAAAATACAGTTATATGAATGGCTGACTAGGGAGTTTATTTTATGTAAAAATGATTAGTAAGCTTCTTGGAACTTTATTTTTTATTTTTACTGTGTCCCATACGTGGGCATGTGCACTTAGTGCAGGTGCCCAAAGAGGCCAGAGGCATGGGCTCCTGTGGAGCTAGGGTTACAGGCAGCTGTGAACGGAACTGCAGGACATAGGTGCTGCCAAATGAGACCCGGTCCTCTGCAAGAGCAGTGTGTGCTAAGACTGCTGAGTCAGCCCTTGAAACTTTAACAGAGTATGATTTCATGAAGTAATGTCAGGGACGTATTTCAAAGCAGTCTAGGTGGGTGATGGCAAAAGGACTAGGGCTATATGAAATAGTTGAGTTGCCACTTGTTAAAGCTAGGTCACGTGCTCACGGAGAACCGAGTTTGCAGTTCCCCATCCCATACGCCAGGCATTAGATTTGCACTGCCGTCCAATCGTTCCTTCAGAACTTTTGACCTGCCATCCAATTTTGTTTTAAGGTTTTAGCCAGAGAAGACATCGATGAAGCTGTGCATGCAATATTGTTCAGAGAAAACTACATCGTGAAGGTGAGTGGCTGCGTGTTGTGTTCTGGAGGAGCAAGAGTTGACGTTGTCATGCCCCGATGGCAGGACACAGGCAGCTGCTCACCTCCGGGCGGGCGGGCGGGCGTCTGGGAAGCAAAATGAGAAGGAATGAAAGGGCCAGAGTGTCGGTATTTTCTTCAAAGGCGGGCTCTGGGCGACCTCACTTCCTTCTACCCACCCTGCCTTCTAAAGTTTCCACCACCACCCCGTGGCCCCATCAGCTGGAAACACAAACTAACACATGAGTTTCACATTCAGAGAGACTCAGCAGGGTGAGGAGGTGGCCCTGATTGACACCTTTAAGCTGTGTAGCTCTGAGATGGTGCTACTCCCTAGGGGTCACTAAAACTTCCCACATCTTGTCTGCCCTAAGGAATCCTAGGGATTGTTTTAACCACTCTCCTCCTTGATTGGATGGAAATTCTTTTTTTAACAAAACTTGCCTCTTTTTTCTGTTTTCCCATACTCTATTGGGCTATATAAAAATCACCAGAAATTAATTAGTATTTAAAGGGTGATGATCAATTAAGTTACTAATAATCATTATGGGGTTAACAAGCTTTAAAGGAGTTAATTTCCCTCTGGAAGATAGTATTATAACAACACGTTGGCATTTTTATTGTGATTGAATTTACAAAGTAAATAGACATCTGTTCTCTGAAAATGTTTATTGAGGTCACTGTAAGAGGTCAACGGGCTAGGCAGTAACTAAATTCCTTACCCATAAATTCTTATTGAGTATCAGAAGCAGTCATGGGGTTAGCCTCCTTTCATAGGTCAGGGAGCAGCATCAAAGCAAGTCTATGTCTTTGCTCTCCCAGCTCAGGGACTAGACCCTGGGATGGTGAAGCCTAGACGCAGCGTTTTAAAAAGAAATAGGAGTTTGGTGGGTTAGGAAAGTCTTAATTGGGTTCATGAGTTGGATAACAGTTTTATCCGAAGGCACAGGATGATTTAGAATTTTTCATTATGCACTTTAGGCCAGTGTTCTCAAGTTCTCTCTCTGAAGGTTATTCTGCCTTCCACTTACGTGGTGTGAGGACTGGGCAGCGTGAATGGAGAGCATAGGAATGGGGGTTTTCTCTCTCACTAAGAAAATGATAATAAGTGGAAAAATTTGAACTTTGTCTTGTTGATATTACTTTGTCAGAAAATGGATACGTATTTTCAGCACCAGGCTGTTTTTAAGGAAAGAAGAAGAGAGATGTTACATAAAAAATGGGTTGAAAATGTGGCACTGCCTCTCCAGCAGAGAATTATAGAGAAAGTAATTTCATACAAACCTGGAAAAAGCCAAGGAAAATATGAATACTGCCTAAAGCACCCAAAAAAGCCGGTACTGGGTTCTATTACTTCTTCACTTAACTACGATGTCGCCGTTTTCCTTTTTCTCCTGTTGTTTTCTTCTGCTGTCCTCGTGTGTCCGGGTCATTCCGTCCTTGTCACATCTGCCTGCTGCTGCTCACAGCTCCAGGTGTAAGGTCTGCATCAAGGCAGAGGAGGGCGGGGACAGTGCCGGGACTCCCTGTACCCACTCCTGTGATCAGGAGGCAGAGTCTCCAGCATTCCCCAGGAGATGGCAAGTCTGAGTTCTAGCAGGGCCAGGAAAGAGAGTTCTAGCCTCTGTGATTGGAAGTGGGGAAGGAGAAGGGGACTGCGTGGCGATACAGTCAGGAACTGTTAAGCTTAGGGAGAGACAGTTCTTTTCTTTGTTGTGTCTTACAGAAGAGCAACATTGCAGTGTCTTATTTGAAGACACTTTCACTTTGAGGTCAGGAATCTCTTCAGGAATTTATGTCTTTTTTTTTTTTTTTTTTTTCGAGGCAGGGTTTCTCTGTATTGTTTTGGAGGCTGTCCTGGAACTAGCTCTTGTAGACCAGGCTGGCCTTGAACTCACAGAGATCTGCCTGCCTCTGCCTCCTGAGTGCTGGGATTAAAGGCGTGCGCCACCAACGCCTGGCCTATGTCCTCCTTCTTTGCAGTCTGCTCCAAACTGAAGTCTGCTGGCTTTGAGTCTCCTATGGGATCTTTACTGTTTGGTTTCCTGGGTCTCTCAACCCCAGGTATTTGCTAGAGATATAGAAGAGTTTAGATAGAACATTAGATACACTGGGCATCGTCAAGTATGTTTCTGAACACGACTTCAGAAAATGTGCATTAAATATCAATTCCTAAATGTCCTAAGTGCTGGAACTCAAGATGTAATCTAAGCGTGTTGAAATCAGAGTGTGATCTCTCAGGCTGCAGAAGTGGAGGAAGGCAAAAGAGGTCCTCTTCCTGAGGCTTGCGGTTAGGGGAGGAGCCACCTTTAACCGCTGGCCTCAGCACCTCCCACGCCGTGACACAGGCTTATGCGCCTTTGCCCTGCTCCTCTCACCATTTTAAGAGCCGTGGGCAGTGTCCCAAGGAGGACTTTCCCTCCCAGGACAGTGTCTGTGCTCCTAAAGGCACGAGCTGGTGCCTCTCATAGCCAAGTTGTCACGTGTGTGATTTGTCTGTTCTGGACCGAGAAACCCATGAGGATGGAGTTTGGCCTTGGTATAGCATCATTGACTGATGGAGTGATTTAGTAAACTACAGAGAGACGGTGTCTCTTCCATGTGGGTGGGCCTCCCTTCTTTCTGCCCTCAGCTTTTACAGTCAGCGAGACATCCCCACGGGTGCCTGGTTCTCCCATGGCACTGTGGGCTGACATTATTCCTGAGTCTTGACCTTGGCTCTGTGGAGTAAGGCCTCACTGCTGTACTTAGGGCCAGCTTTGAGCAGCTCACTGGAAACAGTAGGGGAGACCTCATAGACTCTCTTTATCTCCCGTAGACGAAAGCCTCTCCATTGTGTGAGTGTCTGCTTCGAAGACAGCAAGAGCTTCGAGAAGCAAAAGGAGCCAGTTACCAACACGGCACAGGTGCTTTGCAACCAGAGGCTGTGTCATCGTACGCACAGCTGAGTGTCAAATACCCGCCCCCAGAGGGCAGGAGTCGTTTCTGAAGAGTCTGACTCTGCTCTTGTGTCTTCCTGTAGGGAAACAGAACGACACACAAAAAACCCCTAAAGGAACCGGGAAGGCTCCCCTCTTCAGCAGACCACCCCAGGCCATGCTCATTCCCCGTGCTGTTGCTCCCAAAGAGAGGCAGAGAACCTCTGCCCGATCCGTGCTGAATAAATCCAGTGACAAATCCAGGGGCACATGCAGGTACAGAGTAATCAGATAAGCTGGCTAGCGTGAGTGAGCTCTAGGGATTCTCCCAGAAAAGAGAACAAAAAAGAAGCATAATATGAGGGGAGGGTGTGGAAACTGTTGGTGGTAACTGAACCTGGGTGGTAGATTTAGAATGTATACATACATGTATATACGTGTGTGCATATACAATATACAAACATACATATACACATACATGTATATTGGTTTTCCTTTTTTTACAAGTGTTTTTTTCCTTTTTTAATTTAAATTAGAAACAGGCTTGTTTTACATGTCAATCCCAGTTCCTTCTCCCTCCCCTCCTCCCCTGCCCCCACCAGTCCCCTATCCCATCCCCTTTTTGTTCCTCAGGGAGGGTGAGGCCTCCCATGGGGATTCTTCAAAGTCTATCATATCTTTTGGAGCAGGGCCTAGACCCTCCCTTGTGTATCTAGGCTGAGAGAGTATCCCTCTGTGTGGAGTGGACTCCCAAAATCCATTCGTGTACTAGGGATAAATACTGATCCACAGCCAGAGGCTCCATAGATTGCCCAGACCTCCACACTGACACCCACATTCAGGGGGTCTGGATCGGTCCTATGCTGGTTTCCCAGCTGTCAGTCTGGGGTCCATGAGCTCCCTCTTGTTCTGTGGGTTTCTCCAGCCTGGTCTTGACCCCTTTGCTCATCACTCCTCCATCTCTGTCACTGGGTTCCAGGAGTTCAGTTCAGTGTTTAGCTGTGGGTGTCTGCTTCTGCTTCCATCAGCTACTGGATAAAGGCTCTAGGATGGCATATAATGTAGTCATCAATCTCATTATTTGGGAAGAGCATTTAAGGTAGCCTCTCCACTAATGCTTAGGTTCTTAGTTGGGGTCAACCTTGTAGATCTCTGGACATTTCCCTAGTGCCAGATTTCTCTTTAAACCTACAATGGCTCCCTCTATTATGGTGTTTCTTTTCTTGTTCTCCTCTATTCTTCCCCTGACTCAGTTTTTCCGGCTCCCTCGTGTTCTCCTCTCCCCTTCTCTTTATCCTTACTCCCTCTCCCCTCCCCCATGCTCCCTATCAGCTCAGGAGATCTTGTCCCTTTCCCCTTCTCCAGGGGACCCTGTATGTCTGTCTCTCTTAGGGTCCATATATTGGTTTTTGGAGACAGGGTTTCTCTGTGTAGCCTTGGCTATCATGGAACTCGCTCTGTAGACCAGGCTGACCTTGAACTCACAGAGATCCGCCTGCTTTTGCCTCCCAAGAGCTGGGATTAAAGGTGTGTGCCACCACCACCCAGCTAGTTTGGTTCTTATTTTATTAGTCTTAAAGTAGTTCTCAGTTAGGACTGATTTTGCCTGAGTCACTGAAAAAGTTGATGCTGCTTCAGTTTTTCCTATGGATTTGTGTTGTGTTCTACTCCTGTTAGTTTCTTTCATTTTTTTATTTTTTTGCTTTTAGAGACAGTATTTCTCTGTGTAACAGCCCTAATTGTCCTGGAACTTGCTTTGTAGGCCAGGCTGGCCTCAAACTCACAGAGATCCACCTGGAGAAAGGTCCCGTGACTCACCGTGACTCACCGTGACAGTTGTGTTAGCCAGCTCCATTTGAGACTTTTGGCTTAGGAAAGGTTTGTTTATTTAGCTCCTAGTTTGGAAGGATAAAGTTTGCACTCAAGTAGTCTCGTTGATTTGGGCCTCTGGTAGGGTGGTAACACCATGGCAGGGACTTCTGAAGGGCAGACTGCTCCGGAAGCGGGGAGACCGAGGAAGGAAGAGACCAGGGTTCCACAGTCCTTCACTCCCAGATTCTAACTTCACTCTTTAAAGGTCCAAGGCGCTGGCTCCCAATACAACCCCCCTTGAGGCCCAAACCTTCCCTTATGGGCATTTAGGGAACATTATCCCACCCCGAGCAGGTGGACAGGCAGCAGCGATGTCTAGCAAGCCCGTCCTTTTCACAAAAGGAATATCGAGTTCATTCGATAACTTTTGAATGGTAGAATTGTTTGTGCTGAGTTGAGATTTTTTCCCCCTCCTTTCTTCTCAGTTCTGAAAAGCTTGTCTGTACGTCAAAGCCACATCTGTCTCGGGAAGCGACCTCCAGCCCAAGCCAGCTTGCTTTCGAAAGGCAGTTCCGTTCCTGGAAGCTCAGCCAGGAGATCAAGGAGGCTGAGAAGCAGGGTCCGGTAAGCTGCGGTCTGGGAGTGGGGCTGGGTGGACGACGCTTGCAATACCCACTGCATAGTGCAGCGAATCCCAGTGCCAGGGCTGAGGGAGTGAAAGGGTGGAGGCGGCTGGCAGCGTTCACCCCTGCAGTGAGATGCTTAGTGGCCTGTGCTCAGGTCTGATGGGCGTGGAGCAGGGAAGGGACTCAGAAATGCAGGGTATGTGGGTCCCTGAATACAAGTGCAGAGTTGTCTTTACAAGGGAAGGGCCAAGAAGACTAGCCAGAGCCGGTTCACCAGTCACTTCAGCTTCCTCTTTCCTGAACCTTCATCCCTGACAATTTTCTTCCTTTTTTCTATTCACTGAAACCAGATTGAAACAGGATCAAACACAAGGTGCACACTTGTAAGCCTAGCACTTGAGAGGTGGGGGCAGGAGAGAAAAAATTCTAGACCAGGGGCTGGAGGGATGGATCAGCTGTTAAGAGCCCTGACTGCTCTTCCGGAGGACCCAGGTTTAAGGTTTAATTCCCAGCACCCACACGGGCACTAACAACCTTCCAGTTCCAAGGGATCTGATGCCCTCTTCTGGTCTCTGTGGATACTGCATGCAGTGCAGGGACATACATGCAGGCAAAACACCCATGTACATATAACATTTTTAAAACTTAAAAAGAATTTGAGGTCAGGATGGTCACACAGCAAGACCCATCTCAAAACACTGCCACCAGCAGCAACAAAAATTGTTCTTAATTCATTTATAATGGGAAAATTTAAAAGTTAAACATAAGAAAAAGAGATGGGGTGTAAAATGAGCTTTTACATACTTAAAGGGAATTTTCCCAGCACCGATTTATGGACTAAGGATTTACGGGTTCCTGGCCTCTGTCTCCCCCTTGTTCCCTTTTGAGACTTAGTCACTGTGGTGATAAGTCTGGGAGGTCAGAGAATGGAGCTTGCCACTAGCTAACCATAGAGGTCTGGAGGTCTGTACAGACAGACAGGAAGTGATGTAGTAGAACAGGATATAAGCAGGGAGAAACTGGAATTTGCTCTCTTGCCTGTTGAGATGCTAAGGAGGTAAGGAGTGACTGTCACTTGCTCCTTCTTCTCTCTGATCTCTCAGCATTTCCCTCTATATCTGACTCCAGATTTTTCTTACTTAGACCAATTAAGAACTCCATTTACAAGTCACAGAGCCTAGAGCCCCTGTGACGGCAGCACATGGCACATGTGTACTCCTTTACCCACCATGTACTGAGAGCCAAATGGATCTTTCCAGCTTAGAACTCAGAGGTTGTTATAGTCTTTCTTTATTCTTAAGAATTTTATACACATACACAATGAAACATCATATATACCCCTATTTCTCCCAACTCCCTCTAGATGACTCTCAACACGGCCCCTTCCAAAATTCATGCCATTATCATCATCGGCTTGATTGCCCACCAAGAGCAATTAGTGCTACCTGTATGTGTGTGGTTGTGGGCCTGTCCACATTAAAGAGAAGACAGAGATCCTCCCTCCCCCAGTAGTTAGACACTGCAAGAGCAATTAGTGCTACCTGTATGTGTGTGGTTGTGGGCCTGTCCACATTAAAGAGAAGACAGAGATCCTCCCTCCCCCAGTAGTTAGACACTGCAATAGCTCCTCAGCAAGACCTGGGGTCTGGGGACTCCCTCCCCATCAATGCCTGGATTGACTGACTGTATCACAGCTACTGTGAGCTCATGAGGGCAACAGCCATGCCAAGTTCACAGCACTCCTCCCAATTATCAATCACACACACACTTCATATATATTTTGAGAGAGACTCACTATATAGTTCTGACTGTCCTGGAACTCACTCTGTAGAACAGGCTGGCCTTGAACTCATAGAGATCCACCTGCCTCTGCCTCCCAAGGCTGTGCTTCTGTGTCCAACTCTTATATTCTTTCTACCTCAGTGTGCCCTGAGCCTTGGTGGTGGTTGTGGGGTTATTGAGAGTGGTGACCTATTAGGGCTGGGCACTCAAGTCTCAGCACTCAATCAGATGTTTTGTGACCCAACTCCTATTCAGTCTCTTTAGAAGCAAATTCTCCCTCCAGTCAGACCTTTTGATATTAAGACAGCACACTGTCCTCCACAGAGCTCACACTCAACAACTATGCTATTGACTTACATAGAAGTAATAAATGTTTAAGCTAGTTTATAGTCTTTGTGTTGGGCCTTGTTCCTTGCAATTCCCAATCACTGTGGTCTACAAGCCGTAGGTTGGACTTGCCTGCTGGGATGGAAACTTACTTATTCATATCATCCTGTCTGTCTGTCTGTTCCTGTCTCTCTTTACTCTCCCCTCTCTCCTTTGCCTTATAGAAGCTTTTTAGTTAGATACAGTCCACTTGTTTAGGCCCTAATGTGGATTCTACTGCCATGGTAGGGGAGGCCCCCTGCTGTCACCATAAGATTTAAAAAACTAGAAAGAGTGTTTTAAATACAGTAAGTATCATTTGTGGGTGGGTGGGCAGGTCACCAGACTGTCCCCTTCAGAACTTTGGGGTCTTTGCTATCTTCAGCACCGGGCTTCCTGTTTTTATTTATTGATTTATTTATTTGGCTTTTCTAGATAAGAGTTTTCCTGTGTAGCTTTGGCTGTCCTAGAACTCACATGAGATCTGCCTGCCTCTGCCTTTCGAGTGCTGGGACTAAAGGCAGGCACCATCACTGCCAGCTGAAAAGAATAGACTTTATATCAGGTTGGCAGTACATCTTGACGTTTGCACAGAATCTTGGGCTTACTGCCCATCACTGGAAAGCACACCCATGTGCCTATCACTAAGAGCATCGACCTCTTTGATAGAACCAGGAGTGACTGGGGTCTGAGTCTCACTCAATAATGTTCAAGTCTTACCTACTTGGTGTGCTTCTGTAGTTCATTTTATGGAAGTACTTGAGTGATTTGAGAAATGCTTGCAGAATTAGCTCAAAAAGGACCCTGTCTCAATAAATACAAAACAGAAATTCCTTTTACATTTTCCGGGCTAGGACCCAGTCCCTAACTGTAGGGTGCAGGAGTGCCAGGGAAAGGAGCCCCTGGAGGGTCTGAACACATGGAGGGGAGTACTTTGGGGACAGCATGGAAAGGCTCATCTGAGAACTGCAGAAACCAACAGAGAAGGGCAGCAAGCAGACTGGCTGGGAGCCTGCCCGAAAGGATAGAGGCTTGGGTATGGGGCAAGGCCTGTGGGCCCTTCCTCTCGTGGGAGCCTGCTTAACCTGTCCTTTTCTTCTGTGAACAGGTTTTAGGGACCCGGGAAGCAGCAGACAGCCAGCATTCGCAGGGGCCATCAGCCCTGGGGAGAAAGGTGATGACAGCAGAGCTCCTGGGGAAGCATTTGGCCTCCCTGCAGGGGGTAGCCAGGTCAGGGCTCCATCGGCCCTAGAGCTACCTGCCTTCACGCCACACACACACACACACACACACACACACACACACACACACACACACACACACACACACATACACACACACACACACACACACTAAGAATGGCAGCTTCTCTCTAGGTAGGAAGGGGTTGTGAGAACTGCAGTAGTTAGTTTTTTAAGCTCTGGCTGTGAACTAGAAAGTGTGTGTGGTGTTTTCGTTTTACTGAAACACTTGACAGCAAGACGCCTTTATCATCTTCCCTGTACTTGGTACTCAGTGGGGCTCTGTGCCTGGCTTGGGGCCAGTCCTGAATCAAAGGTATCAGGGCTTTATTCAAGTTCAGTCCTGCTCATACTCCAAGGTGGGTTTTCCTCACAGATACTCAGGCATGGCAGTGGGGGTCAAATTGCTAAGAACCAGGATCCCCTAGGATGCTCTGCCACTGTGGGCTGCCTCTAGGGGCACAGAAGGGGTCTCCTCACCAAGGGGAGACTTCTACTTGTGTGAAGGCTACCTGCTTCCGGGTGATGGGGGACTCTCTGGCATCTTCCAGAAACTTGGGCTCACATTTCAGTGGGGAAGACAACTTGACTTCTTCAGAGGCAGTTCTGGGTCACTAGGTAAAGAAGACAACTTGCTGGCTATAACATCCCTAGTCATCAAAGTCACATGACTCAGATCCTGAGGGCTCCTGGGTCCCAAACCTGACCAAGGTGTTCTGACTGTTGAGAGCTAGGGACATTCACTCTAGGGAGGATTAAAGTTGCCACAGTCCTGGAAGAGTATGGTTGTTGTGTAGCTATAGGTACAAGTAGCCTCAGCTGTACACTGCCAGATTGCCAGGGAGTGTCATGCGCCACACACAGGCTGTCAGTGACAACTCTTCTTGACTTGTGGTCCATCTTGCTTCAGCACCGACAAGACCCCCGAAGCCCAGGAGAACCAGCTTGCAGTAGGCTTGCTCAGTAGGCTGTGCCCGGTCCTTTGAAGCTTCCTGGAGACAAGTAGGATGCTGGGTGCTTCAGTTTTACCCACCAAGTAACAGCTCTTTTCTGTTTTAACTAGTGGGTGTGTGAGCTCAGTATCCGGAGTTAGTAAGGGATGTCTTCAACATTTCAGCACACGGAACTGTGTTTTCTAAGTGATTCAGCCAAGTGACTCTATTTAAACAAAAATGGGGAGAAAGGACGAGCCCTGAGCCCCTCCTGGTTACACTAGCTGCCAGGAAGAAGATCTGAGACTTTAGCAGTTCAAGTGATTCTTTCAAAGGGGGAACTTGACTGTTATCTTCACTGGAGGATTTTGTGTTCAGAAACTTAGTGAACTTAGTATTTCAGTATTCAAAAGCTAGATAAGCAGTGTGGCTATGACTGTGGGGTTCCTGGAGCTGGACACAATGCATCTTCGACAGTCCTGACCTTTGCACGTACCCCTTCCCGTGGGCCATCCCCTCAGTTCAAGCACAGCTCCCACGCAGCTCACCCACCCACAACAGTCATCAGTGAAGCCTCAGAGACCTGACACAGATGCTACACAAAATGCTCTGCAAGCTAGCGGTAGAGTTAAGCAGAGCTCCTGGCCCTGCCCCAACCTAACCTTCAGGCTTCATTATAAGCAGCTTCTGAAGGTAACTGTTAAAAGCCTTTCACACAAAGAGTCAAGCTTTGAGAGGAGTTACATTCATAAACTTATACCTTTATTCTCTGTCTGTACATGTTGGCAATGATAAAAGCTTAAAGATGCATGTTCTATGAAATATGCAAACAAGGAATTTACATAAATAATTTATACTTCAGAAAATTAAAGTTGAAAAATATTCCCACATTATTAGAGTTCACAGTATAGTTAAAGTACATCAAGCTTCCCTCCTTATATTTCAAACTGTATTGTCTGAGCAAAGAAGGATAAAATCTAATCAGAATAAAACAATCAAGTTTCTGTTTATTCAGTGCACAAGTGGATGCTATTTCAGTATCAGGCTGCACAAGCCCCCAGGCTGCAGCACCTCATCCCAGCCCTTTACCTCCTGAGTGCTGTGACCCAGCAGAGGTCACATGTGTGGAATGGTTCCAGCATCACCAACTCCACAATGGACACATTCGCCAAGTGGTAACATCTGGTGGTCTGATGCCTTATTTCCACATAATACTTCTATAGCCCTGACAACGGAAACCCCGGCATCTAACACAGCCAAACATGTTAACACTAGTACAAGGCACTGTGCTGTGGGTCTGTTTATAGGAGAGATCATGTTTGCATAGATTGCTAGCAATTTAGTGTGCAATAACATTAACGAGCCCAGCGTGAGGCTTTGTGATGGATGAAGCCATGTGATGCTCCTCGGCCCCAGGAAAGATAATCTTTCATTCTTTAGACCCAGCCTTGTGGGCAGCTGCTCTGGTGCTGGTTTCTCCAGGCCCTCAGAGGAGAGTTTTCTGTTCAAAAAGTTGCAGGTCAAAGCGGACCCAGACTTCTCCAGTGGGGACTTCGTGCAGCAGCAGTCGGCGGGTCGTAGGGCCTTTGCTTTCCTGTTCTGTTCGAATTTTTGCCACTGGAACTTCAGTACGACCCAGGAAGTCTGGGGAGTAAACACTCTGTGAGGATCAAATATCTTTGTACCTTCTAAGATTTAAAAACGTGTCAAGCAGGGGCGTAGCTCATTTGCTCATGGATCTTTGATACTAACTGTGGTCAGATGTACCGCAACAGCTGCCTGTGAGTGTTCTACCACACACTACTCACTGGTGTTTCCCTTATGTGTGCAGGTAGAGCCCCACCTCCTGCCAAAGTGAGCTGGCATGGGCCTGTGTCATTTCCTGCAGCTGCCATGGGGTATTGCAAAGCACAGACCCTGGGCATAGCCTCCAGATCCCAGAAAACTGGGACTATTTTAGGCCTCTGCTAAGTCATACTTACCATCTGGAGAAAACTGGTCCCTGTCAAACATAGTGAGACACAGCACATCCTGGTAAAGATCCTTGATGAAGAACTGGCAATTGAAGTTCCACTTAGGATTCAGTGTGTCTTGGAGGGTCCTGGTGGTATAGCTTTGGGAGCCCATGCTGATTTCACAGTACGGGTTACTCTTCCCTGCTCAGAGACAAGCCAAGGACACACAGGTACAGTAAGTAAAGAGGGTGACAGGGCAGGTGCTTCTCCAGAGACCATGGCAGGAAGCACCGTGGCCTGGTGGGACACAGTAGTTACTTTTGAGTCTAGTAGCCGTATGGTCCCATGTTCCCAATGATGCCATAATCCCGGGGAGCAAGTGTATGTTCCAGCAGCAGGACTGCTCCCCATAAGCCTGGGAAGGTGCCATGTGGCATGCTTTGTGTATTTTCATGCAGTAGCAGTCGAGATGGGGGATGCTGGTTCTTATCGGGAAACAGTGAGTGGTATTGGCCCAATAAATAGCTTATCCTCAACACCAGAAACACTGCCTTCTAAAAATTACTCAATTCCATATTCAAAGGAGGTACCAGTAAGGAGCAGGATGTCCCCACATGTGTTGAATAAAGCAGCAGTTACCATTTGGCTTGCAGGCCTTTAACTCTGTAGCTTCGATGACATGTACCATCAGACGCCCAATGCCTGAAGTCTTTTGAGAACGGGCTACGAAAGAGGAAGTGAGTCGTGTTAATTCTCCTCTGAGAATGCAGCCAGCACCACAGTGAAGAAGCAACACTGTAGGGCTGTGGTCTGTCCTCACACACCTGTCTCTGATCCCGGAGACGGCCTCCATGCTAAGGGCATGCTCTGCCCGTGTGTCATTGTAATGAACGTGACCATTAGCCTGGACCACTGCTATTGTCATCTGCTATTGCTCTAGCGTTAGCAGTTTAGCCTTTGGTTGCTTCTGCAGGCCGTGTCACCTGCTAGGGATGCCTTTCTTTGCTCATCCTTCAAGACCCAGGCTGGCCTCGCTCACCTTAGCTTCCTTCCTCTGGGTTCCACCAGCCCTGACAGAGGGCACCCCACGGCCTGAAATTCTGCACCTCACTGTCCTTCTCTGCCAGGCAGAAGTCACTGTCACATGGATTGCTTACCTAGGCTTCGTAACCACATACATGCCTATGAACAGTAATACTAGTTTAAAAATGCATGCTGTTTATTCAGTATTTCTGGCAAATAACATTCACTGGTTACTTTGTGTTACGCATGTGCTAGAGCTTTACATGGGTTATATTTAATTCCATAATTGCCTTACAAGGTAGTTCCCATTTTATAGATAAGGAAAACTGAGTCTTAGGAAGGACCATATTTTCAACTTACAGGCTTTTAAAAGACAGGGTTTAATTCTAGCCCAAGTTGCTGTCCTTGAACTTGGAATCCTTCTGTTTCAGTGACCTGACCAACTCAACAATTTCCTCCCTTTGGTTTATTTTGAGACAGAGACTCACTGAGGAGCCCTGACTGGCCTGAATCTTGTTACATAGACAAGGCTAGTTTTGGACTTACAGAGAGATCTGCCCACCTCTGCCTCCAGAGGAGCGGGCCTACAGGTATGTGTCAGCACAGCTGGCTCAGAGTTTTTAAATGGCAGGGTTAAAAGGTAAACAGTGTGAACCGCTCATCAAAACTTCACTTACATGGTAAAACTTTGTCTTGGTGAGCAGTTTTGTTTCAGGGTTGATCTATTTCAAGAGGTTCTGAAGCTATTTTAATGTGACAGAAGTGAGTCGTGTGCTCACACTGCTGGCAAACATGAAGTTCGGCCAAGCAGACAAAAGATCTGAAAGCAGAAAGGATGCTTGGTATCTCTGGGCATGAGTGACCTTCCCACCTTTTCTCCTCCAGATTTTTGTTTGTTTTGACAAGGTATTGCTAGGTACCACAGGCTGCCTGGCCTCAACCTTGAGGGCCTTTTGCTCCAGCTTCAGTGGTGTGTAGCCTTGTCTACGAGCAGTGGCCTGCTCCCTGATGTCCCCATGTCTCCACCATGGAGCACGCCCTTGTTCCACAAAGGCAGAGCCTGGCCCGGCTGTCTATAGGCACCACTGTGCACAACGCAGGGCTTGGCGTACAGCAATAGTCGTGTCTAAAGGACTGCATCCACAGACAATGCAGAACGATCCACACAGACAACGAGAAACTCAGGAAAATCCTTGATTGGCACTTTTGACAAGTTAAGAGATCATTATGTGTTTTATGAAAAGATTCAATTGTTGATTTTTCAATAGCAAGATTTTAAAATGGCATTCATTTAGGAAAAGGCAACTTACACCTACCTTCAAGATCACAGAACAAAATAGGGGGAACCTGAATAAAAAACACATGAGAGCTTCTGCTTCAGCAGCAGGTGCCTGAGTGGGAGCACTGGAAGGGAGGAGGGAAGGAGAGGGGAGGCAGGCTTCCACTGGGTAGAGGCTAAGGGGAGACAGAAGGTGGGGCCTGGCATTTGCATGGAAGTTGGGGGCCAAGGATGCTTTCCAAAGGTCTTTAGGACACTGAGCTGGTGGACGATCTGTCCTATGAACCGAGGACACTGTGACATACAGATCCCCTCCTCCCTGGGAGTCAGTGGTGACATCAGAGATGCAAAGTCTGAAGAATAGTGCAGACTTAGCCCAGTAGGGCTGCTAGGAGGAGCCACGGAGAAGCCAGAGTTTCACTCGGGCTTAAAGGATGGGACGAATCCTCAGGGCAAGGCCTGGAAGCGGCTGGACACAGCAATGGGGGAGAGGGAAATGGGGCTGGGTGATGGGGCAGTCAATGCTGGGGATGAGCCCGAGTTTGGGGTGAGAAACTGTCCTTAATTTGGAGGGCCAAAGGGAAGATGCTGAGGCAGGGGGCTGGCACACAGGAGGGAAAGATGCTGAGGCAGGGGGCTGGCACACAGGAGGGAAAGATGCTGAGGCAGGGGGCTGGCACACAAAGGGAGAGCAGCCCTGTCAAGAGAGCAGCTGATGGAGCCTATGCCTAGGCGGGGGCTTGTCTGGGATGCTGGGATTGTGGAGTACCCAGGAACCACTGCTGAGCCTGGCAGGAGATGACCCCATGGGAGGGTTGTCTGCGGGTACCGTGCTAGGAGAAGGGCAGACTCCCAGGAAGAGGGGAGGAGAGGGCTGAGGAGTCAGATGGAGCTGTGCAGAGGAAACTCTGGCTATGAGGAGGTGGGGCGAGGAGGTGTGGGTGTGCAGGGAGCTGGAGCAGGGATAGCAGAGTTCCTGGTGTCCTTAAAGTGCCATCTACCAGCAATGGGGAAAGACGGGTGCAAAGAGTGGTGGGCTGAGTGCTGGAGGGCCGGCAGGGCCCAGGGCCCTAGAGGTCAGGACGGTGCGGGCAGGGGCTGAGAGGAGAATAGCAGAGTGGCATACCCCGCAAATGGACTCAAGTGGGACAACACAGGCCACACGAGGGTGAAGTTGGTTGTCAGGTGAGGGGGAAGGGCTGGGAACGGCTGCAGGCAGAAGGCAGGCCTTGTATGGGGGATGGCTGGTGCCTCTAGGGCTAGACTCAGTCTGCCTGCACACTGTGGTAGCTGTTCCCACCTTGATAAGCCTTTTCCCGTTTCTTCTTCTCAGTGTCAATGTACTGCTCTGAGGCAGCCTTGATCTTCTGGACCCAGGCTGTTCTGGAGGAAAAGCAGAAGGGCAGCCATGAGGCCTGCCAGGCACCTCCTGGGCTCACGCCCAGCCCCCAGCTCCACACCATTGCTAACCTTGGCTTTAAGCTTGCTTAGCAGGTTCCCAGTCATACACCTAATCTTAGTCCAAGCGATAGACTGGACTGCTAATTAAAGAGAGCCGAGACTTGCTAAAGAAAGCTTTTGACAACACGGGGCTCTGTGAAGGACTGGGAGCCCCAAGCTAGCAGACAGGACCACACTGATGGCAACTCAGCATGGTGGGCAGTTAGTTACCAGACAAGTGTGCAGAGGGAGGGGCAGCAGCATCCCTGGGACTGTCACAGAGGACTTGCCCTGGGAGCTGCACTGGAGGGAA